CTATCGTTCCTGTAAGTTTTCTTGTAATTGTCCTATTTATAGTTAAATCCCCCCTCTCATAATATTGTAAAGCGCTACGGAATCTGTTGGCACTATATAAATGGCGATAATAACAATAATTAACACATTGGGTTTAAATTCAGCGTAACAATAAGACACCAGAAGAGAATATACGAAGCAGAGGAAATGTCACTTGAACAACCTACTTGGGAAGGATTCAAAATTATTTAACTCATTGTCTTTTTACAATCAGTGATTATATCGTTATAATGGTATCTGTCAAGCAGAGGCGGCTCTCTAATTAGGCGATTTAGGCGGCCGCCTAAGGCCTCGCGCTTGCTGGGGCCTCGCGGCCGCCTAAATCGCCTTGGGGCAGACTGAACTGTCGGGTCCTCGGTCAATGACTGAGGACCCGACAGTGAGAGGGGGCCCGGCGGCTTGCCCAGTATGCCGCCGGGTGGCCCCTCCACACGGTCTGCCCACAGGGAGAGCCAGTCTGCAGAGCTGCAGATCACATAATGTGCTTCTCGCGGGCTTACAGAGCGTTGCCGCGGGTTACCACGGCAACGCTCTGACAGGCGCTCACGAGAACGAGGTCTGCAGCTGTCGCGGAGCTGCAGACGGAAGTGATCCCACCGGACCACCAGGGAATTCTATTAAATAAAAAGGTATTTCAGTGTGTGGAGGCTTGTCACAGCCTCCACACACATTGCTCCATCACTGCCCTCCCCCCATCACTGCCCACCCACCCTCACTGCCCCATCACTGCCCACCCACCCTCACTGCCCCATCACTGCCCTCCCCATCACTGCGCCCTTAACCCACCCACCCTCACCCATCACTGCCCTCCCCCATCACTGCCCACCCACCCTCACCCACCCTCACTGCCCCATCACTGCCCCATTACTGCCCTCCCCATCACTGCCCCATCACTGCCCACCCCCATCACTGCCCCATCACTGCCCACACCCTCACTGCCCCATTACTGTCCCCCCATCACTGCCCACCCAACCTCACTGCCCCATCACTGCTCTCCCCATCACTGCCCACCCACTCACTGCCCCATAACTGTCTACTTCCATCACTGCCCACCCACCCTCACTGCCCCATTACTGCCCTCCTCATCCTGCCCACTCCCCCATCCTGCCCACCCACCTCACTGCCCCATTACTGCCCTCCCCCCATCACTGCCCCATCAATTGCACCCCATTTTGTCAGCCCCCAACACTATGTCACCAATACATACAGTCACTCCTCCCACACACTGTCACTGTTTCCAACACTGCCTCCCACACTCTCACCTACCCACCGTCACAATTCCACACACATACTGTCACCCCCCACATGCTGTCATGCCTTCTTCACCCAGCCTCGCTCACATTAACCTCTCCTAATCTTGTCGCTCTCACCCCTCCATCCATCCACCACCACAATTACCAGCCCTCGCTCTTCCACACTCACCCTATCACACTCATCTTCTCTCATACTGTCACACTCACCCCCAACCCTTTCACATTAACCCTTTCACTTGTGCCCAACCATGCCACACTCACCCTGTCACATAATCCTGTCCGACTCACTTTCCCTCGCCTTGTCACACTTCCTCCTCCAGCCGTGTAACACATAACCCCAACCCTGTCAAACTTATCCCCCTTCACCCTATCACATTAACTTCTATCCTGTCACTCATCCTGCCAAGCCATGCCACACTCACCCTGTCACATAACCCTCCCTCATCCTGTCACTCTTACCTCCCCTTGCCCTGTCACTTTTTCTCCTTCAACCGTGCCACACTCACCCCAACACTGAATACAGAGACTAGCTCTCTGTATCCAGCACTGCAAGCCTGTCATACATTATAACTACAGCTCATTATACACATGATGCAACCCCTATATGTTTTTTACTATGAGTATTAGTGGGGTGGCCTCTTGTTTGAGTTTCGCCTAAGGCCTCATAAAGTCTAGAGCCGCCACTGCTGTCAAGGGTTAGGATATATTAGGCAGCAAGTGAGCAGTCAGTTCTTGAATTGTAGGTGTTGGAAGCAGGGAAAAGTCAAGCTAAAAGTTCTGAGTGACAATGACAATGGCCAAATAGTTTTGGCTAGGCGACTGGGTCAGAGCATCTCCAAAATGCCAAGTCTTGTGGGATGATCCCGGTATGCAGTGGTTAGTACCTACCAAAGTGGTGCAAGAAAGATGAAACGGTTAACCGACATCAAGGTCATGGGCGTCCGAGGCTCATTGATGCATGTAGGGAGCAAACTGATCTGAACACACAGAAGAGCTAATGTAGCTCAAATTGCTGGAAAATTTAATGCTGGCCATGATAGATAGGTTTACAGCATATGAAATTGTGTAGCCACAGACTCGTCAGAGTGCCCATGAGGACGTGAGCATCAGAACTGGACCATGGAGCAATGGAAGAAGGTTGCCTTGTCTGATAAAGCACATTTTCTTTTACATCAGGTGGATTGCCAGGTGTGTGTTCATCGTTTACCTGGGGAACAGATGACAGCAGGATGGGAAGAAGGCAAGCTGGCAGAGGCATTGTTTTGATCTGGTCAATGCTACTGGATGCTACTTTGACATGTGACACCTACCTAGAAGTTGTTGCAGATGATGTACACCCCTTCATGGTAATGGTGATCCCTGATGGCAGTAGCCTCTTTGAGCAGGATAATTCACACTGTCATACTGCAAAACTTGTTCAGGAATGGTTTATGGAACATGATAAAGAATTCAAGGCCTTGCGCATCTGTGGCATGTGCTGGAACAAAAAGCTAATCCATTGAGGCCCCACATCACAACTTGCAGGACTTAAAGAATCTGGTTGCCAGATACCACAAGGCACGTTTGAGGTCATGGGGAGTCCATGACTCGATGCTTCAGAGCTGTTTTTGGCAGCACAAGGGGGCCTATGCTATAATAGTCAGGTGGTTTTAATGTTGTGGCTGATCAGTGTACAAGCAACTTGTCAAATCAAAGATATAGTAGTCACAGGGAAGCATTGAGAGCACTCAAGTGCCAATCAAGTGCTCTGAATAAGTAATTTGTTCCATAACCTAGTGCAGATATAGGTGATCCTTAGCAGTCCAGATATTGCTTTGCCAGCATTATGGCGTTACGAGCATTATGGGAGATGTAGTCCACAACATCTAGAGTGACAAAGGTTGCCTAAGCCTGAACTAGTAGTTTTCCTACAGTAGCGGTAGCTCCTCTACGGTCTGTCAGGAAGACAGCAACTAGAAGCAAGTTAACTCTGCAATGGAAAACATTGCTGTTTTTGTAAATCGGCAATATTTTACACTTTGATGTTAAAAGGACAGGACCACTTCATTGAGATTAACAAGGTGATTATTCATGGTCAAAACTCCCAACTGAAAAATATCTGCAAATCAAAAGACTTCACCTAAAACTTGCTATTCAGTGTTCAATAAAATAGATTGGATTGTAAGGAACGCAAACCAAATTTCATATTTTAGGACAATAAGGAACACTGAAAACACAGCTCTGAGAGTTTTCCATTTAGGCTACGTTTGGTCTGAAATGTTAAATTTACTTGGAATTCCCAACCATTGATACTTTATTGAATAACCCAATCACCCTTATGTTTTGCAGCTAGCCAAACCTGTTGGGATATTTAATACAATAACCAAAGTACTATTGTATTGTGCTCTATGTGACATCATGCTACTTGTGCACCTTATGTACACTGTACACATTAGAAAGTTTCATTGAACTTGAGTGAGAAAGGGTGAGGTATTGAACAATAGAGGGAAAGGTTCGAGAAACAAAACCTGTCTTCCTATGAGCTGCACCACAAAGTTTCCTGTTGGTATTACCTATGTATTAAAGGAACATCCCAGGCTGTAGTTTTTATTTTAATGCATTATATAATGTGTTATAATATGCAAAACAAATACACCAAAAATAATATTAAAAAAAAAAAAAAAAAGGTTTAATGTCTCTGTATTTCCAGTTTGTGCAGCATCTGCAAGGAGCTCTACAAACCAAATCAGGTAGTGACTCAGGTCACTTAAAGGGACACTCTCTGCACCATAATAACTTAATGAAAATTAATTTCTTATGGTGCCAGTGGGTCCCGGGCACTGACATAACTTTAATGGTTAAACCGTTAAAGGGACATGCCAGACCCCAAAAGCACTTGTTTGCTGAAGTGTTTTATTTGTAGAAAGTGTGTCCTCTTTTTGTAGAGCTTTTTTTCCCCTTTCATTTCATTGCCCAGAGCACTGCCTTGCAAAGACTTCTAATTGAGCTGCATTGGGAAGTCTGTGATTGGACAGTCACAGAAAGTCTGGGCGGGGTTAGAAGGGGAGGGCTTGCAAAAGGCTGCAGACAAGATTTTTTTTTTTTGTAGGTAACATTTAGTTTATTAAAGCATAACAAAAACCAATATCAATGTTCATTGTTTAACAGAACCATGAAATTAACATTACTATGCAAATAAACTGTTTAAAAAAAAAATATATAAAATGCAAAAAAAACAAACACATATACAAAAGGAAACAAATTGGTCCCTAGAACTCTCTTTACAAAATTACCTCCAAAGACCCAGGACACATTTAATTCAATTAAATAGAAACCCCGACTCCAGCAGTTTATCAATGAAGCTGTCAGCTAACCCCACCCACCAGACGCCGTTGCCACGGTGATGGCTGTTCGCCAGCGTTAACAGCCAATCAGCAGCTGCGAGTTGTTTCAAAGTTCCAAAGGCTGATACATTGTATCAAGTGGTAGGTGTGGCTGCAGAGGGAATAGAACCTTGATCACATTACAAGAAACCTTCTGTGATTACATGGGTTCAGTCTGTTCCCCTCAGCACTGAAGAGGCATAGCAGTCACAGTCTTTGTAAGGAAATTAAGCCGCCATCATACAAGTGCTTAAAAATAAAATAAAAACAAGCAAACAAAAAACAAACAAACCCAAAACCCCAGAATGTGCTCACATTAGAAAAGCTTTTCTTGCTGCAGGTGCCCTCATGCCTTTTTAGATTTAGGGACCTTGGGGACACTAGGCTTTGCAGTCTTCTTCACCTTCTTGCTCCCACCACTAGCTGCCTTCTTCTTAGAGCTCTTAGCTGCAGGTTTAGGGCTGCTGGCTGCCTTTTTGGGAGTCTCCTTTTTGGGTTTGGGCTTAGACTTTGCCTTCTTGTGGCTCTTTTTAGGAGTGCTGACAGGCGCTGCCTTCTTCTTGGCTGCTGGTTTAGCGGGCGCAACCTTCTTCTCAGCGGGAAGACCCTCCAGCTTCTTCTTGTTGAGCCTAAAGGATCCATTGGCCCCAATTCCATTGACCTGGAGCAAGGTGTCATTCTGGACCAGAGCCTTGATGGAGTACTTGAGGTATGTGCGTCCATTCTGCTGGTCAAACCAGGACACCTTCTTAGCCTCGCTGTAGATTTTGGCCAGGGAGGATCCATTTCTCTCGCCCAGCTTCCTGATAGTGTCCACCACTAGCTGGCTGTACCTTCCAGGCTGGTTCTTCTTCTTTTTGCTCTTTTTCTTGGCAGGTGTGACTGCGGCCCCTTTGTTCCTCTTGCTGGGAGCTCTCTTGGATGGAGTTGCATCTTCTCCTTCCTCCTCCTCCTCTTCCTCTTCATCTTCCTCCTCAGTGGTGGGAATGTTTTCCTCCAGCTCTAGGGACATGATGGTCGGTGTTTGGACCTCGCTTGGATTGCCGCTGATGCTCTGCGTTAAAGCTGCTCTGTGCTAATCGGCTGCAGACAAGATAACTGCAGCTTTTGAAATAAGTTTTAGAAGCCCCAATGAAAAAATGCAATAGGCTACACAACCAGCTGTAGTGGTTAGTTTATTTAGAGTAACCCTTAAGGTACTATTAAAGTAAAATAAACAGCCAATACTATATTCATTGGTCAAAAGTAGATTTGCCATTCTAGCAAGAATAAATAAAAAATAGTCACATAATCTCGGTTTACTAATAATGTGTGAGAAATTAATCTCATCATTTATAGAGACATAGACCTCTACAGAATTGGGAGGAAATATCACTGGAATTTATAACTAAACTAGGAATTCAGTAAAATAGACATGAAAATAGCACATTCTAGAGCAGTGATGGCTAATTTTGACACCATAAATTGTTTCTGGACTACATGATGCTCAGTTAAGCTATCTGAGCATCATGGGAAATGAAGTCCAGAAACAATTTATGGCGTCAATGTCAGCTATCACTGTTCTAGAGCAACAAAAATCTCCAACTTTAAATTTTTTTAGGTTCCTATTTGCAATCTCTTGTCCATTCTTCATGATTTGTAGTTTAGTAAATAGCTCGGTTTAGATAATAACCCTATCAGTGACTTTTACAAGCACATGGACTGGCCTCGGGGAAAGGAACAGGATATTTACGTAGGCATTTAGTGTGTATACTCAAGTGTTAACTTACCCTTGAGAAAATGAGTTTTACACTAACTAAACAAACCATGCCTTTAATCTGCACAAATTCAGCTCCTTCAAATGTACTGTCCCACTAACTGCATGTTTCTCTGCAAATATTTGCCATATATTTATTTAGAGAAAAATGCAGAAATTGTCCAAAGACACATAATTTACAAAACATAATTTCATAAGTTACTAAGTCATGTCCTACAGACCTGTACAGAGTTCTATGGGCTAATCACAAAAAAACATATTAATAAATACAACTTAAAGGGTCAATTCCCATTCATTTAAAAAAAATAAAAAATTCTGTTTATTTATCCATGTATTTGCCAAATATATTTTTGTGAGATCTGAGAAATTAAAAGTAAAAATCCATTTGTCTTGGAACCGGGTGCCGCCATCTTCGCTTCCTGTCAATCAATGTTCTAAAAGTTAGCATTTTCTCCTATTGAACATAGCTAATGTAAGAGGGATAACCAAACAATATTTCAGTTTTCCTTCACATTTGCATTGCGTAACCTGGCTGTGAAGGAGAGTAATGTCACAGCAGGAGAATTGAGCTGGTGGGAGAACTTGGCCTTGGTGTTGGAATCCAGGTAAATTTAAATTTATTTATTTTTTAATTCATTGATTTTGGAAGGGTGGGACCATGCCAGGAAGGGTGACTATATTACTATATATATTACTTATGCTATACATTTTATAGAGTATCCGCTATATAAAATTTGTAGTTACTGTATATGTGTCATGTCAGATTTCCAATGATTCTGATTTGAAACCTAGTAATCGCGCTACAAAAATTAAATATCAAAATAAATAAATACAATTCGAATTTTGGAGGCACAGTGAGAGCACAGCAGAACAAAAAAAATGTGGGTTTTAAATATGAGAGGTTATCGCAGAAAGTTAATGTTACGGTAATACACACTGTAAAACCAATTCCCTTTCAATTTTTACAAACTGATCAGGAATTGGCAAAGCCAGTAAATTATGTAATTCTAATAAAATAGTCTATTATTTAAATCCCAATAATTTATCCAAGTCCTGTAAGAAACCTTTTTCCTGGTAAAAATAGAAACATGGTGTTGTCTGTTGTTTTTTTTTAACTGACATTAGGTTTAATCTTTTAAAATATTTGATATGTTCAGATTTTGTATTTCAATTATACTAAAGGCCCAAACTTTGTGTGTGCGTGTGTGAAGGTTCTCAATCTAGAACTTCGACACAACTCAATTCAAATCAGTGGTTAAATTAATTTTGTAAACTTTTCCGTTTCTTCAGCAATATTTACATGATGGGGCATGTTCGGTTATGTCCCTGGCAAATACTGATCTCTCTGAATTTGGCATCCATTCAATGACACCTTACATTTTTGAGGCAGGAGGAAAATAAGAAGGTATTAAAAAATATTTAAACTAGTGTGAGCCTTCAAGCTGCAATAAAATTTCCAATTTTCCTAACATAATGAAATTTTATTAATGTCAGGAGGAGAATATAATGCCATGGGGAACGATCCCTATAACACATTATGCATTTTTTTTTCGTGTTTACATTGTGACATACCTCTTTCTGTCAAACAAGGAACTAACAAGCAGTATGATGGGTTTTATTTTGAGTTTCTGGAAATTTGGTTTAAGTTTCAAATCTCACTTATCCTCAAGGGTTGCAAGCAAGAAAGAGGAGGAATGCTCCGTGGATAAGGCTTACATAGACCGATTGCTTAGAAGAAAATTCTGTTGATCTTCTTTGAATGTACTAAGTTTGTTCGTTTGACTGCATATTGAAGAGCAAGTCGAGAAATATTTAAAATAATCTAAACATTTTAAACATAAAAGTTCACATGATCTCAAACCACTTCCTATCGTACAGTTTGTCATTACATTTTAGTATACTACCCGGGCTCTGTTTGTGAGGTGCATTGGTGGCTGCTGTCTCATGAGTACAACTCACAGTAGATTTTTTTACACTTATTTCTGCTGTCTGATTCTGTCTCTCACCTCCTAGCTGTCTTTTAATCGGGAATAAGAGTCTGTCTCTTTTCTCAACATTACCCCACGCCCTCTAGCATGTAAGCTCATTGAGCAGGGCCCTCAACCCTGTGCGTCCATTTGTCTGGTTTAAATTACGTGTCTGTTAGGCCACCCATTGTACATAGCTAAGGAATATGCGGGCGCTATATAAATAACAAAATAATAATAACTAAGTGACTGATCTATAGGGTTTATTCAATAAACAATGAATTGTAGCATATTATAATTTGAATGGCAAAATGTAGGTAAAAATAGACAAGCTGTGACTATGGCTGAGTTGAATAGTTCTGCCATTCTATTAAAAGTTTAGTAAATAACTCCACAAATATGAGCATTTTACATCTGCAAAGGCACCAAGTGCTAGAGCTCCCACACTGACTGACTGCCTCTCTGCACTAGCTGGCTCCCACAATGACTGTCTCTCTGCACTAGCTGTCTCCTACCATGACTGACTGTCTCTCTACACTAGCTGTCTCCCACCATGACTGACTGTCTCTCTACACTAGCTGGCTTCCACCCTGACTGAGGGTCTAATTGCACATGGTGCCCAAACTGACTAACTGCCTCTCTGCACTAGCTGGCTTCCACCCTGACTGACGGTCTCATTGCACATGGTGCCCACTCTGACTCTCTCTCTGCACCAGCTGACACCCACACTTGCTGGCTGTCTCTCTGCACTACCTGGCACCCTGACCGTCTCTCTCTTACCATTACCTGGTCCTCAACTTCACTGGCTGTCTCTCTGCACTAGCAGGCACCCACCATGACTGTCTGTGTGTCAGCACTAGCTGTCACTCTGCCTTGCTGGCACCCACCATAACTGTCTGTGTGTCAGCACTAGCTGGGACCATGACTAGCTGTCTCTCTGCCTTGCTGGCACCCACCATGACTGTCTGTCAGCACTAGCTGGGACCATGACTAGCTGTCTCTCTGCCTTGCTGGCACCCACCATGACTGTCTGTCAGTACTAGCTGGGACCATGACTAGCTGTCTCTATGCCTAGCTGGCACCCACCATCACTGTCTGTGTGTCAGCACTAGCTGGAACCATGACTAGCTGTCTCTCTGCACTAGCTGGTACCCACCATGACTGTCTGTCTGTCAGCACTAGCTGGGACCATGACTAGCTGTCTCTCTGCATTAGCAGGCACCCACCATGATTGTCTGTGTGTCAGCACTAGCTAGGACCATGACTAGCTGTCTCTCTGCCTAGCAGGCACCCACCATGACTGTCTATCAGCACTAGCTGGGACCATGACTAGCTGTCTCTCTGCACTAGCTGGCACCCACCATGACTGTCCGTATGTCAGCACTAGCTGTCACTCTGCCTTGCTGGCACCCACCATAACTGTCTGTGTGTCAGCACTAGCTGGGACCATGACTAGCTGTCTCTCTGCCTTGCTGGTACCCACCATGACTGTCTGTCAGCACTAGCTGGGACCATGACTAGCTGTCTCTCTGCCTAGCTGGCACCCACCATGACTGTCTGTGTGTCAGCACTAGCTGGGACCATGACTAGCTGTCTCTCTGCCTAGCAGGCACCCACAATGACTGTCTGTCAGCACTAGCTGGGACCATGACTAGCTGTCTCTATGCCTAGCTGGCACCCACCATGACTGTCTGTGTGTCAGCACTAGCTGGGACCATGACTGTCTGTGTGTCAGCACTAGCTGGGACCATGACTAGCTGTCTCTCTGCCTAGCAGGCACCCACAATGACTGTCTGTCAGCACTAGCTGGGACCATGACTAGCTGTCTCTATGCCTAGCTGGCACCCACCATGACTGTATGTGTGTCAGCCCTAGCTGGAACCATGACTAGCTGTCTCTCTGCATTAGCAGGCACCCACCATGACTAGCTGTCTCTCTGCATTAGCAGGCACCCACCATGATTGTCTGTGTGTCAGCACTAGCTGGGACCATGACTAGCTGTCTCTCTGCCTAGCTGGCACCCACCATGACTGTCTGTCAGCACTAGCTGTCTCTATGCCTAGCTGGCACCCACCATGACTGTCTGTCTGTCAGCACTAGCTGGGACCATGACTAGCTGTCTCTATGCCTAGCTGGCACCCACCATGACTGTCTGTCTGTCAGCACTAGCTGGAACATGACTAGCTGTCTCTCTGCCTAGCTGGCACCCACCATGACTGTCTGTCTGTCAGCACTAGCTGGGACCATGACTAGCTGTCTCTCTGCCTAGCTGGCACCCACACTCGCTGGCTGTCTAGCAGCACACTAGCTAGCTCTCTGCAATAGCGGTCACTCAGCCCTCACCGTCTGTCTCTAAGCTCTATGTGGGGGTCTCAGCGCTGTCGGCTGTCTCATGCTGCGCAGCAAGCCCCAGTAGAGCGGCTGTCTCATTCTGTTTACATTTTGTGCAGCACTCCATATAGCACGGATGGCGGCTGTCAGACGGTCTCTCGGAGACTGTCAGCTTAGGATAGGCCTGTCTCCTGGGTTATAGTGATATCTCGCTTTCTGTCTCTCCCCTGCAAGCTCTCTGTACCCCAAGCATCTCTCTCTCTCCCCATTGTCTGTCTCTACCCCTGGCACCTCTCTCTGGATCTCACCGTCTCTCTCAGTAGTAAATCTGTCTCTCTCTTAGATATTGGCTGTCTGAAGCTCAGACCTCATTTCTCTCTCTCTGCCCGTCTCTCTCACCCCAGACAGCTCTCTCCCTCTCTGGGTCTGTCTCTCCCTCCATAGTAAATCTCTGTCTGTCTCTCTCTCCGCCTGTCTCTCTCTCACCCCAGACAGCTCTCTCCCTCTCTGGCTCTGTCTCTCTCTCTCCCCAGACAGCTCTCTCCCTCTCTGGGTCTGTCTCTCCCTCCGTAGTAAATCTCTGCCTCTCTCTCTCCCTGAACACGCCTGTCTGGGCTGCTCCCTCCTCCCCCTCTCTGTCTCTCTCCACCCTTGCAGTCACATCCTGCAGTCTCTGTCTCTCTCCCAGCTCCTGTCTCCGGGGTCTCTTCCTGCTGCCATTGGAAAGGATCATTGAGCGAGCTGTCTCCCTGCAGCGGCCCCTGGCAGTGCGGGCCCTCAGTCTGTCAGTCTGTCTGTCTCCGATTCCCCGGGCTAGCTGTCTGTCCAGGCCCCCCCCCGGGTTGTCCAGGCCCGGGCTAGCTGTCTGTCCAGGCCCATGCTGTCTGTGTGTGTATCTGGCAGCCTGGCCCCCCTCTGACCCCTTGGCCCCTCTCTGGCCCCCCTGGCCCTGCATGGCTGTGTCTCTGAGTCTGGATGCTTCCTGCCCCATCATTAGCCATTACTGGACTGAGCTGGCCGTCTGTCTCCCCCAGCCCCTGGATGTCTCTCTCTGCTGCTGTCAGGAGGCCTGAGATCCCTGGACACCGAGAATCTGGTATTTACTAAACATATAATTATACACATTGATATATATACATTCACACACACACAGACACACAGCCACACAGTGCATCTCACTGCCTGCCACATAGTCCCATTGAATCCCTGTGACACCCCACTGTCACTGCAGTCACACCAGCCTGTCACCTAATACAACACCTTATTGTCACTGTCACTGCAATCACCCCCCTCTGAGCCCCCCCAGGATCATAACACCTCTATAGACAATGCCACTGACTCTGATACCAGCCCAAAATTAGACATTCTTCATCCCCCAGTACCCCTCATTTACCAGCTCCCCATCCCCCATCTCCTCTCTCCCAAGCATTCACAACTGCATCCCATATGTCCCAGCCCTAGGAGGAGAAAGAAGCACACCCTCTAGGATGGGACATGGTCTTACTGTCAGGGAAATCTGCTGTCATGAGGAGCAGGGATCAATGTGGCAATGGGTATGGCAGAGAGAAGGGTGAAAATGCTATCTGCTTGCATGGTATTTGTGGCATGCCTGTAGGTATTTGGGGTATGTATGGGTTACTGGTAGGAATCTTCCCTTACCACTCCTCTGGTTGGTTTACAAAGCGCTTACCTCCTTCTTTACATTTTTTGGGTAACTTTATATATAACACTTTCTTACTACAGTCTCTTATTAGCGTATATAACCATTGTCTATAAAACTATTTCTAGTGCTGCTCAAAAATGATTTTATATATATATATATATATATATATATATATATATATTGTGTATTTCAGACATTATATTCAAACCCTGATTTCATGAATTTTGTATTTTTCTTTTTTCAATGCTATATTTAAATGTTGCTTTAAAGCTACACATCTGCTCTATTTTTTTGCCTTGAAACTAATTTGTAGTTTTATGTACACTAACAAATGCCCAAATATTATTAAGTCACGCGAGTATATAATACATTTAAAAACACAATAGTTGTCGTTTTTTCCTGCAGTTCAGTGTAAAATATTTTCCGTCTCCACCTATTACTCTACCCTACTATACTATTACTCCATCTATAACTCTCTTTATCTCGCACCATAATTCTTCTCTATGACTCCTCCCATTACTATATTGCTTTCGCTCCCTCTAAACACCCCAAATTGGACTGTACGGATTCACCTCTTTCCAGTTTCTACTTCTTCCTTCAATATTGCTTTTTATTTCTGCGTGATATACCTCAAATACATTTCAGATTTCCACGTATCAAGGGGTCTGTTTGAGAAATATATTCAGTATTCCAGAGGTTTTTGGTGTTGACAATTAAATGGTTAATGGGAAAAATAATGGATGTGTTCACCAAATACAAGGCTGTTAAATTGTTTTAATTTTAAAAGAATATTTGACACGTTTTAAACTTTAAAACATAACCTTCTATTAATTAAATGCATTGAGTATTGCACCTGCTCTATTCTTTTTGGGGTGATCTAAATCTTCCTTGATTTGTTGTTGTTTTGTTCTGTTCACCTTTACTTTTCATGTTCGTGTGAACATTATGCGTATTTTGTTTTATTATAAGGCTTTGGATCCTTGCGCGATTCATCATAAACACATATTGTTTTCGGTCAGTGTGTGTATGATCAGATATCAGTTTTATATATGTTCAATAACATATAACATTTCCTGTCACCCTATCTGCATTATGTAACCCTATTTGATTTGTTTATAAATTAAGGTTACACCTGTAGAGCATGTTAGGGCAGGAAGGTAACCAATGCTTAGCGGGAAAATAGCATGCTTGTTAGGGGCCAATATTTGTGTAGTGTTTTTATACATGGATGAAGCCCGGGATAAAGCGTTATTTGATGGTACAGTCCGTAGAATAACATCTGTCGCTGAAATCTGCTCTGACCCAGATTGCACTGGTGATTACTGAGACAGGACACCACAGATTGCACAGTCCACAGATTGTATAGGCACCTGGGTTAATGGGGAGTAAGTTATGTTTCCTGTAACAAAGCTAAAAAAAAAAGGAAAACTTTAATTTCTGTAATGGGAGGTGGACAGGGTGGAGATAAGCTTGCAGCTGCTCCTGATTTTTGCACAAAGCTCTTTTCATGTTGTGGGACGATGACATTTTCACATGATGATAGACAACCTCAGGATGTCCCAGAGCGGGAGTATATAAGCTTCCTGCCCGTCTCACGCATGGCATCACAGCGTCTTATGACAGGCCTGGTGTGGAATCCTCTCCGAAGTGAATCACTCTGGTAGCCATTATTATTACGCTAAATAAAACATGCATGCGTGTACACATATTGGCACAACTGGCGTTTCTATGTCCATCGATACCAGTTAGTTTACGCATCAATAGAGGAAGGAGTTTGTTTCAAATCATGCCAAAATAGAATTATGGTGGGCATAGATCTGCACAATATTTTGAAGTTCTCCAAAGAACTAGTAATACTAATGATATATTAAATTTCGGGTTCCACATAGGAAGTGCTTGTTGTAATCCATGTATCACAAGCAGAAGTAAAGGCAACAGTCATAAAATAATACTCTAAAAATAACAATTATAAGAGGATTATAAAAATCTGCTAATGTACATTCACCTGTTCATGCTTTATTGAATCGTGTAGTTAGCCTGCATTGGTATGTGCGTTTATATTAATGTGCTTCACTCTCCTTTTTCGTTTACTCAATAAAAGCTGAATCCTAAAAAAATAATAGAAAAATCTACTTACGTGTTCTACAGTAGCACTTAACCATAAACAATATGTTCGTTTCTTCTCACCCTAGTGTATGTATATTACATTAATATTTGCATGTTTGAGTACAACGATACATAACAATGTATGTTCTACTCATGCTGCGATGCCTCTGTCCGATTGCTGCTGTGTAGTATACACAAGTCTGCGTTCTAGTGTAGCCGCCTGAGCTATATAACACTTTCTTTGTCCCAGTGTTTCTTTAATATATGTTGCTGTTACTAGCAAATGGGCCAGGCTTCTTGTCCCTGACTTACATTCAGAATCATCATATGCAGTCTCTCTGTCCTGCTTCCTGGTCATTCTTTCCTGTGACCCTGTATGAGTAATTGTAGTGTGCATTCTTGCAAAGCATGTTGCACTCTCTGTATAATAATTGTTTGTGTCCTTTATGGTCCAGTATTATTTATATATATATATTATATGTGTGTCACTTTGTACTGTTGGGGAGACTTATGAAAGTGTCACATACAGTTTTGTGTCCTTTATTTATTATTTATCTGTTGGGTCTTTTTTTGTGTGTGTGTGTGTGTGTCTGTTTCTTCTTCAGTGTGGTAAATGTCATTTTTGGATACATATATTCTATAAAATTGATTTTTATGTTGGCTGTTCCTAGAACTGCACTCTTCAGGACAGCGATAACGGATGTCCCACCTGGAATCTGCCGAAGTTACTCCCCCCAACTGGGGTTAAGCGCTCCGAGTGCTTCTATCATAACAGAGACTACTACTGCCTTTATTTTCCACATCCACTATCTGACGGTAGTACACCCCATAGGGAGATGTGTCTTACCGTGGAAACGCATCCTCTATCTTTTGTTGTATCAGGCATCCCCTTAGCAGTTAATCTTTGGGAGCCATCTTTTCAATGTACTTAAAGATGCTCCGTACACTCATCAGAGGGCTTTGATCGTGTTCTTGCCACTGAGCTGGGACATCAGGACCTATCTGACTCTCTGGAGGTACTTGGATGTTGCTGCACTCCTTGCCTCTACCTCATGGTTGCCATGTGTTTGTGGTACCTCCAGGTACTTGTAGCTCTTCTCTATATCTCTTGTTTGACATTTTGGTACTTGAACTCACTCTGTCCTGATCATCTTCCCTCTTTTGCTATTGTTCTAAAGACATTCCAATGTATATAAAATTTAAATAATTAAATGGCCCATCTGTCGTGAAAAATCTTAAGGGATTTATCAGTAAGTACACTAACTTTTATTTATTTATTTTTTAAAGCGGCACTGTCACCATCTGGGGACTTTGCAGATTTTGCAAAGACCCTCAACGCCACCTGCTTTAGACGCCACTTACATGAGTGAGACTACAGCATTGAGGTCTACGGAGGATCCACAAGACTGCAGGATTCCCCACTGACCAAACCAATTCCCTGTAGCTATCACAATTGACGGCTGGGGGATTGACACTGCTTGATGGCGTTGGCTCTGCCCTGTGTTAAGGAGTGTCAGGTGTCGGAAAAATACTGAGACAAAGTAGTCCTTGCCTTGTTTCAGTATATCTATTGATTGGGATAGAATTTCAGTGAAATTCCAACACAGTCAATATGAGTATTTCAAAAAGGTTATATCTTTAGGAAGCACTAACTTTTCAGGGGGTGGGGGAGTGACAGTTTCACTTTATTTTGACAGCATATAAATTCTGCAAGTCTTCAGATGAATAACTATCAAGGACTGTCAATCAGGGCATCGTGAGCTATCTGTCAAGATCCTTGGGGGTTAGCAGACTCGCTGTTTTGTAATTGCCTACTCATCATGACTGATTATAACACTGTCCAACTTTGTTATAGGTGTATTTTATAGATTAACGTATATTTAATAATTTCCTTTTTAATAGTAAATACTACTAATTAAAGATGGGTGGGAGAAAAGTCCCACAGACAATCACAGATTTACACTCCTACATATACACTCCTACTAACAAGCATTCACAGATCCAGGAAGATACTTTTACACACTCTTGGGTTCTCAGAACTATGAAAACCTTCTTGGACTTTAGACTCTCTGGGACATTTTTACAAATGCTGAGGCACTCACAGATATGCAGCTACATTGTAAGCTAAGGAATGCAGTCCTGCATCGGCCCATTTTGTTCAGGAGAGCCATCCTTCTTATATTATTGGAAACGAGCATGCTGTGGCAGTGTCCAATGGGTTCTAGCTAAATAGGCTAATTATACTAGCCCATTCCTGGCACCATAACCACTACAGCATCCTGTAGCGGTTATGATTCTTGGAATCTCTAGCCCCCCCACCCCTAACCTATCAAAAAATCACATTGACCATGTTGGAATTTCACTGAGATTCCAGTGCAGTCAGAATACATACTAAGACAAACTATGTCTTAGTATATTAATTACGCTTGACAAAAGGCAGAGATACCAATGTCAAGTTTTGTCCTTTACCTCAGCCGTCACTAGCGATGGCTGTAGGGGAAAATAGATTGTCTGTGGAGGGTCTTGGGGAATGCTCCCTAGACCTCAGTATTGTTCCCTTACACATAAATACAACAAATATGTGGCTTTCTGGCAGATGAATCTCCAGGAGCTGAAGAGGACAGGCATCATGGCGACGACCGCGAGGGACTGGTTCAGGTTGGTAAAACTCACTGTCCACCATAACCCAGTGGAGTGGTTACCGTTGATAGAATTTGCAAAATATACTCTTCCCGCCCCCCACCCCCCTCTCTAAAAAAATAAATAAATAATCCTTATAATATACTCACATTAATTTCACAGACGTTCCAGCGCAGGAAGACGGTATCATAAGTCAAAATACTACTATGTCTGATGTATTTTCCCACCGCTTGACAAAACTTGACTAAAGACAATTTCCTTAGCCGTCACTAGTGATGATTATGAGTAAAAAGGCATTGTCTATGGAGGATTCCACCATATACATGCGAGTTGTACAGCACTGACACGTGCTCCTGGCAGTTATAGCGTCAAGAGCTAAAGAGGATCTTTGGAAGGAGATTGCGGCCGCCGCACTTGACAGCTGAACATAATTTTCTCTTGTGCAGGTGGTAGTCTTTTTTCATTATCAGCTTAATTTGAGGGGTGAGGTAATTGTTATTACTGATCCAGCTAAGATACCTTCTTATCCTTTCTCTGTGGAAGATGTCTGCAGAACCCATAAAAAACTGCTTATTTTACTTTTTTTTTTTTTTTGTAACGAGCATCGTTTGTAGTACAGTGTTTAAAAGGCTGTAGTCACCATGGAAACCGTTTGAATGCACCTTCTAGAGGATCACATTTAGATGTTTGCACCACATCTTGCAGTTATTAATAAACCCTGTTTTCTCATTCTGTTGAAGTCACCATAGAGTGACAAGCAGATTTGAAGAAAGGTGTCTACTGAGTCATTGTGTCCACAGCTGTTCACAAGTTCTCCTACCGCATTGTGATTGGGTCAGACACATTGTATAGGTTGTGCATTGCTTCCTCATGTCACTGGTATGTTTTTGTCAGACTGTCTGTCATGGCTTTCTTGGGGGAAAACTGAAATTATTTTCTGTGGGTACATTTTTAGATTCTTTGCTTTGTTCTGTCAGGGAAGAGCTGGAACCGTATGCCCAAATCATAATTTATGCAATTTACAGACACTTCCTCCACAAAATATCACCTGTAGTCTAATATAAACTGCATCATCATTGTTATTCATGTTCTCGTTTATCTGTACAGTGTAAACAAATTACGTGTGTCTTTAAAATATTTCAGGCAGAAACATGCCACCTATTATATAGTAGATATTACTTTAAAAAACTGCTAGGTTTTAAAGGGTTTAAGGACAGCGAGTAAGAGGCGCCAATTTCTGACATAAACTATAGCTTTTACTATATAGGAGTCAAAGTACAAAATTAGCAGGTTTTGCCATGAAGCGCTGCACATACAGAGATTAACCCCTTATGGGTCTCCTCATGACTAAGGAGCTTTTAAGAACTTCTTTGGCAATCTGCTCCCAAGGCTAGTCAGTGATCAGACATTGTGCTGGTCTTACACTGTGAACTATTGGCAGGCAGCATCATTCAGGTACGTGATTTACTTTAGTTTGTTTAATTAATGCAAGTACCATTTTGCACATGAACAAACTGTGCAGCCATTTAGGATGGGAATGTAAATCGGAGGGATTGTGTGATTGTGACGCCAGACTACCTTTCCGATCAGTGTTTCCCACTTCCCCTTTAAAGTGCTTTTTCAATACACTGTCTTACCACAATATGACATCAGATGTATCATAGCTCACTTATTGCAGTAGTGGTGACAAATGCGATTTTTCTGTTATAATGAATTAACTCACTGTTCTTTAGAGGTTACTTTATAACCTTTTTATAACTACTATGATGCTTGCATTTCCCTCCCTTTTTATATATAATTATATTTATTTATTTTTCTACACAATTTCTTTTCTAAATTTGATCCATTTCTTCGCAGCCTTTGTTGCATTTATCGTGTGGTCGGTAATATTTTCTGACAACGGTTTTATGCCTCTACACTGATCAGCCACAACATTAAAACTTTTGATAGGTGAAGTGAATAACATTTATTATATTGTTATAATGGCACATTTCAAGTTGGGGTATATTAGGCAGCAACTGAACAATCAATTCTTGAATTTCATGTGTTGGAAGCAGAAAAAAACGAGCAAACATAAAGATCTTGGATTGGATTCCGGAAGTGCTGCCAGTGGCTGTCTGGTAGACAGCCACAGAGGGCAGACTTAGAGATGCAATGTAAACATTGTAGCACTAAGTGCAAAAGGGTCACAGCAACCAGACTACTTCAATGAGCTGAAGTGGTCTGGGTGCCTACAGTGTCCTTTTAATAATTCTGAACTCTAGTAAATTAAAATATTGATGGTGAAAATAGCTGATTTTGAAAAATTCTAGGCTATCTATCTATTTTTTTCACATTTTATATATTGATATAAAGGATTATATATTGCTCTTATTCAAAGTGCATTACAAACTAGGCAAAAATAATATAGACAGTGATATGTAATTATACACAGTGATACAAAACAAGCAGAATAGCTTAGCTATTTTAGGCTTAGTTTTGCATTATGGGTTTTGTTTGCTATTGTGGGTACATTGTGGATAAACCCACAATTTAAAGGGATTCTGTAGGCAATGTATCTGCTTCATCTCATTTAACTGGTTATGGTGTCAGTGGTTCCCTGATGCCATCATTTAATTCACAAATAAGTTTTTTATGTTTTTTATGTTTTAATGCTAAACAAGAGTTTCCAGCAGGCCGTCCACTCTGTGCTGCTTTGGCTAATGAGAATGTATTAGCAACGGGCAGTTGTGATTGGCTGAGAGTGTTAACTGATTGATTCTAGCCCATCAGAGCTTCAACTGACCGTTTTAACTACTAAAAGTGGTGAAAGTAAGGACAACTGGAGGGTCATGTGCGCCCATATTACAGAAAAGAGCTACTGTAGCTTAGATTGCTGAAAAACTTAAAACTGACCATGATAGAAATGTGTTAGAACACAGTGCATTGCAGTTTGCTGCACATGGGAATGCGTATCTACAGCTCGGCCAGAGTGCCCATGATGACCCCCGTCCACTGGCGAAAGCACCTTCAATGGGGTAGTGAGCGCCAGAACTGGACCGTGGACAAAGAAAAAAAGTTTGCCTGGTCTGGTTAATCACATTTTGTTATAGATCATGTGGATGGTCAGGTGCATGTGCGTTGTTTACCTGGAGAAGACATGGCAACAGAATGGACTTTGGAAAGAAGGCAGGCCGATGGAGTCAGTGTTATGTTCTGGGCAATGTTCTGCTGGGAAACATTGGGTCCTAGCATTCATGTGGATGTTAAGTTGACACGTACAACCTAGTTAGAAATTGTTGCAGACTATGTGTACCTTTTTATGATGATTGGTGTTCCTTGATGGCAGGTATGATAATACATCCTTCCACACTGCAAATATAGTTCGGGAATGGTTTGAGGAACATGACAAAGAGTTCAAGGTATTGCCTTGGCCTCCAAATTCCCCACATCTCAATTTGATTGAGCATCAGCGGGCTATGCTGGAGCCACAAATCCCATCCATGGAGGCTCCACCTCACAACTTGCAGGACTTAAAGGATCTGATGCTAATGTCTTGGTTCCAGATACCACAGGACATATTCAGAGGTCTTGTGGAGCCCATGCTTTGTTGCAAGTTGTTTTGAGATAAAGATGGGGACCTACATGATATTAGGCAGGGGGTTTAAATGTTGTGAATGATCAGTGTATAACCTGCCCTGCTGCCAAATTAAGTTGACTCTTGGTAGGAATTCATTCCACCCTCTACTTTAGTGAAACTCCTTTTAAAAAAAAAAAAAAATTTCTTTTGATATAGTTTGACAATTGTATACTCTACTATTCCACTATAATCACTACAACTAGGTGTGGTGGTTATGGTGCTTAGAGTTCCCTATAAATAATTATTGCTTGCTCACTAATGACAAGGATCAAACTACTAAGCTGCTTGGAAAGTCTCGTCCTGTTTTATAAAAGACTAAGATTCCTTAGGTTCCTCAGGTTGTCCTTAGGTTGTTTCTCTTCAAAAATAAAACATTTGCATTAGATAGATAATGCATGACTATATAGTATATATAAAATCTGCTATATATCACGGCTGAGCTTTGGTTTATTTTAATCTCATGCCGTGCATTGGCATAAAATGCTGCATTTAAAGGACCACTATAGTGCCAGGAAAACATACTCGTTTTCCTGGCACTATAGTGCACTGCTCTGGAAAGGGGAAAAGGGGTAAAACTTACCTTTTTCCAGTGCTGGGCGGGGAGCTCTCCTCCTCCGATCCTCCCCGTCGGCTGAATGCGCACGGCAAGAGCTGCGCGCACATTCAGCCGGTCGCATAGGAAAGCATTTCCAATGCTTTCCTATGGACGCTTGCGTGCTCTCACTGTGATTTTCACAGTGAGAAGCACGCAAGCGCCTCTAGTGGCTGTCAATGAGACAGCTACTAGAGGCTTTGGGGGAAGGCTTAACCCATTCATAAACATAGCAGTTTCTCTGAAACTGCTATGTTTATAAAAAAAAAAATGGGTTAACCCTAGCTGGACCTGGCACCCAGACCACTTCATTAAGCTGAAGTGGTCTGGGTGCCTAGAGTGGTCCTTTAAAACCGCAGGTCATTGTGAAGAAGGCGTATTCCCCTAAAGCCGCGATTCGCTGCTTATGTTAAAGAGCTCCTGGTAGGTCTCTAAAAATACTATTTGTATACGAGAGCATTAGCAATTTGTTCAGTAGTTCTTTTCTCTGAGAATAAAATGTAGTTCAGTTGCCAACTTCCCACTTCAAGTCGACTGATCCCACAGATTAGTCAATAGACCATCATTCTTGTTTCCAAGATTACCTGACACATTGTAAATACTCGAAACCAAGCACGCGACGTCTACAAATTTTGGTTTAAAAGAATATTTAAAAAAATTATAAAGTAAAATATAAATATTACATTTAAAAACATAATTTGCATCTCATGGGTTTTTTTTTCTGGCCTGAGCAATGTCCTTTCAAAATGCAACTGTATTCTCTTCCGTGTAGTGCAAATGACGTGGATTACTTTGCAAAAATGCACAGAAGTTCTAAAAGAATAATTTTTTGTTCTCTTGGTGACGAATTGCATGCGAAGTTTGTGATAAGCCCCCATGTGAAAACTCCTACACTGCAGAGCTGTTGTGGAAGAAAAGCAGATAAGAAGAAAAGCGAGAGAAAGCAAAAATTTCACAGAGCTCATTGTTTTGTAACAAATTATCAACTTGCAACTCCATGAAGATAATGCAGACCTGGGAAGAAAGAAAGAGCATCTATCGGGGTGCAGTACCTGAACATGACCACCTCCGAAATCCTCAGCGATACCAGCTGAATGGAGAGACCATTAGAGAACCCGAGGACTGATATTCAGACTGACCTAATTCCAGACACTAACACCAAGCTTCTGTGTGTGCTGCATTTCTGTGGCTCAGACTCTATCCAGAACATTGTGGGCAAGGTATTATTGAAACTTTCTTCAGCCACCTGTTTGAACAAGTGATTTTAGTCATCCTGCAAAGCATAAGCAGCCATATCTTCTTCCCGTATATATATATTTTTTTTTATGCAGTGGTTCCTTTACCGCATGTTTTCTGGGGACTATTGACTGCACAGACGTCACCATAGTCTCCCTATCTGCAAAGGAACTGGTGTTCCACAATCCGTATCAGCTGTTCTATGTAGCAGTCATGTCTTAGTCTGTATTTTTGGGGTCTACATTCACACACACACACACACACACACACATCTTTTAAATGTTGTCGGTTATTTCAATGATGATTCTTGCAGTTGCTATTTGCCCTTGTGGAGGGGAATTACTGTACACTCTGGGTAAGGTGTGCTGGAACGCAATACTTTTGTGTGATACTGGATAATTGCCTAATATTGCTTAAAGGAGGAACATAGCATTGCTTGAGACGAGGAACCTCGAAGAAGATGATAAATACTCAAGGAGACCATCGGTCAGTTCTTGGGGCGAATGAGTTGGAACATGGATACGATCCCTGGGTCCATGATGCACCTGTTTGTTAGTCATCCCACCCACCCCTGTCCCACTTTTTTTTTTCCTTCTTAAATAATTCCAGTGGTTTTCTGCTCTGAAAGCTAACAAGTTTAAAGCCACCCCCCTAAAAGCCCCTCCAACCGTATGCCCAACTATAACTACTGCCTCTCACTGTCCTTGCCCACCAATAATCACTACCCTACCAAATGCTTTCCTGTAAGCATCACTCAATGCAACATAAAATATTTACATTCTCCCTAATGCTCAAACTGGATACTGTTTGGTCTCTAGCTCCCTTGAATCTCGATGGTCTACCAGACTTAAAACCTGGTTGAACTCAGGAGTCCCTTCTAAGTGTCCTACGTCCTCAGACGTAGGACACTTATGTCATTTTCTGTCCTCTCCCATTAGGCATGTCCATCTCCCTGAATGATTTTTCATTATCGTTATCTTCATATATATTTAAGAGCTTATTAAAGTACTGTCAAACTCCATCAACAGGGCCTCCAGATCTTCATCACTGAACTTATCTGTGTGTTTTTCTTTCCATCCCAACTTGTGACAGCCAGACATAAAACTATGTCTGTCAGAAACGTCATATAGATGGGCATATGCTTGCTACATGTTGTTACTATATAAATAACTTGGACATTCTGTCCAAATTATAAAATTAAGTCACATGTTATTTGTAGTAGTAAATATATTACCAGCTGATGTAAATAACAAGTAAAGTCCATAAAATGTCTGCACAATAGGATAAAACTCAAAAAGCAAAGGCTGTGTTTTTGCAGATGAGATGTAAATTTGCCTGTTCGCTGTAATTGCCACATGAAGTTCTGATAGTATTTAAGAATGTGGTCATCTTGGAATAGCTTCACAGTTCTTAAACCCACAGTCACAATTATTTATATACATTAAATCTGCTGAGAGCTTGCCAGGCTGATTAGCTCACAGTTTTCCACTTTGTAGGGAAAAGTAACCACTTATTTCAATTAAGTGATGATGCTTAATGTTCAAAGTGCCCACAGGAAGTACAGATTATCTAGAAAATGCTGTGTTATTTTATCTTAAAAAAAAAAAAAAAATTGACTTCAAAATTATCAGCACATAGTCACATGTCCTAGCCTTGGAGTATGCTTATCTGGAACAGCAACAAAAGTTGTGTAAATAGTAATCTGTAAAATTCTCTATCTTTCATTTTTAAAAGATTTTGTTTGTTATCCACCGTGGTTACTTTATGCCAGGGCTTGAAAAATGTAATTTGAATCTAGGAGCCAGCAAAAAAAAAGTTACGAGCCAGGTTTTTCAATTTCAAAAATACAATTCTTAAAGGGACACTATAGTCGCCAGAACCACTACAGCTTAATGTAGTTTTTTTTCGTGTTTATAACCCGTCCCTCCACATTTTTCAATGTAAACCCTGCATTTTCAGAGAAAAGGCAGTATTTACATAGTTGCCTAGTAACACTTCTAGTGAAAGTCACTCAGATGGCCCCTAGAGTGCATCCTGGGACAGTCCTGCACAGTACGCAGCACCTACGTCTAGCGTCTCCATACTCTGCATGGAGGCGCTGAATGTTCCCCATAGAGATGCGTTTTGCCACACATGCGCAGTAGCCTCCCAATGCTTTCCTATTGATGATCTCAGTCATGGAAGCAGGGTCAGCTGCGGTGAGACCAGCACAGCGTGGGGTGAAAAAGGGGAGTAAAAACCCCTTACCCGTGTGATTGGAGGGGGACTGGTCACCTAAACACACACTCGCTCACTGACACACACACACACACACACTTACTGACAATCACTCACTGACACACACTCACACTCCCTACCTGGAGCTGGAGTGGTTCGGCTTTCACTGGGGTCCAGTGGGGCTTCAGTCATCTCCCTGCTCTGCCCTGTTCATATTCCGGCTAAATGTTTCAGAAGTGAATACTTGTATTTGGAAGCTGTAGGGATATGCCAGATACCAGCATGATTTCTGGTTTAAATTCAGATCCTGAGCCTAAAATATCTGCGATTTTACCACAGTCTGCCTACTAACCGTAAATGGTTAAAAGGAACACTATAGAGTTAGGAATATAAATCTGTATTCCTAAAGCTATAATGGCACTGCTTATTTATATTCAGGCCACCTGATGTTTACCATAAATAAAAATGTCTTTCAGAAAGAGCAAGTCTGCTCTCCCTGTACAATTAAAACCCACCATGACATTCAGAAGAGTCTAAAGTGTATGGGGGAATTCCTCCTGTTATGCACTCGGGGCTCTTTATTTACTAAAGTTTACTATTGATATGAAATTCAAAGTGAATTTCATATTTAAGGTGAAAATACCTGATTTGGAAAGAATCTCCAAGTCCACTATGCTCCTAGTTCAGCTACTCCGTTTAAAATTTGGAATATACTTTGAATTAACGTGGAATTCTCATTCTAGTAAATAATCTTGAATATGTTATAGTTGAAGACTAGGACACTGATGGACACCCCATCTTCAGGATGACTGGAACTGCTCTTTAATCAGATAGCAGCTGTTCCGTGTCTGCTGTTTACTGTTTAAAGAACCAGGCTTTATTTGAGCAGCAGCAGACTGCGGACCACTTTGACAGCATGCACAATACGAACACAATTAACATAAGCAACACAGAACTTGAAGACAGCAGGCTGTCTTCAAGAAGAACTATTTTTACTGCCACTACAGCCTGCTGTCCTTAATCAGGATGCTGCAAGCACTAAGTACTTTGTAATAATGCAAAATGCTTCTGGTTCGTAGACCGACCCTGTAAGGCAGTCTTTACTCCTGTTCATAAGTTGAAGGAATGTGGGCTTTATTTTTTTTTCTTTTCATCATTTAGCTTGCATATGAGTCTACATTTTGAACCTCCAAAAATGACATGATTTAAAGGTACTCTCCAGGGTTATAAAAACTCTGGACAGGTGCAATCCAGAAGCTTCCTGGAAGTTTAGATTTCTCTGGAAATTAACACGTTTTCTTAACGTTAAAACCATGCAGAGGGGTTTGGATAGTTCTATTAACTAAAACATGGATTTCTTTAGGAACCGCTGTGTGTGTTATAAAATTTACCTGCTGCCTATCCCAACCCCTCCCCCAGTGTATACTTTTAGGAAGCACGGTTTTTGTACCTCTGAAATGGCATTAATGTGTAAGCCTCCAAGGTAATCCATGTAAAGCACTGTTCCGAAAGCACCTTGGGAAACCAGTTTCTGTTCTGGGGGTCTGATCTGATCCCATGAACCCCTGTCTAGTAGAGGTTTTAATGCCCCCAGCCCCAGTTCCTCTTATCAGATTTGGTGAGTCCAGCTGTCGAATAAGCTTATATACTCTGGTGGCTCTCACACGGCATATTTACTAAAATGAGAATTCACAGTGAATTTCAAATTTAAGGGCAGTATTGCCAACCTAGAAGCACAGCTTTCTATTTTTTTTTTTTTTTAATTTTCCCTGTTCTGCTATATTGACTGTGAATTTTAAGTTCACTTTAGATGTTTCCTCTAGTAAATAACCCTGTCGAATTATTGACAAAGTCCCATTCGCGGTTTTGCAAACAAGCTGTGCACAGTTATCTCCCTCGGAGCGAGGTAAGGATGAACTAGCCATATGGATTTGGAAGGGCCAAAGAAAAAGTAAAAAACTGTATGACTTAGCTCAGGATATCTGGAATCTCCTAATAGCTGATGTGAGGTGTGAAGTGGCACCAGGTGGACCCAAGGTAATAAGTCAAACTGTCCTAAATCTTTTTGACTAGTTACAATAGTTGGGTGCCAGAGCACACCTGGTACCATAACCACTACAGAGTATTTGGTGTGTTCCTTTAAATGGTCTCCATTGACATCAGACTCGGGAAAGAGCAGACTTTTATCTGCAGCTGTTTTTGCAAATTGCTGCAGTTAAAACTAATTGCAGGACATTTACAAAGTGACAATTTTCAGGGGAACTTTTTGAGAGATATAAAAAAAAGACACTTTGATAAATCTCCCCCAATGTGTAAAGAGACGTTAATAGGGGATCGCCATGCAACATAACCAATGCAATGAGTGTAGTATGTAATTGTGTTTGGTGTATCCCTTTAATTTAGAACAATGCTGGAGCTTAGCTTTTTTTTTTTTTTTTAATTGTTGCAGTGTGAGGTATAAGATCTAAAAGCTTCATAACTGACTAAGCCAGAGAAGGAAATGGAAATGATGGCCTTCTGGATGCTTAGTCACCTCGGTCAGATCACTCCTCCATGGGCTGCATCAGAAATATCGGATAAAAGAAGTCCCTGCAGTCTCATCATTCCATCAAGAGAATATTTAAGAGAGCCTTTTGTCTGTACTCAAAAATGTAATTTATTTATACGACGAATTTCCATTTACATGTTTTGCACTATTTATATATGTTAAATGAACAAAAAACATCCACTGACACAGCATGGCATAAGATTGCAGGGCACAAAATGTCCTTTCCCCGAATAACCTTTGCTGAGTGAAATTATTCCCTGGTCTATAGACATTAAGCTCTGGGGAATGTGCCATGGACCCTCCAGGCTCGCAGTGGCAAGTAAGTTATAGCCCTCTCTATTAGCATAGGGCTTAAAATTTTGCGCCCTGATTTAAGTGAGTTTCTATTTGTATACACTTCAATTCTCATTCTAGTAAGTGTTTCAGTAGTGGTTTTGGGTGTGAGGGAAAGAAATCAAACTAGAAAAGTGACACTTCCCATTTAATCGTATAAAGGCTATATGGTAAACCTAACAGTACAATGTAAAGTGTTGTTAACAATACTGGTATATGTTAAACAAAATGTGAATTCTGCACCTCTGCAATAATAGTGCTGTAAAGTTTAAGTGGACAGGATATGGCAGTATCTCTGATCATGCTCCCAGAGCGAACTAAAGAGAAGCATATGATGCTACGCTATAACTTATGATCTGCTATAGAATAAAAGCATGCTGTCAGTGAATGTGTCCGTACATATCCTTTATGTTTATACTGTTTTCCTGCTGGGAAAGAAAGTGTTTGAACGGTTACATTTAACCAGTTTGTGAATAGGCCACTGGTGGTGTAAGGGGTTAATTGAGCAGCACTGAATATATGACTGGTCATTGCTGGTCAGCTCTGCGGTAGCTGTGGGGTTAATAGAGAAATCGAGTCTTGTCTTGCAGGAGAGCTGCTAATGCTTGCGCTTCCTCCTTCAATTTCCGTGTATTGTCCGGGTTGGAACGGACAGGGTTAATTTAAGAGGTATGCGAAGGGCGAGGCTAATGCAGGATGTGCAGAGAATGGCCTGTGTGTGTGTGTGTCTATATATAATCTTGATTTGTTTACAGTTTATAAAATCCAACAGAAATAAAACAATATATGTAACACTCATAGTTGAATACACTTGCTGGATACTAGCGCTGTTACGTGAAATGAAAATATTTTGGTGTTTTAGAACTTCCTTGAAGTGGAAAACCAGTATAGCAGTGTTCAAAGCGTAAAGCAGTGTTTAAAAACAGTATACTTCATATCTAACAGGGTTATTCACTATGGTGTACATTGTCAGGAATCCAAAGTGATTTTACTATACCCAAACTAAATACAACGCTTACAATTCAGCGATTTGGGCTAAAATGTAATGTATTGAATTTGTATAAGATCAAAGGAAAGTATGACATCTCAGTCTGAACATTGGTTTTTATAAGTCATCACAGAGCTGTACCCTCTCATTTGTACACCGATCCCTTCCCACCAGATACTGTTCTAGTGAAACCTATTGACTTCTGTGTCCATCCTTGGTGAAGATAGAACACTGATTCTATAGAGAACTATAAACCGTCAAGTTTAAGTAATCACAATCCATATGACCGCTGAATCATCCTAAAAATGTAACTTTTATAGCATGAGCAGAACAAGCCCCTCTCTAGAGTTTAGAGTTTGCAAACATTGTCGGGGAACTTTTTACTAATAATTCATTGTTAATGATTTAATGGACAAATAAGTACAGGACGTACAATATCAGATCGCAAAATTCTTCTTCCCGTGAAAACTGAACTGATATTCCAGGAGGCCAAATTCAAGTTCACTCGCAGTGACCTTGAACAGAAGACGGATAAACTTCACATATCACACAGAGATCACGTTAATCTAAAGGAATTCTTTATTAATTATCTCTTCCTGGAGGAAATTCTTCCAACATTCTGCATTATCATTCCAAGATTTAAACAGTATTCGGTGACTGAAAGTGCCAGTTGATGGTTCTCAGCCCAGCGACCCCAGGCCCCATATCTACTCTAGCGTTCTGTAGTGATTATGGTGCCTCGTGTCCCTTTAATATCTACATGTTGAGCATTCACTAGCTTGTTTATCTTTCATTCCATAAGGCCCTAACCATTATCCTTAAACACACAACACATTTTGTAATACCTTCCTCTGTAGTACTTTCAGCAAAATCTCCTCCTTTATTGCTTCCTTCTATTCTCTCCAGGTATCAGTCTACAGTAATTAGGTTCATTCAATGCCTGTTGATTTTGTTCCCTTGGATGAACTTTAGTTTACTTGTAGTATGTTGTTGTAAAAATTGATTGTGTGTTGCTGTTTAGAGGCCACCAAACTTTAAAAGTCAAATGTGGCCTCTTTCAAGAAGCCAATGTTTGGTTAATGCACTCAGAAAAGAGATGGAAAACCGATGCCACTTTTTATAATCCACTTAATGTTTCCCATACAGATCTGGTCCTTTTTCATCCGAGACTGATGCAGGAGTTACTTGGGGATAGTCACTTGGACATTATAAATTTGTTAAAATATTGTTTAAAATATTGAAGTGAGGCTTTCTAGGGATATTGTAGAAAATTCAAAGAAATATTATAAATAAATATTAATTCCATGAAATACTCATGCTGACTATTCCATTAAAATTCCAACACAGTCCTAAGGCACCATGTGACAAAGAACGAGCCCTGAGGTTGACAGAAGGTGGAACTACACTGTCCACTTTTGTCCTATCTCCGCAGCTTTTGCAGGTGACGGCTGTGGGATTCGGGCATAGTCTTCCTCATTGAGAAGTTATCTAGAGAGGCTCCTGCGGTCTCCCGGGATCCTTCATAGACCTGAATGTTGCACTCTTATGGTTCCTTGGAGATGAAGCACCAGTACCCAAAGAAAGTCTCTAGGAAGAAGATAGCATTGGCTCTGCCGACTCTGGAGATGTGACCTCCAGGGATCTTTGCAAAATATGCAGCCAAAGCTTTGCCATCCAGTTTCTGCCTGATAAGAAAAGCTCCAGGTGAGTCTGATACTGAATCGACCCCTCTGTGGGTGAATGTCATGGAGAGCTCCTCTTCAGGGTACATCTTCAAAGATGATTTTGGCAAGAGACTCTTTGCGTTTCCTGGGGAATCCCAACCCTTTTTTTTTTTTTTAAACCTCAGGTGTATGTCCCACTGTACAGCACATGCTCGGTATCTGCTTAATTTGGCATGCTAGGTTGATTTTTCTTTTAATTTTATTTTTAGTTCACCAATTAAGTTTATATTAAGTGACCAAATTAATTTGATGTTGCTTACTGTTCATCACCGTTTTTTCATACCACTTATTACTCATTATATTCCAGGTAGATAATAGCTGTGCCACACTTTTTTCCCCATACAATTACATGCCATGGTACACGTGCAATTTAGTTATTGTCAAGTATTTTGAATAATTAAACCGTAAAATATTCAGGACTGGTCTTGCACGCAAGACACATACTGCCTAATCAAGATGTATTGCTACTCCAGAGTCGACCTTACGTCTTTGGATGTTTTTCATTGGGTACTGTATCAGCATTTATTGATCTGTTGATTAGCTCCATCCCAGTCTTTTCATGAATTCATTGGCTGGTGCCTGTTAAAATGACATATACACAGAGTTCCCATGACAAGCAAAGAGTGCACTGACAATAAAATAATGCAGATTTTTTCTGCATGAACAGCCAAATTGTAGCAAAAAGAATTCAGAATTGAATTTCAGCTTTATTATGTGTGGTTTTTTTTTTTCACGTTTGAGGAATTCTTTATGTAATGCACTAATCGTGTGTGGTGGAGCTGTGCTCATTTGACCTTCCATGTAGCCTGAAAATCTAGCACTTGACATGGCTGACCTGCATTGATACCAAATTTGCCTCGGTAAATCACATGTGTATATAAAAACCTAAATATAGTTGGCATCCTTAAACGACTTGCGTGTGATGATGTTGTTAACAATGTTACTTTTAAGTCTTAAACATTTATGGGACTAAGCGGATAGAAAGTTGCAGATGCGCTAAAAGTTTTAAAAACAATATTTCCTGCAATAATGACCACTGCAGGGTTATGGATGCTGGGGCAGTGCACCCAGACCATTTCAATGAGCTGAAGTGGTCTGGGTGCCTATAGTGTCCCCTTAATAAGAGAATATGTGTGATTCATTAGTCCAGGTACACCTAAATTGTTTAAAGACTTCATTTCATGATAACGTTTGCTCATGATCCATTTATAATAGTGTTTTTTTATTTATGACATTATACCTTTGCACGTGGTGCAATGTATATTTTATGTAAACCTTTGTATCTAAACAAAAAAATGACTCATAGCATTGTGCTGTAAGGTGTTGCACTAATACAAAAACCAGTATAAAGACAATCCAGCGGGAGGATTAGTATTTGGCTTTGTGAGAGAGGGGGAAATATGCCCGCTTTATAGAAATATGAAGCTTTATAGAAATCTGTCTCGTTATATTTAGATAGATATAGATAATAGTTTGTTTTTTTTTATATTTGATTAATAGAAAACTATGGGTCAGGCAGAACTAAGATGAGTTCTACGCACTAATCTGAGATAGTATTGCAATATTTAAAATAAATCAAACTGCTTATCCTACTGTTAGCACAAATTGTTTGAGACAAGTTTATTCTCCAAAAAAAGAAATGTTCTAAAAATAAGAGTGTTTTTATTAGACACAGAACGTTTATACCCATCAAGAAGTTTTGTAAGTAAACCTAGTTATAAACATGGTAAAAATACTCTGGTGCTGTTATACACTGAAAGTGCCTTGATGTTCTGTTTTACTGCTGAATGTAATTTAACCCCTTAATGACCAATGACGGTTCAGGACAGTCATCAGAAATATCCCCTTGAGGACTTATGACGGTCCTGAACCATCATAATTACTTACCCGATCGCCGGCGTTGTTCCGGGTCTGGGAGGACTGCCTGGGCAGTCCCCCCTCGGCAAATTAGGCCCCGTGGCACAATAGGTGTCCTAGTATCTACCTGCAGGGGGACTGCCTGTGCTGTCAGGCAGTCTCCCTGCTGCTGGAAAATAAAAATATAAATAAAAATGTTGGTAAATAATATGATTGAGATATATATATATATTGCACAGTGCCTTGCAAAAGTATTCACCCCCCTTGGCATTTTTTGTGTTTTGTTGCCTCACAACCTGGAATTAACAGGGATTGTTTGAGGATTTGCATCATTTAATTTGCAGAACATGCCCACAACTTTGAAGATGTTTTTTTGTTTTTGTTTTTTGTTTTAATATTGTGAAGCAAACAAATAGGACAAAATAACAGAAAAGGTCAATGTGCATAACTATTCACCCCCCTAAAAGCAATACTTTGTAGACCACCTTTTGCGGCAATCACAGCTCCAAGTCGCTTTGGATAAGTCTCTATGAGCTTGCCACATCTTACCACTGGGATTTGTGCCCATTCCTCCTTGCAAAGCTGCTCCAGCTCCTTCAAGTTGGTCTTCATGGCAGTGTTTGGTTTAAAAAAAATTCGTGTATATGTAATGACAGATCATGTGACAGATCAGATTGCACACAGGTGGACATCATTTCACTAATTATGTGACTTCTGAAGGTAATTGGCTGCACCAGAGCTTTTTATGGGCTTCATAACAAAGGGGGGTGAATACATACGCACATGCCAATTTTCTCTCTTCTATTTCTAAAAAATAGTTTTATGTATATATTTTTCTAATTTCACTTCACCAACTTAGACTATTGTGTTCTGATCCATCGCATAAAATTCAGATTAATAAAACATTGAACTTAAGGCTGTAATGTAACAAATTGGTAAAAAGTCAACGGGGTGAATACTTTTGCAAGGCACTGTATATAGGAATCAAAATCAAATAAGTTATGGTGGGGGAAAATTTGTGATTGAAAACCCCTTCCACATGAAGTCTGTGGATAATTAATACAATGTTAAACAAAAATCTGCACACCAGTCAAGCCATAAGACTTGCTTTTTCTGTGGAAAAAGCAAGTCTTATGGCTTGACTGGTGTGCACATTTTTGTTCAACATTGTATTAACTATCGCGCGTGTGTGTGTGTGTGTGTGTGTGTGTGTGTGTGTGTGTATATATATATATATATATATATATATATAATCATATTAAGTGTATTTTTATATTAATACATATATTAATATAAAAATACACTTATAATGAAATTACAAACGCGCGTGTCTTTTTTTTTTTTTTTTATGATGTGCAAGTGGTAACAGACAGCTTGATAAGCCACAACAGCATTTACAAGCATAGACAGAATAGGATTTTGAAAACAGTGATGTGGCATTCAGGGAGGCACATTTTTATATTATATGTTAGGAAAACATGTCTAAGATCTGAGTTATACCTATAACACTAGAAACAACAGAAACCGAATAAAATAATTAAGGTAAATAAAAGTGTATGCGGTGCACATCGCCAGCAGAATCTGATTCATGTGGGGCAATAGTAGGTAGTAGCAAGCAGAATATAGGTCTACTGCTGGCAGCGAGCCACTTGGTACATAGCATGCACAAGTGAGATCCTAGACATGTAGTAGGGATTACAGGATATAATAACCCCAAAGCTCAAAAAGGGTGGGTGGGGGAGAGGAGGATATATTGTGCCAGAACGAGACTATTAGTGAGCTGTTTTAGGGGTAATTAATGTGTACCTTGGTACTGGCTCGCAGCAGTGGGGTGACCAGTGGAGAGGTGAAGTGTCCATGGTAACAACTTAAAATGCAGTGAACAGAAATACGCACACGCACACAAACACACACACACACACACGCTCACTCACTAGCAGGCACACAAACACACATACACAAGCTCACTCACTAGCAGGTACACACACACACAAGCTCACTCATTGGCAGGTACACACACACACAAACACACACAAGCTCACCCACTAGCAGGTACACACACACAAGCTCACTCACTAGCAGGCACATGCACACACAAACTCCCTCACTAGCAGATGTACGTACACACACACACACACACACACACACATGCTCACTCACTAGCAGATGCGCGCGCACACACACACACACACACACACACACAGAAGCTCACTCACTAGCACACACACAAACCTTACCTGGCACTGGTAGGTGAAGGTGTCAATGTCTTGCCGCTTCATTCCAGCGAGGTGAGCAGGTTCCATCTGGGGGAGGGGCTTGTGTTTGGGTGGCGGGGCTTAAATATGGGGTCAGGGCATGTGGCCGTAATTGTTGTACACTGTGCAGGGAGACAGACCTGTCTCCCTCCGGCCCAAGCAGAGTAATTGCAGCCGCACCAGCCTCCAGCTCCTTCCCTCGGACAAACACAGGCTGGCACAGTCCGAGGGGAAAATCATTTAAATTACATGTGCCTGATGATTAGGGCTGTCTGCCCAGCCCCAGGTGCCGCGGCTCACCGGGAAATATCCCTGTATCCCGGTAGGCCAGTCCGTCCCTGGAAGACAACCATTTTTTTAAAAGTAAATTATGACATGAGACAAATAATCGTATGTAAAAAAAAAAAAAGCCCTTTTTGTCCTGAAAAAACAAAATAATTTGTACAGCAACAGTAAACGAGAGAGAGGAAACTTAAAGTTAAACACAAACACCACAAAAGTGTTAAAACAGCCCTGGTCCTTAACGTACAACATGGCCAAAACAGTCCGGTCCTTAAGGGGTTGAATAAAGTGTATACTTGGTAGCAGTAACTGTATATCCTGAGCTTTACATAAGGATAGTCAGGATAGGATACAATGTGGCTATCATACAGGGTTATTCACGAATTTGAGAATTCAAGGTTAATTCAACGTGAATTTCAAATTTAAGGTTAAAATAGACAAAATATAATTTTTCCAGTTTGGCTATTTTGAACTTAAATTTAAAAGTCTCTTTGAATTTTCACCTTAGTGAATAACCCGGATGGTATAATTCAGAGGCGTCATCTTAAGCATAACTCCATAAATATTTGAACTCACTCACATGTACTCATACTATGGATAAACCACATCTACTGACTAAGGCTTTGATCAAAATCCAGCACTTGTGTTAGTTTGACAACGGTTTCTGAAGTTTGGCTGGTATTGCTTTTTTTTTTTCCTTCAATGAGATCACAATCCAAAAATATCTTGGCAGTTTTCCGCTGATTACGATAGAGAAGTAAGAATCATTATCACCTAAAACCAGGCTTGACTTTTTGTCATTGATCACAGATTGATATGCAGAGATTGCAGGATTATCATCCAAAAATAAAGTTTTCCGCTGATTACGATAGAGAAGTAAGAATCATTATCACCTAAAACCAGGCTTGACTTTTTGTCATTGATCACAGATTGATATGCAGAGATTGCAGGATTACGACTGATTGCGTGGCTGTAACGTAAGGTAAATGTAAGATTGTCTTTTGCCAAACTAAAACTCTTGTTCGAATGCATCAGAAAGATGTGATTGTGACAATGTCAACATCGTTGGCAGCAGTTAATGTTTAGATAATGATCAAATGACCGCTTGTGATCGAGGCCTTTGTAAGCCTGGTGGAATGTCTTCAGCCACCACCATACATTTAACTATAATGTAATTATAATAGGTGTATTGCCACCTTGCAAAGTATGTTTTTTGTGTCTGTGCGTGGAAGGCCAGTGAATGAATTGGTGTGTTTGCACCTCTTTCTCCTTCCAATGTGAGCTGGTCTTTCCGTATTTGTGACAACTCCCATCCCAAATCACATTACTCTCAATACCTCCCATTTCCTGCCCCTAAAGTGTTTTTTTTCAATTATTAATTTTAATATATAATCCATCATATATTAGGTGGCACACAATTACTCACCTTTGCCAGAGGTTGGGGGTGAGGAGTGGAGTGGAGGGGGAGGGAGTTGATCATCATTAGTATGGCGCAGGACTTTAAGAAGTACTGATTCACACAGCTCAGCTTGTACTTTAACATGTAATGTATCACTATAGAGTGAGCTGCCTGGATGCTTGTCTAGTACATACAGAAAGTTGCTGCTTTTAAAGGGACACTATAGGGACTTGGACCATTCATCTCATTGAAGTGGTCTGGGTGCATTGTCCCTGTCCCCCTCAGACTTTTTTTTATTTTTTTATAATTCTTTATTTTAGCATTGACATATCATACAGCTGGTAAACAGAACGTAGGCTTGTGCAAAAGCCGGGTTGCATGAGGTACAATGAAATTGTATGGATACAGAAAGAAGATAATGATTTGGTTAAAGGTACATTCGGTTCTTGATATGCCCGTCATCTTGATCATTTATGGTTTTCATACATCTGTTATCTGTCAATGGTCTTTGTCATATGGTTATCTGTCTTCGTCGTTATGTGGTCGTGGGGTCCTGATACAGGAGACATCTCGCTGGGTGGTGTCCCGAGACTCAGACTTTTACTATAAGAGAAACTGCAATGTTTATATTGCAGGGTAAAGACTTCCTATTGTGACTGTCTACCAGAAGGCCACTAGAGGCGCTTTTGTATTATTAGGGGGTAGTGATGTCCCGAACGGTTCGCCGAATGGTTCGCCGCAGACTCATCATTGAGTAAACTTTGACCCTGTACCTCACAGTCAGCAGACACATTCCAGCCAATCAGCAGCAGACCCTCCCTCCCAGACCCTCCCACCTTCTGGACATCACTATTAGGGGGTCTTTTGTATTATTATTATTTTTTTTTTTTTTCCGTGTCTGTCTTTATTTTGTCTTTCTTTTCTCTGACTACTTTTTTTTTTTTTGCATTACTGGTCTTCAAAGTCACAGTCCTTTTTACCAACTATGTTTTTTAGTGGCTTTTCTACCTTCTCGTGTCTTTGGAAATATTTTACTGACCTGGCCACTATACTGTAAGGACTACATCTTCGTGTACAAATGTCAAACCTTTCAGCATGTGTTATGTTGCTTTATCAACAGGGCCTCTGCGAGGTGGGTGGTGCTATAGTACATAGGTTTTTTTTTGGCTATTGGCCAATTCAACTGGACTCGCTTACCACTCCCCAGTACAGAAACATGGTATTTATAAACCATTTGGGAATATGTTGTGAGTGCAGGTTAATTGCAGGTAAAGAATTGCTATTAGGGGGAGAATAAATAAAGGGATTTCCTCCCTAGCAAGAAAAACAAATAAAAATATACATGTTGCGCTCGAAATCTTATGGATATCCCATTTCTCTCTATTATTAGTCTAGTTTTGCATTAATGTCCCATCAATATTTTTTTGCCAGCGCTCACAATAAGCCATACGTAGGTACTCCACAGAGATCCGCGCAATACAAACAAAAAGCAAATACAGAATTGTTACCGAGACCTTCAGTCAGTAGTTCAGGTGGGATATTTTAGGAGGAAAGTAGCCCTATCTAAAAATCCTGGAATTCGCGATTAGTGGAATGTCGCCCTGAGGGTGTCCATTATAGCAATTCTTCATAATTGGAACGTTTCGTTGCAGGTTTTTCCTTCCTGTACCGGTAAGTTAAACACGCGTTTTATGAAGACATTTGCTCCAGTTGCTCAGGGGAAAAAAATGTTGATGAATTTTGTTACAGCAGACGGAATGGCACTTTTCAAATGCAGAATTCATATCCATTTAAGTAGGGTCCCCCTCCCCCACAGGTATTACCACCTGCACTGGTTTTATATTCTCTAAATCACAGGCATACTTGTGCAGCGAGCTGTATCTTATTACATGGTTGTTCACTAAAAGGACAATTTACCAGTGCTGTTTGATGTACCCTTTTATGATATTTTTAATTCTTAAAGGAACACTCCATTACCATAACCCTTTACAGTGTGCTGTAGTAGTTTTGGTTACAGAAGTGCCTTGCTGCTCCCTCATTGTAGGTAGTGATGAAACTGTTTTTGAACTGTGGGACTTCTTATCAGGAGTTCGCCAGGCACCGAACTCACTTTGAATTCCTTCCAACTCATATTTTACTGAAAGCTCTGATCATCTTTTATTTCAAGAAACAACAAATATTTGTGAATTAGCATTTACAGTACATAGAAAAAAGACGAAACTAAATATAAGTGAACAATGGTGTTTTGGTGGTATGTACATATTTTAAGTAAAATATAAAAAATAAGAGTAACCTGCAAGGTACATTGAACACCATTTGATATAGTTCTATAAGGGATGTAAGATTAAAGGAACACTACATAGCATTAGGAATACAAAACTATATTCCTAACACTAAAGTATACCCAGTGCCCCTCGCCCCCAGCATGTAAAGGGTTAAAAAATAACAACTTTATTTACTCACCTGATTCCAGTACCAGTTTTTCTCGGTGCTGGGCCAGCGCTCTGCCTCCTCAGACGTCATCTGACGGGGAGCCTAATGTGCATGCCTTAATGCTTTCCGATGGAGACTTCACTGAGTGACTATAGATTCCCTTTAAATCCAGAGCCAAGGTCTGTTTGCGCTGGATTGCTATCCTTCTCCTGTGACGTCACGCTGATGGAGTACCTAAAGCACATGTGTGTCAAGTGCCGCATGTACTCTAGACTTTCTCCATAGAAAAACATTGAATCAAGCAAAGCATGAGTACATCCATTGTTGTTTTTTGGAGTTAAACTCCATGAAAATCCAGGAAGCGTCTCTAGCCACTAGAGGTTGTCCTAACTCTGCAGTGTTTTCACTTACAGGGTTAAGGGGACAGGGACACTTTAACCAGACCTCTTCAATTAAATGAAATGGTCTGGGTGCCTACAATGTCCCTTTAAATAACAGATTTATAGTGTTTTCTAAATTTTTTGTAATTTCTAGAATTTGTCACCAGCATATTTTTGTAAAATGCTAAAATTATTTTTTTTAACTTTTCCTATTTAAAGAGGTTCCTGTGGGTCTGAGCTACTAGGTTTCTCTATGCCCTGACTAGTCTATTCCTGACCTCATCACTCATACTCTGAAAACGTATGGGACTTGGCCCTAAGGGCTCAGGTGCAGCGATATTCTTGTAGGAGCCAAAGCGCAGAAATTGGGCTACTTCTTAAAAGCTACATTTGTCATTATCCGCATTCTACTCTTAGAATGTATAAAGAAAAAAAACTCTTCTGGTGGACGTTTTCACTAGCTGTGCTGTTTCTAGTCTGCGTGTGTGGGTGGTGGAGCCATCCATGGGTTACACAACCGGAGATGAACCTGGTTACGGTTTGAGGATAAAGGTAGTGTAAGGATAATTATACACCTATTTTCTCTTTAGACTGTCCTGACTCTATTTTTGGGTAGCTTTTAATGTAAACCTAAAAGGATTAGTAATGTTATTTTTGGCGTTTCACTGCAAGTCGTGTTCAAGTGCTAGGATTTCCGTAGCATTTTTCTGAAAACTAGTCAGACTTATGCACTGTCATATTTCAAGATTGTTTGACCTCTCATGTCTAAATTTTTACTTCTGGTTATGATGTAAAGGACTTGTTCCCCAGATTAGACTTTCATGTGTGGTGAAGATCATTTTTCACATGTGTATGTCACCTGAAGGCCTCTCTGACTGTTTGCCAAAGCTTATTTTGTAATGAGTGAGCACCCTCTTGTTAGTCTGAGACCTCTATGTTGACCTATTTTCCATAGAATTTGCCCAAATAAATATGACATATTTTAAGATATTCATTTATTGGTTTAGAAAGCTTTTAAATTTTGACCTCTTATCATGCAATCCATGTTCTCCTTCGTGAAATCACCATTATTTTGCCAGCTTAGATCACTCACCTTAAAATCTATCCTTTCTTCTTGAAATCTATGCTAGGTTTAGATGGCTACTACAGGTGCTTCCTGGGGCAATGCTGCACAGTGTGCAGCACTGACATTTAGTGTCTCCACCCTCTGCGTGGAGATACTGAAGTTTACTCACAGCGATGCATTAATTCATTGCATCTCATGCAGAGATGCTAATTGGCCAGGGTGGAGTTTGGATATGCCCCCAGCCCACATCTGTGGCTGAGATAATCAGAATTGACAATCTCAGCAAATCCAATGCTTTTTTTTAAAATGGGAAACCATTGTGAATGCCTAAGATCATAATTTCTGATGATGTCAACCAAGGAGGCAGATCAGGAGCAGAGCCAGCATCAGCAGACTGGAATATAGGTGGCATTTTATTATATTTAGGAGGGCAAGGGGGGGCTAGATACATGTGTGTCTTTTTAATGCTATAGTGTTCCTTTAAATTACTTAAGAATGGGCAGTAGTTTACCTCTTGTATGAGTATATTTGTTATACTGCCAATAAAAAAAAAAAAGTTGCTATTTTTATGTAATTGTCTCCGACAATGACCTTATGGCCCTCCCACACAGCCAAACAGTAGACATGAAGACACCATGAGCACAATTCTGAGTCAAGCAGTGTGTACATTCTCTTGTGATGTGTCATTTCAATGGTTTGTGAATTATGGAGCAGAGAGGAGTTTAATCTCTATGATTACAGTGCCCACTGTTTTAGCTCCTTAAATGAACACTATATTAGTGTCGTAATTGAAATGTGTATTCCTTACACTATAGTCCTGGAGTAGCTGTTTAGGTGACTGCACCTACCCCCGTAGCTTGGAGATAAAAGCTATTTTACTCAGTTTCATCTTCGCTGTGCTGTTGTCACCGTGGCTGGCTCTGCCGCCATGACCGAGACAATCACCCATAGGGAAGCAAAACGCTGCGCAAGTCAGCAATATCCTCATTGAATTAATGTACATCTATGAGGAACGTTCAGCATCTCCTTGCAGGGCTTGGAGATGCCGAACGTAGGTGCTGCGCATTGTTCAGCCCTGGACTAAGAAGACTGCCAGCAGAGATGTTACTAGGCAGCAATGATTATGAAATTGTTTATAAACAAATGCATGAAAATATATATATATATATATATATATATATATATATATTTTTTTTTTTAAAGATTCAAATCTACTATATTGTTAAAACCATGTATAGTTTATTGCATTATCACAACACATGGAAATAAATAAAAAGGTAAAATTAAAACCATAAAAAAATAAGATGCCGTAAAACTTCCCTAGCATGTGATGTGCAGTGATGATGTTTTTTTTTGTTCCAAAAGATTTTGCAACTCATTGAACTAGGTCCTGTTAGGGATGCAGGAGGAGCAAGCAGCTTTTCATCTACTCGTGCACTTTTGTCCTCAAATCTTAGAACGTGCTCAGAGGTTTCTGATGAACTCGGACTATAGGACTAGGCACTTCCTGGTTCCCAGAATTTGGGTCTGAGCAGTTATATTAGGAAAAGGAAGTTTGAAGAACCTCCAGTCATAGTGGCATTGGGACCAGATGACTGGGCATTGCCTGACCACATCTGATATATTCTGGGAATATTTCTATACGATACATAGATTCGTTCTACTCGGTTTTGTGCGTCGATATCGGCACTAGCAGTGCTTGGCCTAATGATGATGACATGATGCATAAGGCTCCTTAGAACTTTTAATTTAGCTTTCAAGTCTTGGTAGAAAGGCGCTGTTGTGTTACGCTAGTGCCATTTATTCACTGCTTTAACTTTTGCAAAAAAAATGTAGAAGGTCCTGCTTCTTCCTTTCTGGTTACTGTTGTTTTCTTAATATTGTTTTAAGAAAGATTGGGGGTGAGTGGAATAATGCATCATGCACAACCTTCACAATAAAAAATTCATATGAGGACTGAAACGTTAATCTTTGTTTTAATTGCTTAGCGTTGGAATAAAGAGTATCTTGTTTGCTGAAGGATGATGAGTCTGGTAAAGACTGCTGAATAAGAATGAACTTATACACAAGGTTTGTATGCAAGCCTGGAGGTTTTCAGTGGTATCTGTATGCTTTTCTACCAAGCTCTAAAATTAAGTGATGGCCAGTATGGTAATTGCACAACCAAATAGTGTTTAGTAATGTAATTAAATCCATCCTGCCAGTGTTGTGTGTGGTTTTTTTACTGAACAACTTTGTACCGAACAACCAGTGTTGTGTCTAAAAACCAAACTTTTTTGTCTGCCAGTAATGCCACAGAAGATAGACAACATAGCATTCATAACTTAAATTACTTAAAGGGACACTGAAAGTACTAGATCTGCCTATGGTAGCAGTTATGGTGCTTGGATACTGCCCCTATATACTTACTATTACATTTTATTTTATTGTGGCAAAACAAAGCTTTAAAGCATAGCTTGCAAATCACTCAATCTTTGGATTGATACCGTGTTGTTGTGACATACATCTCAGGCTTAAATTTGTTGTTGGTTATGTGTGGCATTAATGTAGTTCTATATTCATGTTCATAACAGATGTTTAGGGTACAGTGCACATGTGTATTTGTTAAATTATCAATTTCCCCTAGTCGTCAATCGTTTTAAGAAGTCCTTTAAAACCCATTTTTTCAGAAATGCTTATGGCCTCACAGAGTAACTTTTATGTCACACATCTGTCTCCTTTTCTCTCCTAAAGGGCCACACTCCACTCTCACCTCCATTTCTGCTACTTTTCCACCTTGTTTCTTTGCTGTCCCCTTAGCTGCCCTATTGTGCTTTTATACCCCACCTCCTCTAGACTGTATGCATGTTTGAGCAGGGCCTTCAGCTACCTATTGTTCCTGTGTCATTTTGTAAATGTCTTGTTTATTCTAAAATCTCCCCCTGTTCAGAATATTGTAAAGCGTTGCGGATTAAGTTGGCGCTATATAAATACAAATAATAGTAATAATAATAGTGTATTGCTGCTTTTTATACTTTTTGTATTAATTTGGTGGTGATGGTTTTACAAATCAGCTCATGGGGTGGTGTTTGTAGTGTTAGTCTTGCTCACGTGTGCAACGGTTTGCTCTTTGGATTTTCGTTAATTCATTGAAAAGTGTTGTCTGTAGTTTGTCAAGTGCTCTTGGCTATTAAATTTGATAAGGGAAAATGGTTATGTTAATTTGTTGACAACTTCTTTTCTGATAGATTGTGCTCACTTGAAGCCCGCTCTAGTGGTTCTAATTCCTGGAGAACCCTGGTCCAGTTCCCTGGTAATGGGGCAAACTGTTTAGCAATGTTTTGCCCTCTTACATGGGTTCCCGCCAGGCTTCAATACTTGCTGGTTGTCCAGTGGTGCACTTCTTGCTTCTGCAGAAGCCGCAGACATTTATTGGCTTAGTGTGTCAGGTGACAGTTCTCTGCATTGAAACTTATATAGAATAGAAAATAGCCAGCCCTGAACTCTAAATTCCAGGCAACCCACTGATGCTACCATTGGTGGAGTTACACCTCCAGCAGCAGAAAGGGTTAAACTTTTTATTTTCATTGTTTAATAGCGAAACACTGCGCTTACAGATTACAGGCACCATGACCACTTAAAATCACAGAATTAGTCATGATCCTTGGAATAAAACGGTTAAGCAAAAGTATTGCACCTGTTTTTGCAAAGAGAAAATGGGAAAAATTTGTTGTTGGAAAGTATGAAAAGAATGTGATTGTGAACATAGATACATCGTTAAGAGCTCATTGTCTGCTTTTGATATGTCGATAATTATTCACCGATAGGTTATGATCTACCCTGATGGTTAATGTGCTTGGTAACAACTTGTTGATCCAAGGAATAAAATGATTGCTGTTTTGAAATGGCAAATAATTATTTTTCCCTTTTTGTGGCACAAATCGAAATCCCTTCACATTATGGTTTTCATTTTGGTTCAGTTGAAATACATGTTACAAAGGTTGAACTTTTGATGTTTTCTAAACTTTATTATTAGGTTACTCTGTAACTTTATCGAACTAGTGCCCCTTCACACACCGTAAAAAAATGAATTATCCAAAAAATAATAATTGAGCATTAGTAATCCAGCACATCAAGGTCTTCCACTAATATCTCTCTGTTTGGTATCCACAGGTGTCGCCCCTCTGATAAAGACCTGTTTGCACTTCTTCTGATGGGACACGGAGTGCCACCATGTCCGAGGTGGGGGGTGGCGGCGGGCGGCGGCGCCTGCTGGATGAAGATTTCACTCTGCAGGTGTACCCTGGCAGTATCTCCCCTGATGTCATATACTGCCCAGTGCCCGCCCGGTGGCACACAACGGCCGCTGATGTCATTGATGCCCTCATTACGGCACTGCGTTTGGATCGGTCCAAGTTCTATGTGCTGGCGGAGGTGAAAGAGTTTGGTGGGGAGGAGTGGATCCTTAACCCCACTGACTACCCTGCTCAGCGCATGATGCTGTGGCCCAGACTTGCCCTGGAGGCTCGTGGATCTGGAGAGGACTATCGATTTCTCCTTCGGGAGAAGAACATGGATGGATCTATCCACTATGGAAGCCTCCAGTCCTGGTTGAAGGTGACAGAGGAGCGTCGGCGGATGGTAGAGAGGGGTTTTCTTCCTCAACAGCAGGGACCAGAATGTGAGGATTTGTGTGTTCTACCGGATCTTAGTGAGAGGGTATTGCTTGAGACACTTCGAACACGTTTCCGGCAAGAAAAAATCTACACCTATGTGGGAAGCATCCTGGTAGCAGTCAACCCATTCCGTTTCTTGCCAATTTATAATCCCAAGTATGTGAAAATGTATGATAACCGAAGACTAGGGGAGCGAGAGCCTCACATCTATGCAGTGGCCGATGCTGCGTACCACGCAATGCTCAGGCGTCAACGGAATCAGTGCATTGTCATCTCTGGTGAGACAGGATCTGGCAAAACCCAAAGCACCAATTTCCTTATCCATCATCTGACAGCACTCAGCCAAAAGGGATATGCCAGCGGGGTAGAGCAGATCATACTGGGGGCTGGCCCAGTGCTTGAGGTAAGAGGACTATTCTTAAAGGTCATTTCAAGGCTACGAACAATGTATACAGTTAATTGAAAACAACCTGCCCTTTTCCAAAAATTGTGAGCATTTAAGTATTCTGAATATTTACCGATAAAGCTTAGCTAGTGAATAACACAATTTCACTAATGGAGTAGATTAAATTATTTTAAGCCTAAAATTTAACTTTGGGGTATTGAATCAGGTGTATCATTGGGAAATTGAAGGGAATTAAACATTGTGGGTTGGTAATTCACTTTCCTAATTCTCTAGTTAATCCTCCCTACACCCGTCTCTTCTCCCCTTCCTCTGACTGTATGTTTTAGGCTTTTGGAAATGCTAAGACGTCACAAAACAACAACTCCAGTCGCTTTGGAAAGTTCATTCAAGTCAACTACCATGAGACAGGAACTGTTCGTGGGTGAGGGATACGTGTTTGTTACAATAAAAGAGAGAGTGTTTGGATATGATTGCCATTTGCATGGATTACCCTCAGGGTCTAATGCATTTTGGACCCATGTTCTTTAATTTTAATGTGTTCATTTGGTGTTTATTTTGGTCGGGATTTACTCTAATTTAGGGGTTCTAGTTGATATGTGTAAATCAATGTCACAGGATTTGTCTTCTCTCCTCAGAGCGTATGTGGAGAAATACCTGCTGGAAAAGTCAAGGCTGGTGTATCAAGAGCAGCAAGAGAGGTGAGTGGAACTTTCCTTTGATATTCATATCTTTGATCAGCAGTTCACGAACGGTTCGCCGCGGACTCATCATTGAGTAAACTTTGACTGTGTACCTCACAGTCAGCAGACCCTCCCTCCCAGACCCTCCCACCTCCTGGACAGCATCCATTTTACATTCATTTTGAAGCTGCATTCTTAGTGAGCTGTCCAGGAGGTGGGAGGCTCTGGGAGGGAGGGTCTGCTGCTGATTGGCTGGAATGTGTCTGCTGACTGTGAGGTACAGGGTCAAAGTTTACTCAATGATGAGTCCGTGGCGAACCGTTCGCGAACCGTTCGGGACATCACTAGTTTTGAAGATAATTTATGACCCCCAGGTTCAAAATGAGCTGCTGCTAATGTAGGTAATTCATTTATTGCTCAGGGAAGAGCTCTCTGCTCTTTCTACAGAGATCTGCAACAGCTGGAAGACGTTTAATGGGTAGCTGTATTTTAATAATTTAAAAATATATATATTTCTTTCATTTCTTTGCATACATTATTTTAAAGAAGATTTTATTGCATTTTGAAAATTGAAAAAGAACAATATACTCTATGATCCACAAGACGAGCAAATCCCAAGCAGTTGCATGTTGAGGCATGTGGTGCCTTTGCACAGTCAGACCTCCAGAGTAGATATCTATCAGATCTAGGACACACATTTTAGTGGATGCTCTTGAAGAGTTCCAGCTGAAACTCGTGTTCCCACTTAAAAATGGGGATTACCTTGAATCTGGACTTTTCCTCTAATATAGGTAATCTCGCCTTATTTTAAAATAAAAATAATTCCCAGTATATTGCTTGTTACACTTGCATTCTAGAGGTTAAAGGAATAATGGAAAAAATAACCGGCATTGGTTTCAACAATACAATACATTCTACTGCAGACTTGAAACCAGAATAGTACTGTCCATCAATTGTCATCTGTGGCCTTCAGCGTGCTCATGCTTGCTTCAGAATTCCATAGACTTTATTCCGTTATCTGATTGTTTTGCACTTCTTGACCTTGGGTACCCTCTGGGAATGCCTCTGGTCCATGCTTTCTCACTAGACTAGTGCTCTGAATGTAAAACTATATTTTGGTGTGAGCGTGGTTCCCTTAATGTTTACTGTGCACTGAACATTGAAGCAATAAAATAAGTAGTTTAACTGGATTATGATATTATATCACCCTTCACTTAAATGTACTGGGGTATAGGGGTTAGACCAATCCTGATCTTGAAGATTTAACCCATGTTTTTATATTCCCTGAATATATAGGTTTCCCTATGCCGCAATATTAGTCAATCATAAACCGTCAACCATGATCATGGCCTCGATTTTAATTCGGTTGGATAAGCTTTACAAATGATCACAACCTGCTTTTCTACAAATATTCCCATAGACTTTATTTGTGAAAAGTTTTTCATTTATTTAGAGATATATATATATATATATATATAATTGTGATCATTCAAAAAGCTTATCCCAAAATATTAAGTCAAGATCTTTATTTGCTGTTCCCTATAGAAATGATTCCAATCTTAAGCTTTACATGCCAATGTATTCCCCCATTAGAAGGAATTGGGTTTACTTTATTGTTAACCCGATTTCATTAGAACTAATTATGCTTTCTACACTGTGCTAGTCAGTTTGTGAGTTCTTATAGGTTTGACTGTTACTGGTGTTTTCCCGTGTCTCTGTGGTTTTTAGTCATGTTATAATTTGATCTTTGTCATTTTTACTTGGAATCTAATTATTTTTAAACCAATTCCCATTATGAAACACTTGAGTAACATTTTGGGATAAGGCCACTCCATAGTTGCCTGAAAGCCTGTGTGTTTCAAGAATTTAAAAGTTGGTGTATGTTTGCTACATGCCCCTATGAGAGCTTATAATAGCAAAATGCATAAGGTTAAGGTCTGACTCATGTTATTGGCCTCCCGCCACTATACCATTCTGTTATATCTATTTTCCAGTAAAGAATTATGATTTTCTTATAACTTTTTGAGGGCTAGTGGTGGACCCAATGCTCCACAAAGCAATGCATTAGGCAGACCTCTGGAACTCCGAGATTAAGGGAGCTACATGAAGTGCCCTTGGTTTTTTTGTTTTTATAAAGCTAAACAAATTATATGATTTATATGCACAATACTCTGCAGGAATTACCATGTCTTCTACTATCTCCTGGCTGGGGCGAGTGAGGAGGAAAAGACAGAATTTCACCTACAGCGTCCAGAGAATTACCATTACTTGGGCCAGGTAGGAATGGAGTGTTGAGTGGATATGGGAAGATAGGCAAAGCTCACAATTAGCAGGGGTCGCTGAAGGCTAGAAGGTGACTTTGTGAAATTAGAAGGGGAGATTGTGGATGTACACTGGGGTAAAGTTAAAATTGGAAAGGGATCGGTACCACGGGGTTATTCGCATATCCTGGAAAGTGCAGAAACTAAAGGGGCAGTTTGAAAGTACAATCCAAAGTAGCTTAGTTGGAAAATGTTAGTAATGTGTAAGCTTTTTTAAGCAGGATCCTCATCATCATATTGTTCCTGTAACATTTTGTAATTGTCTCATTTATTGTTAAATTTCCCCCTTTTATAATATCGTAAAGCGTTGCGGAATAAATTGGCGCTATATAAATGCCAAAAATAATAACAATGTGACTTTTGATCTTTCATTTGCAGCTCCCTTGTCTATTCCTAATTCCCAGTTTAGTGAATATGCCCATAGTGCTCTAGACTAGAATGGGAGCAGTGTTTTTGAAGAGGGTTCGGCACTAAAGAACGATGCATGGTGGAAGAGATGATGGGAGAACAGGCTGTATAACAAACAAATCATGATAATTATGTTTCTAAAAAATATATTTTTGGTTCTAATTTTCAGAAGATACGGAAACCGCACAGACAGGGCTGGGGAGAATATGATGGTGAAGATGAAACGGTAAGTGTCACAAGACAGTGTTTGTGTTGCTGTAATTGCTTTTCATGTTATTGTGTGTATTGTGCTGCTCTTTTCATAAATAGATTTTTGTGTTTCTATATTTTTTTCACTCTGTTTGCTTCTCCCTATCCTTCTATTTCTTTATCTCACATGTATGTGTGTAATGTTGACAGATGTGTATGTATTTATATGTCTCTATTGTTTGCATAGTGTATCTAATATTTCTTTTGTTGCAGTGTGTGTTTATTTTTAGAGTTTGTGATGTGCTTTTCCATTAAACAGTTTTGCATTATAATTAGGAGTGCTGATATAACATAGAAGGGATATTCATATAAAACATTTCAATAGAGGGAATCAGGGAAACAATATCATGTATACACATAAAATGTAAATCTTTTAATAGATTGAATCAGGGAAAGAAAAATAAAGTCAGACAAGGGGTGGTGTAGGAGGGAAAGGAGCTAGAATATATATAATAAAGTTGAACAGCTGTGTGGTTTGGAACACCAGGCTGACATGGAAAATTTTGTCTTTGCAAAAACTGGCAATTTATAATTTATTGACCATAATTGGCATACTAAAACAGAGATGGACAGAAAACAATTAACTTCCGCGTTGTGCTTTACATCATCTAAAAGTATACCCATCTCTCTGAAATCATTTTTTATTCCTACCTTATGGGCATTTGACAGCCTTTTTCTCTTTGCTGTTGCCTTACTCTTGTGTAGTTTGCTCTTTTGAAATAATTTTTATTTTATGCACGTAGCATGTTGGAATTTCTGTATTGTGTGTGTGTGTGTGTGTCTGTAGCAATGCTGTTGGAATTTCTGTATGATGTGTGTGGCAATGCTGTTCGTATTTATTCACATTGTACTGCTGTTGTGATTGATGCATTATTCGTAATGTTAACATGTAGTAGTGCAATTTTAGGAATGCTCTAGTGGTATTGCGTGCACATAGCAGTACTTTATTCGGGTTGCATGCACTTAGCAGTGCAGTTTTGGTGTTGGGTGCATGTAGCAGCACCGTGTCGGTGTTACGTGCATGTAGCAGTGCTGTATTGGTATTGGGTGCATGAAGCAGTACCATAGCAGTGCTGTATTGGTGTTGCGTGCACGTAGGAATGCTGTATTAGTGTTGCGTGGATGTAGGAATGCTGTATTAGTGTTGCGTGGATGTAGGAGTGCTGTATTAGTGTTGCGTGGATGTAGGAGTGCTGTATTAGTGTTGCGTGGATGTAGGAGTGCTGTATTAGTGTTGCGTGGATGTAGGAGTGCTGTATTAGTGATGTGTGGATGTAGAAGTACCATGTCAGTGTTGCGTGCAGGTTGGAGTGCTGTATTGGTGTTGCGTGCATATAAGAGTGCTGTATTGGTGTTGCGTGCATATAAGAGTGCTGTATTGGTGTTGCGTGCCTATAAGAGTGCTGAATTGGTGCTGCATGCATATTGCAGTGCTGCATAGGTGTTGCGTGCATGTAGCATTGATGTTTCTGTGTTGCGTGCATGTAGCATTGTTGTGTCTGTGTTGTGGTGATGTAGCAGTGCTAGGTTGTTGTTGTGAGCGTATAGGAGTGCTGTGTCGGTGTTATGTGCATGTAGTAGTAGTGCTATGTTGTTGTTGTGAGCGTATAGGAGTGCTGTGTTGGTGTTGCGTGCATGTAGCATTGCTGTGTCTGTGTTGTGTGAATGTGGCAGTGCTATATTGTTGTGAGCTTATAGGAATGCTGTGTCTGTGTTGTGTGGATGTAGCAGTGCTATGTTGTTGTGAGCGTATAGGAGTGCTGTGTCGGTGTTATGTGCATGCAGCAGTAGTGTTATGTTGTTGTGAGCGTATCGGAGTGCTGTGTCAGTGTTGCGTGCATGTAGCATTGCTGTGTCTGTGTTGTGGTGATGTAGCAGTGCTATATTGTTGTTGTGAGCGTTTAGGAGTGCTGTGTCAGTGTTGCGTGCATGTAGCATTGCTGTGTCTGTGTTGTGTGGATGTAGCAGTGCTATGTTGTTGTTGTGAGCGTATAGGAGTGCTGTGTCGGTGTTCGTGCATGTAGCATTGCTGTGTCTGTGTTGTGTGAATGTAGCAGTGCTATATAGTTGTGAGCGTATAGGAGTGCTATGTCGTTGTTGCGTGCATGTAGCATTGCTGTGTCTGTGTTGTGTGGATGTAGCAGTGCTATGTTGTTGTTGTGAGCGTATAGGAGTGCTGTGTCTGTGTTTTGTGCATGTAGTAGTAGTGCTATGTTGTTGTGAGCGTATAGGAGTGCTGTGTCGGTGTTCGTGCATGTAGCATTGCTGTGTCTGTGTTGTGTGAATGTAGCAGTGCTATATAGTTGTGAGCGTATAGGAGTGCTATGTCGGTGTTGCGTGCATGTAGCATTGCTGTGTCTGTGTTGTGTGGATGTAGCAGTGCTATGTTGTTGTTGTGAGCGTATAGGAGTGCTGTGTCTGTGTTTTGTGCATGTAGTAGTAGTGCTATGTTGTTGTGAGCGTATAGGAGTGCTGTGTCGGTGTTCGTGCATGTAGCATTGCTGTGTCTGTGTTGTGTGAATGTAGCAGTGCTATATAGTTGTGAGCGTATAGGAGTGCTATGTCGGTGTTGCGTGCATGTAGCATTGCTGTGTCTGTGTTGTGTGGATGTAGCGGTGCTATGTTGTTGTTGTGAGCGTATAGGAGTGCTGTGTCTGTATTTTGTGCATGTAGTAGTAGTGCTATGTTGTTGTGAGCGTATAGGAGTGCTGTGTCTGTGTTTTGTGCATGTAGCAGTGCTATGTTGTTGTTGTGAGCGTATAGGAGTGCTGTGTCTGTGTTTTGTGCATGTAGTAGTAGTGCTATGTTGTTGTTGTGAGCGTATAGGAGTGCTGTGTCTGTTTTTGTGCATGTAGCAGTGCTATGTTGTTGTTGTGAGCGTATAGGAGTGCTGTCTGTTTTGTGCATGTAGCAGTGCTATGTTGTTGTGAGCGTATAGGAGTGCTGTGTCTGTGTTTTGTGCATGTAGTAGTAGTGCTATGTTGTTGTGAGCGTATAGGAGTGCTGTGTCTGTTTTGTGCATGTAGCAGTGCTATGTTGTGAGCATATAGGAGTGCTGTGTCTGTGTTTTGTGCATGTAGTAGTAGTGCTATGTTGTTGTTGTGAGCGTATAGGAGTGCTGTGTCTGTGTTGTGTGGATGTAGCAGTGCTATGTTGTTGTTGTGAGCGTATAGAAGTGCTGTGTCTGTGTTTTGTGCATGTAGTAGTAGTGCTATGTTGTTGTGAGCATATAGGAGTGCTGTGTCTGTGTTGTGTGGATGTAGCAGTGCTATGTTGTTGTTGTGAGCGTATAGAAGTGCTGTGTCTGTGTTTTGTGCATGTAGTAGTAGTGCTATGTTGTTGTTGTGAGCGTATAGGAGTGCTGTCTGTTTTGTTCATGTAGCAGTGCTATGTTGTTGTGAGCGTATAGGAGTGCTGTGTCTGTGTTTTGTGCATGTAGTAGTAGTAGTAGTGCTATGTTGTTGTTGTGAGCGTATAGGAGTGCTGTGTCTGTTTTGTGCATGTAGCAGTGCTATGTTGTTGTTGTAAACGTATAGGAGTGCTGTGTCTGTGTTTTGTGCATGTAGTAGTAGTGCTATGTTGTTGTGAGCGTATAGGAGTGCTGTGTCTGTGTTTTGTGCATGTAGCAGTGCTATGTTGTTGTGAGCGTATAGGAGTACTGTGTCTGTGTTTTGTGCATGTAGCAGTGCTATGTTGTTGTGAGCGTATAGGAGTGCTGTGTCTGTGTTTTGTGCATGTAGTAGTAGTGCTATGTTGTTGTGAGCGTATAGGAGTGCTGTGTCTGTGTTTTGTGCATGTAGTAGTAGTGCTATGTTGTTGTGAGCATATAGGAGTGCTGTGTCTGTTTTGTGCATGTAGCAGTGCTATGTTGTTGTTGTGAGCGTATAGGAGTACTGTGTCTGTGTTTTGTGCATGTAGTAGTGCTGTTGCTAAACTGTTGGCTTGTATTTTGTTTTGTAGGACTCCCTAGGAGGGGAAGGCGAGGATCTCCGACATGATTTTGAGCGTCTGCAGCTGGCCATGGAAATGGTTGGCTTCCTGGCAGCAACAAGAAAGCAGTGAGTATGCAGAGTGTAAGGCCTAATATCTAAGATCGTTTTTTATCATTTTTTTCTTTTCTTTCCTACACAAGTAATGGAAACAAAGAAATGTGTTTGTTTTGCCAGCAGATAAGAATCCTTTAGCCTTTTCTAACCTGCCCAGTTTGTGTGTACTTTGAATTTTGTTTTATTTGTATTGATTGTTACATATTGTATGTGTAGTTACTGAATTACTCGCTATTGTGCTGGTCAGGAGGCTGTATCCTGACTGCTGTTGACTACTGGCCTAGTTAACCCTTAGTTAAACTGTGACATTGAAGCCAGCACAAGTAACCACACTGAAAAACATTCTTGGTTATTTTTCCTGCCTCCTCTGTTTGCATTTCGTTTGTCAGTTGTTCAGTTCTCTCTTGTACTTTATTCCTTCCCATAAAACCTGTTTATCAGTTTAGTGGTTTTATATCTAACAGTGTAATGTCATTTTATGTTTAAGGGCACTAAGTGAATTCTAGTTTTCTTTTCCCAGTGATTTTTCCTGGAATAATGATCCACGTTTGATCATGTTCACTAATCTTATCTCACGTTCTCATTAATGCCACTTTACTTTAGTAAAATGATAAATTGCTGAGATAACATCAATTAGTTCCATAAAGTTGGAGATATCTGTTGTTACATGAGTCACATACCACTCAGGTAGTAATATTTACTGGAACAGTCAGGGTCTTGCATATGCATCAATGGACTTTAATTTTCAGGCATAATTTCAGCAACATGTCTGGTGGCTCATTTAGTATTTTTATTTTTTTACCATGTTGTACTTTTTGTTGGGCACAATCTGCATGTGACTTTAAATATTGTGATACCGAGACCGGGAATGCACAGAAGTGTAAATAAATATATAGCATTTCAAGACAAATGGGGTTGTACAGTATATAACAAATTAGTTTGTGTTGTTTGTATATATATGAAGGGACAAATGCATTGCAATATTGTAGACTAATATAATAGATGTTTTTTTTAAAAACTAAATTTCCTTTTCCTGTTTACCACTAACCCAAGTTTACTACATATTCCAATTTCAGATTTGCTTCCTTAATACAATTTCACTAAAATGTGTGTGTGTTTTGACATTATTTACTAAAATGAGAATTCAAAGTGAATTTCAAATTTAAGGCTGTAGTAGCCAAACTGAAAGCCTAGCTGACTGAGAGAATGTTTAATGTTCAGATACTTTGACCTGAAAAGTAAAACTGAATTTGAATTCTCTCTTTAGTTTATAAACCTGTGTACATGCTTAATGACTCTTTCCAGACTTGAATTTACTGAAGGTGCTGTTACCTCCAAGCACGGTAACAGATGCTATGCCCCCTCCCACCACTTCCAGTCTTCCCCTCTGTACCAGGTAATCCTCGGCTCTTTCTTTCCTCACTAACTCTCTGTATGTTCTCTGTCAGGATCGTCTCTCTCCTGTCTGCGATCCTCCACCTTGGAAACATCCAGTATAAAAGGAAGACTTATCGAGATGAATACATTGACATTTCAAACCCAGAAGCTCTGAGCATAGTGTCTGAACTACTGAAGGTAATGAAATGTCTATTTACCGGGAATGACGGCTTATGCTTTGCATGGGAGAGTACAGGAAGGAGATGAAACCAATTCACAAATACATTTATTCATTAGAATATTGGATTACAGCAATAAACCCTCCTTCAACTAACCAAAGGCTTATTATTTATGCATGGTGTGACTTGTCAGGCATTTATTTATGCCAGTCTGTTTGGTCTCTTAGGTTGCAATAATTGTACACTGCACTACAAATATATGCATCCTATATGATACATGTACAGCTTGTCTTTTTCATTTCAATTCTCTCCCTCACAGGGCCATCCAGTCAGTGCAGAACTATTTTTATCATGAATAATCCATCCCCTTTCCCTTTCACACTTCCCTCATCCCCTAATGGCATGGCTCTGTTTGTCTCTGCCTCTCCCTTTATTCATGCATTGAGCTCCCTTTATCACGCACCATCTACCTTTACAGCAGCTCCATCTTCAACATAGATTGTATTCTGTTTTTTGCTGTTCTCCGACTTGTGTTGATGTACCTGGCATCCTGCTTGTGTCTGGCTGAGCCTGCACTGACTTAGTGACTAGTTCCCCCCCATTTGGTTACATGTGATGTAGCCAGTGTTATTGGAGTACCGTAGCGGGATATTTTCAGAAATCCTTACTCGAGCACTATTAACACGCACCAATCATGGTCTACATCGTTCTAACAGTCTGTCCTTTAGAACCCATACTATGGCATGGAATGCCCAACTCCCATAATGCCCAACTCACAGAGCTCTGAAGATCTGCAGATGAGAAATAAGTAGGCTGTTCATTCCAAACAGTAGTTGAAAATAAATACCCAGCAGTCTTGTCAAGGAACAGCATAATTTAGACCGTGTAATTGGAGTAGAAATGACTAAAAACATCAGCATTTATTTGGACTTGCAATATAAAACCACCAACTTGAACTCGCGTAAGAGAAAGCAAAACACCATCTAATTTTTTTTGTCAATCATTAAGTTAACTTATAGGGACACTGTAAGCACCATAACCACTACAGCTGAGCCTAGACAGCAGTGATAAATTGAGAGTACTGTGGGCTGGTCAGTCTGGATTGAAATTGCTCAGCGTCACCTAGATACAATTTTGTATGAGGGCAAATATACTGACTCATAACATAATCAATATATTTGGGGTAAAATCTTAATCCCAAGTGTCTTTATTACTAGCACAAAAGAATTACTCATGGCCAAGAAACTAATGTTGTCTCAGCATTATTTCATTACATGGAAAATTTTTAGCATTTTAGCTTGTGACCATGACCGGATTTGGCAATTTAGTGCCCTGAATCAGCTGCTCTTGTGATATGTGATATGTTGGTTGTCCAGTAATCTGCTTAGTTAGTCAAAGTGAGATGTCTAAACACTTACTGTGATTACACTGTCTCTGTGCCTGATTGTGGTTCTGTATTTCAGGTGCGGGAAGAGATGCTCTTGGATGCATTGATTACCAGGAAGACTGTTACTGTTGGCGAAAAGCTCATCCTGCCATATCGCCTGCCAGAAGTGAGGAGGGGCTTGGGGTCAAAAGATAAAAAAAAATAAAAAATTACTCTGTTCTAGAGTGTGAATAGGGGATGCTTCCTTATTCCTTTAAGCGCTTATGACTCCATCATTTTAATCTGTACCTGGACTCTAAAGATCCCATATCAAAGTAGAATGTACCACTCATTTAGGCCTGGTAAGGATGTGGAGTGCTGCTAAGAAAGCCGGGCATTGTAAACTGGCACAAGAAACACTCTGTAATGATGGCATGGATAGTCATTGGTCCTTAAAGCATTAAACTTGTTGCATGCTTGCTAGATGTTCTGTACAATGTGGCAGCCTTTCCGAGCAGGTATTTGTCTTGATATGAAAGGCGCTATGTACTGTGACAATTCCTGTGGACAGATGTCTACTTATTGTAGCAGTTTCTGTATGTAGCATGCCATTTAAGAATTATATTGCTTATATTAAATGCACTCACAATTTTTCTTAATGCCCCAGGCCATCACCGTCAGAGATTCATTGGCGAAGTCTCTTTACAGTGCTCTGTTTGATTGGATCGTCTTCCGTATCAATCATGCTTTGCTCAACATCAACAGCAAAGCATTAGAGGATTCAAGTCAGGTGAGACGTTTGAAGAGACATGCTGCAATATTTATTATTAAGGTGAAAGGAGGAATACTCTGGAGGAGAGTCACCTGACTGGAGGCGTTCTAGCGTTTAAAAATCTCATAAATAGGAGTAGTAGTTTAATGTTGAGAGCGATGGAATTGGAGAAGGTTTAGAGGTGGCTAAAAAACAACAACAATTATCTTTGTGGGTAGCATGCTTCTGTAGATTCAATCAGGAGATAAAAAGGACACTATAGGCATCTTAATGAAGTCATCGGGGTGTTATGTCCCCCAAAGTTTTATCCGGTCAAGGGGAAAAAAAAAGCTACTGTTCTGTAGAACAGCAGTGTTTTCATTGCAGGATTTAGATACCTCTAGTAGCTGTCAATCAGACAGCCACTAGAGGTGATTCTGAAAAAATAGCAGAGCAGAATAGCTCTGTTTCAATCACATAGTCTAATTGAGGGCCATCTGATTGGCACAGAGAGGCATTTTGCCACTCATGCGAACTAGCCTCCCAATGCTTTCCCATAGGAGAGCATTGGATTAACTGAAATGATCAATCTCAATGATCTCAGCCAGAGGCGGGATGGCAGCACAGAAACCAGCGCTGCGATGGGGGTTAGGATGAATGATGTAAAGGAGTAATAAATTGATTGATTAAAAACAATCAGTGAGAGGAAGTATTTTCTTGACATGGAGTATAGAATAGTTTTGTGGATAGTTCATCGACAAGGAGGAGAGTAAAAAAACTCATATGGTGGGATGAGTGATGGTGTAGTTTGGAGCTTTGAAAGAAGATAGAAAACATATGTGTTAAATTAAAAACCAATAGGTTTGACGAAGTTGAGAGGGGAAAAAAAAAGGTCACATCTTGATATATATTCTCTAAAACTTAAGTGATAGTAGAGTGTTTGCATTCTCCTCTGGCATTGCTGTTCTATTTTTTCCTATTGTTATGACTGATGTCTGTCACCGCTTCACCCAACACGATGCAAAGGAAAGAAGTGCTAATCATTTATTTTTATTTCCCAGACTCTCTCTATTGGGGTTCTGGATATCTTTGGGTTTGAGGATTACGGAAGTAACAGTTTTGAACAGTTCTGTATAAACTATGCTAATGAGCGGTTGCAGCATTATTTTAACCAGCACCTTTTCCAGCTGGAGCAGGTAAGGAACTTCAAATTTAAGGCCAACATAGAAAAATTCTCAAAGTTAACTATGCTTCCAGTTCAGTTATTTTGGCTTTCCGTTGTGTGCACCCTTGTTTGTTTTTGTAAACCGACATTATTTGTTTTATTACCTGTATGTGTCTGTCACTGTATTAGGTGCCTGTGATTAGTCTATTTCCCTGCCTTTTATGTCATAAAACATTTCTTTGTCAAACAGCTCTGTCAAACCTTAGCCCTTTCTAGCCAACTTGAACATGTAGAATTTACACATACACATTATCAATGACAATGCCAGCCAACCTGGATGGCTGTGATAGGCTGATTAAACTATGGGAGGGTTATCTCAGCCTGTTAGGCAGCGCTAATTCATGTGATGCATAAGTGTAAATTTACCATTATCAATGCAGCTTAGGAGAAGGAGTTTTCTGAGTGTTGGGGAAAGCCCCGATTTTGTCAAACACCTCTCAAACTATTTGATAAAAAACTGGTTGGCACAAAGAGGATCTTGCAGCCCAACCACTATGCATAGATGTAGTGTTTGTTGTTTAGAATGCCCTTTAAGAGATCTGTCTGATCACAAAACATAAAAGAATGTAGACACCTTAGAGATCAGGTGTTTGTGACAATATTTGTTCCATTTTATCTACCAAACCTGAAATTAAATTTATGTTTGCTGCATGGAAAAATACCTTATTGGTCTCTCACACAAGACCAATAGATACAGTCCATAGATATACTTATATTAGGAAGTCTTAAGGGTAATAGAAATGTTTTATATACTCTCCACTGTTTAAGATAGACGCTAGAAAGGACAATTACTATAATGACTGTAATGTAATCTTTGTGACCTGAATAGTGTATTTTCCAAACTTCTCCCTTTTGAATAGTGATGTTTATTATCTCTGCTGTATTTAAAAAACAAAACAAAAAAAAAACCATAATAAATGTTATATATATAAAAAAAAAAACCATTGGCGTCAGCTAACAATTTGTCTTGTCCATTCTTATAGGAGCTGTATCGATCAGAAGGAATCAGCTGGAGTAACATCAACTATTCTAATAACGAAGGCTGCATTAATCTGATCAGTAAGAGACCAACAGGTTTGATCCAGCTTCTGGACGAAGAGAGCAAGTAAGGAAGAAAACCGCTGCCCCCAATCTATCACTTCTTGGCACCTGCCTATTCACTTTTCTTTTGTGTCTGTTTTTTTCTTTCATAGTTGTTTAGTCTAAATTCCTTCATCCGTTATTTTCCTTATAGAAGTGGTTCCTCCTCCAAGTGGTAACAGTTTTATTTCCTGTCCTCTCTTCTCGTCTTTCTTTTACTTCCATTCGTTCTGTCTAGTTTCCCACAGGCCACTCACCAGACTCTGCTTGAGAAGTTTAAACGCCACCATGATGGTAATCCGTACATAGAGTTCCCAGCTGTAATGGAGCCAGCCTTCATCATCCAACATTATGCCGGGAAGGTCAAATATGGGGTCAAGGTGAGACATGCTTAGAAGACAATATAAGAGATTTGACACAATTATCACAGATCCTTTTTTTTTTATCAATTTGTTCAGAGTGAGATATTTGAATAGGAGAGGTTGCTTGGAATTTGCCAATGGTGAATGATCCTGAATGGTATTAAGTGGAGGCAGACAAATAATGTGGAGAGAATAGAAGTAAAGCAATGACGAGAAACATTAACTTTAAAATCTCCACTGAGAGCTTCCTAATTTTAACAAAAGGTGATTGGAACTTCAAAAAAAATAAAAAAAATAAACTGGAGCTAAATTGTAGCTAAGAAGAAAGTGTCTTGTTTTTGGTGGTTTGTTCTGTATTATGTCCAGTTGATAAAGTTAATTTGCATTTCCTGATTTCCTTTATGTGCTTTTTTCAATGTAATATTAATTATATTAATCAAAATACATTTAAAAAATGTTATCTTTATATTGTGAATTTAAAAAAAAAAATGTTCTCTTCTGGTTTGTTTTAAACTGAGCTTTTTTCCTCTGTAGGATTTTCGGGAGAAAAACACAGATCACATGCGTCCAGATATTGTTGCCTTACTCAGAAGCAGCAGAAATGCCTTTATCAGGGGGATGATTGCCATCAGTCCAGTGGCTGCGTTCCGCTGGGCATTGCTCAGAGCAGTCTTCAGAGCAATGTGGGCATTTAGACAGAGTGGGAGAAACAGTGGGGGCAAGAAAACGGGTAAGAGGCACTATGAAATGATAAAAGTGTTGATGAGGGTCTATGATCATTTTTAAATATCTGTTCTAGAGAGATAAGTGGGAATATGATCCATACAGTTCTGTTTATGAAAGGGTTTGGCTTTTACTGGGAGTGTGTTTGGAGTAATTATTGTGGAAAGACAGCTGGGGCACTTATAGTGAATAATTGAATAGCAGATGCAAGTATCGCAGTAAGCATCTGCCCACGGCTGAGAAATGCCTGGTATCAGCTTTAAATAAGAAAAACTACTGCATTGTGATTTTCCAGTGCTCTCACTTCTCTATGAAACTGGCTTCTTTTGGCAAAAAGGTTATATGTCTTCCTTTATATGTGTCGTATTCCTTTGATCAGTAGATATATGTGTGGGATAGTCTTTCTCTATCTTTGCTGGTAGTTGGTTACTCTGCCCTCTCTGGTTAATCTATCTGTCTTCTCTCTTCCTGTGTGTTTGCTCTTAAGGCTCGGGCTCACCCTGTACACCGGGCACCCCCGGCTCAGCTCACAAAGGCCTTTCTAGCTTTAGCTTTCTGCAGCACCCCGTCCACCAAAGGAGCTTACAGATCCTGCAGAGGTGTCAGAACGACCAATACAGTAAGGCTCCCATCCCAGAATCCTCTGCAATTGCACGAACACAGCGCTCCTACTTCAGAATCCTTTATAACTGCTCATTTCACAGATGCGTAAGGGTTCCGAACCTGTGATCCCTTCTGAATGTATATACACACTACACAACCGATAAACACACTCATGCACTACCCTATATATCGAACAGTGTACTTGAACTCACAAAAACATAGCCTATTCCAGAGCTGATGGTTCAGATGCTTTTATCTCCCTCTGGTTCAGAGATACCTCCAATGCATTGCTGACCACTAGCAAAATGCTAAAACCAGGTTTGTTCCTCACTATGGCTGCCATTTAATGTGTTTAAAAGATCACTAATAACTAATTAATACAATGCTTCTACAGGGCAATGCAGCATGATCCAGGCATCACAATGTTACAACCCACCCATATTCCTTAATCAGAAAGCAAACAGAAAAGATTACTCTAGACTTGCATCACTCACTATTTTGAATTAATACACATAGAATCAGTTCATAAAATTATCTGTAAGTAGAAGTCTTTAACACAAAATCGTGCGATGTTATTTGTTTTGAAAATGTTTTTTGATGCAGTTGCCGCGGAGACATATCTAATTGGGGAATAGGTAGGGTCTATATCACTTTATGGTCCGTTTTCATGAGGGCTTTCTAAGACTCAGAATTTGAATTGACTTCTATTGCTTTAGTCGTCCTCCTTTTTCTCACAACTCGCTGTAACTTGAGTGTACGCTAAATTCTTGCGTTAATTAGGTTATACTGCAAGGGAAGTCCCTTATCATTCATTTACCAGGAAATGAAGCCATGGTTATAAGTAGCCTCTACATTTACACAACCATAGCAATCTAAGGACAAATATATTACATAAAAAAGTTTGATATACTATCACATTTATATCCACTAAATACTGTAAACAATATATATTTCAGATATTTGTTAAAACATATATATTATTTAAATGTGTCTCCAAAATCCGGATCTTTTTGTTGGAGCCTTTCTTAGCCCTGAAAATAAAACTAAATACAGCACTACAGAGGACATGACTGTATCTCCACCAGTTCATAAAACATGGAAAATTTTAACATTTGATTTGATTACACGCCATAGAGCCATGTAACCATAACTAATTACAAGACATTAATTAAATGCCTTTATTCTTAGAGAGCATTATAATTGCATTTGTTTAAGTGCCTTAATGTAATCAACTTATTCTAGCAAATTAAGGCTATGTTTATATAATCTTTTAAAGCTGTTTTTCACTTTGCGCCAATTCAATTGGCAAAATTGGATAAAAGTTCTCTTGTTTCTCAGTGTTTGTAGAACAGTTACTATATATCAGTAACATTTCTGCAAAGCGTATTAACGTAGCATTCCCTTGCTTTGCCATAATGCATTTTTTTAAAACAAGTACAACCGAGCAAGAAACGTTCTAGATGATCTTTTCTGTGAGGACCTCATTGCTGTTATCATCTTAAAGGGACACTGTAGTCACCAGAACAACTACAGCTTATTGCATTTGTCCTGGTGACTAGAATCATTACCTTCAGGCTTTTTGCTGTAAACACTGTATTTTCAGAGAAAATGCAGTGTTTACATTACAGCCTAGTGATAACTTCACTTGCCACTCCTCAGATGGCTGTTAAAGATCCTTCCTGGGTCATGGCTGCCTAAAATGCATCCAAACATTCAGTGTCTCCTTCCTCTGTATGCAGACACTGAATTTTCCTCATAGAGATTCATTGATTCAATTCATCTCTATGAGGAGATGCTGATTTGTCAGGGCTGTGTTTGAATTGTGCCGGCTCTGCCCCTGATTTGCCTCTTTGTCCGTCCCAATCACAATCCTGTGGGTAAGCATTGTGATTGGATCAAGCTACCACTTCTGCTGATGTCAGCAGGCAGTGGGCAAGTCTATAGGAAACAGAGACAAAGCCAGCAGCTTCAGGCTTAAATACAAGTAAGATTTTACTATATTTAGTGAGCCATGAGAGGGACAGGGGGGGCTAGATGGTGGTTTTAACCCTATAGGGTCAGGAATACATGCTTGTGTTCCTGACCCTATAGTGCTCCTTTAAATTACGCATTTTATAGTACTATATGCAGGAAGCATATTTTGGGGACTCATAACCTTTCTTATCTTTCTTCTTTTTTTTTTTCTTTTGAATAAAACAAAACATACATGCATTTAATTATACATGTTTCATTGTAAACACAGCTTGCAAAAGCTGCAGATCTCTTGTCTGAAGCCTAACCCTGCCCAGACTTTCTGTGGCTGTTCAATCACAAACTTTCTATGGCAGTTGCTGCCTCTTGAGTTTAGCTCCACTCAGTGAAACAACCAGGAAGTAACAAAACCAGTTGTCTGACAGCCAGGTGGGTTTAACATGGTTAATTTAGATGAGTGCCAATTGCTATAGAAATCTGCACTCTTTGTAAAATGGGGAGGGGAGGGAAAGGACACTCTTTACAAAAAGCACTTCAGCAATTAAAGTACTTTAGGTGTTTGGATTGTCCCTATAAATCCAAGCTCAGGGCTTTTCACTGTGTTTGCTTCTATGCTTTTTGTGGTTTCATGTGTTATCCCACCACTAGAGGAGTGGGAATTATTATCTATAGCTCAAGAACAAACAGCCACAACCTTTCATAGGCTGTGCCAAGGAAATCCTCATTACAAAGAGTATGTGATGGGTCAGTTGACTACTTAGTATGTCCTATCACTACAGCTGGATGTGGTCCACAATACTTTTTTTCCATCTGCATGATGGAGACAGACTTCCAAAAGGAATGCTTGACCAGCTGATATGCTTGCCTACCTCAAGCTTCACGCAGTGATTTCTGTATTATGTTTCCATACTTCCTTTATAAAGTTTAGTTTACAATGTTGATACGCTGTCATGAAGTTTCTATGGAGGAGTGAAAAGACTATTGTCAATTTACAACTGCACCGTCACTGGTGACCACCATAAAATATTATAGGATGCTGAAAAAATATTATTAATTCTTTAGTCTCATGTTCCAAGATGAAAAATACCCTTTATCATTAATAGGTCTGCAAACCTCATCTTCATAGTATTGTTTTCTTGCTAACATATCTAACATACATGTTAGTTCAGACAATGTAGATTTGCTGATCAATGCAAACAAACGACTGCTTTCTTAAAATATATTTTTATTCTAATATTTAATATTAGACAGTTTCCCAGTAAAAAGCTAATCCTCCACACAGCCAGCATTATTCTATTCTTTATTCGTAGGTAACTCGGCTAGCTTTTCAGGTTTCAATTATGTTAAATGAATTTGTTCTTGTTGATAATTAAGAATAGCGTAATGACTTTATCGCCAACACCCTTTTTGTCCAGATAAATATTGCAAAATAATTAACAGCTTCATTGTCATGCATCTGTATTAGTTCTCATTATAAACTGGACACAAGTTTTATGTAAGATAGATACATATGCTCAAAAGCAAAATAAGTTTTGTGTTTTTTTTTAATTTTTTTTTCTCTAACCTTTTTTTGTGCGTACACCGCATTCTGTATTTGCCACTGAGCCATGTCTGCATCTCTCATTTATGTGCTGGATTTATGTAAAATATCTACTAAACATAGGAAAACATGATTCAAATTAACTATACAGAGTACCTAGAAAGTTTTATGCTCCCGGATTTTAACGTAGAAAATGTATTATTCATACATTTTTCGACATTAAAATGGGCAGTACTCACTTGATGGAAGTAGTTGAATTTTGTGCATAGTAATTATGCTGCTCTGCAATGCTTTGTGGCATCTCTGACACCAAAGAGGCTCTGTTTTTGTATTGTTTTTAATGTAACTCTAATTATTTAATTCTACTGTTACGATATTGTTAGGTGAAAGCTACATCTAGTCGGTCTTAGTTTTTATTCATGAACCCAGTCAGTTGCTTAAAAATGTTCTGTTTAAGGTCCTTATTCACAATATGCAGCTGGTTTATAAAGGGGCAGCATTTACTTATACTTATAACCCCTGGCTTGGGATACAGTATTGGGTTTCAGGGGATGTGTAATAATTGGAAGAGGCACATTTTATTTAATATAATGGTTACTGTAGGAGTCCTGCCTTTTCCATTTTTTTTAGTGGAGACACAATTGATAGTAGCAAGAGTGCAATGAAGGTGTTTGGCAGAACTGATTTTGTTACATATTCCATCACAATCCTAGAATGAGCTACCAACCTAATTTTAAAAATGAAGTATAGTTCGACAAGATAATGCCGTATACTTAATTAGGGTTTGCTCATGCAGTGGTTATAAAGGAGTGAAGTTGGGAGTGTTCCAATTATAACACTAACCCTTTTTTAACTACTAGATGTTCAATAACCACAAATAAGGAGATTTCTTAAAATGTACCACTACTGTTACAGATTTGTGTACTGCAGCACACTGAAAGAGCCAATTAATTTTCTTGCCAGGATAAGTAATTTCCTTTGGTACAGCCACCATCCAGAGTTAGGTTAGGGTTCAGGACTCGAGCCTGCTAGGGCTGCTAACACTCCAGGTTATTTGATATGATGAGGATCTTGTAAAGGCAGCAAACACACCAACATTTAAGGATTGCACTCAGGATATACATGTTGATTTGAAGTGTAAATCCCTTACAGGGTTGTATCCCACTAAATCCACTTTATATTCAGTTCTCCCAAGTGGCAGGATAATTTTAACACCGTTCGCAGGGTTCCACATAATGGTTTTTATTAGAAAGCTTCAAACACACCACATGACTTCCGACACACCACATGACTTCCAGTGTATATCACTAAATCAGAGTTCTCAGTTTTGTTTTTTTTAACTCCATAATTGCAGTTCTTGTCATTTAACTCCCTTCTGCATGCCCTCTTCTTTCTTTGCTTGTCACCAAACTTTGTCAGCATGTGACCTCATGGGAACACCTACTGCTTGTCCGCTCAGGAATGTTGCCTGCTGCTCGTGTCATCTCTCTGTCTGTGTCCTTGTGTTGCTAACACTATTTTGTGTCTGCAGGAAAAATGTGATACTGCAGGAGCATCTGAACACCGGAGCATAATATTCTACACAAATACACAAACCTGGGTCTCACCCAGGAGCGCAGACGCATAGATTAACACACACACAATAATAAAGACACATATTTTGCACACCAGGTTTAAATAGAAACTCACAACAACCCTAACACTATTAAAACAGTGGTACATACCCATACTAATACAGGGACAAACACAGACCTCCAGTACCTCCTCTCAGTAGGTACTATGCCTCTAATTCTGTTATGTGATTTCAGATATTCCTCGTCGAACTCCTCGCACTCCTCTTTCTGACCTGCAGGGAGTTAATACCATTCAAGAGAGAAGTCCCCGGTAAGTTGTTTATGTCTGACCCACAGTGAAGACTTGGCAATTATATATTTATTGTATCTGATTCATTGTATTACTCCATGTTGATACTCACTCCTTCTGCACAAATTCCCCCTCCACAAACACTTTTCTATATCTTGATTCCTCGGACATGTCGTCTCTATCTATTCCCGTGTTATTCCATTATTGTCTCTTCATTTCTTCTCCTGTTTGTTGTCTCTTTCCATTTGCCTTTCTTGAAGCATTCTTTATTTTCTAGAGAGCTGAATTGGGCTGCACGCAGGCAAAGCCGCCTCTCCTCGTCTTCTTCCTACTTAGAGGGTGGTGGCATCTTCATAAGCTCCCCTGGATCTAACCTAAACAGCAGCAGTGACAGCAAGCTACTGGAGAGAGCGCATGGCATTCTGATGTAAGTGGGACAATCTGTACATTTCAGTTAAGAATAGGGCAAATCACAAAGATTCCAGGGTTGGTGGTCATATTATGCAGTTTGGGTTAAGTCATGAAGATCATGTTGATGCTTGAGAGATTTTTACATTGGTAAAGTATGGATTATGGAGACCCTAAATTGAAAGATACCACCTATGTATCAAGAAGTTACATTAATACAATGTTTGCTCTTGTTTTCAGGAGAAACCGCAACTCTAAATCAAAACCTACCCTTCCTAAGGTAAGGAATTTAGTAACAACTTTGTATAATTCCACGTTTGTTTTCTTTACGGAGCACAACCCTGAAACCTGTCTCTCCTCATTCACCAGCTGACTCCACATTTCTTTATCTGCAAATCAACGGTCCATACTTGCCCCTTCTAGTATCCATTAGTCTTGTAAACTTCCTTCATAAACTCCGTTTCAGTGTTAAAATGTGATATTCTTACAAAGTATGATTACACATAAAAATAGAGCATACAGTGTATATTTATGTGGTCATCGGTACGCAATTAAAGAAACATGAATTCATTTTGGAGAACATTGGGAAAACCCATGTGGTGAAAGTTAAATGAGTGGAGTAATTTGGTAGCATTACACATAGTAATTCATACACCCCTCATCTAAATAAAATGGGCTCAGGTAGATTTCTGAATCTGAATTCCACATATTAAAATTCTGTCCTTCTAAAAAGAAACTGTATCCAGTGTGATATACAACAGCAGTCCGAACAACTGAACTTTAAGGACCATTTAGAGGTTGAGACCGAGAGTTAGAATTTGTGAAATATTTTAGTTTGAGTTCTGTTGTGTTAGAGGAGTGTTAGTTACCCCATAGTTTGGTTCAAATATACAATGGCAAAGAATGTCCGGCATGATAAGTGAGCAGACACTGAAGTAATAGAGCCAACATGTGTGCAGGTAATTGCTGTAACATTTGAGTTGGTGTACAGTAACCGTTCTCGCTGTATGTCCTCAGCACCTCTTGGATGTAAAGTCGCTGAAACATCTCTCAAATCTGACTCTGCACGATCGCATTACCAAGTCTCTGCTGCACTTACACAAGAAGAAAAAACCGCCAAGCATCAGCGCTCAGTTTCAGGTCTGTTTCTGTCCTTCTGTTCTGTAATCAGTCCAATTTATTTTTCTACTTTCCGGGTTCTCATATCCCTGTCTGTTTTCTCTGTAGGCTTCTTTGAACAAGCTAATGGAGACTCTTGGGCAGGCAGAACCGTATTTCGTGAAATGTATTCGCTCTAATGCAGAGAAGGTAATAACTATTGCACTAAGAAGAGGCCTATTATCCCTGTAGTGGTAACCTGTTAAGCACTGTTCTTCATGCATGTGATATTGGAGAAACCATTCTTATTATACATGCACTATAAAGACCCTGTTTCATTGGCTGTCGTACAAATCCTACCAATTCACCGATGTGCTATCCGGGTGATCTCGCTCATTTATTCTTGTTCCTCACTTATGTGCTGTTAGACACTGTTGAATCACCCATTTGCTCTCTGGCAGACCCCACTGATTTGTTAATGTGCTATCATAGTGATGATATATTAGTGTGCTGTGAATGTGATAATGCATTATTAGGCATGGCACGCTGATTTGTGCATGTGTGCTGTGAGTTAGATATTGTTAATTCTGGCTTGCGATGATTGAAAAATTATCTGTCGGGTATGTAGAGCATAATGTCTTTCAGTTCTGGCTTCCCACGAAATTAATTGACTTGAATTCTTTATCCCTTTTCAGGTGCCTTTACGTTTTAATGATGCCTTGGTTCTTCGACAGCTTCGTTATACAGGAATGTTAGAAACCGTCCGAATTCGCCAGTCTGGCTATAGCTGCAAATATCCCTTTCAGGTTAGTTAAAGGGTGACTCCTACTTGTTAATAAAAGATAACACCTGTGATTCTATTTTTTTTTTGTAAAATAATTTAGAAGACCACGATAGGCACCCAGGCCACTTCATCTCAATGAAACAGTCTGGGTGCAATGTCCCTGTCCTTTTAGCCCTGCAATGTAAAACATTAGTGTTTTGTAGCTATGACCAGGTTTTCATTGCAGAGTTAACACACCACTAGCGGCTGTCTTCCTGACAGCATGAAGAGGTACTTCTGCAGCAATAACAAAGTTTGACTCTGTTATTCAATCAGACACTATATTTCTCAAAGACAGCATTTGATTTGCGCAGTGTGGTGTTTTGCCACATGTGTGCACTGGCCTCCCAATGCTTATGGAGTGGCCTCACGGAGGCAGGATGGCCATTGAGAGACCGGTATGTTGCAGCATATAAGGTAAATAAAACATACCTTTTAAACCCTCACCGGTTAAGACACCAAAATAGGTAGGGTGAAACTATAGTTCTAGTAATAGATATTTGGACTCCTGTGTTCCTTTGAAAGCAAATGCATAAAAAGCTATTTTCCACCTTCTTGCTGCAAATTTACGTGATCTGCTACTTCTGCAGGCTGGAAAATGGCATTTCAATTATTGAATTCAATAGGACCGCTATATTATACAGATAGCAGAAAAACACATTATTCTGTACATTATGCATTTGATTACTGACCCACAACCTGCTTGCCATTTATGAAAATAAGCACTCACGTCAATGAATGGAAGCCAGTCGTTTGTCATGAGCAGCCTTCAGTGCTTGTGTGCTTGTACTGTCTCCCAAGGAGTTTTTATTTATCGGGGGTGTGTTTCACGGTTTCTTCTTGGAAGTGGAAGTAAACATGGAAACATGGTTGCACTGAGGTATATATTTTTTTTTACCTGGCATCATGCAGAATCATTTCGATGGCATTTTCCAGCACACTAGCGGTCTGTCGGTCTTTGTCTGAATGCAATAGAAGACAACGTTCGCTACTGTGAATTCACCTGTGCATTGCAAACTGTAGGCTAATATAGCTGAATTTGAGACATTTTCTAAGTCTTCTGCATTTACAGCACACCAATTTTGGCATTAAAGGGATACTGTACTGCCAGGAATACAAAGCTGTATAACTGGCACTATCGCTTTACTTTCCTCCCCCATCCCTCTCCCCCCTCCCTCCCTGGTAAAAAAAAAAAAAAGGGGTTAAAAACCCTTTATTTACACCTTTTCCAAGCACTGATGTCCGTTGGTGCTGGCTCAACACTCCGCCCCGTCCTCCGTCCCGCTACGAGCAGGGTCTAATGCACATGCGTGTCAAATGCTGCACGCGCATTAGAACTCCCCATGGGAAGGCATTGAATCAGTGCCCTCCTATGTGAAAAATCTGACGCTGGAGGTCCACATGCAGAGCGTGAGGACGTCCAGCATCACATACCGGACCACATGTCTGTTTCAATTCAGGAAGCCCTCAGACATTGCAGTTTCTATAGCACTAAGTGCAAAAGGGACAGTGCACCCAGACCACTTATATTAGCTAAAGTGGTCTGGGTGCCTACAGTGTCCATTTAATTTGCAATTCCTTAGTGAATTCCCAAGACTTTGTGTTACCTTCATGTTATAGCAAATAACACTGAGACATTATGAAAATTTAAACTGAAATCTGCAGAACAAGCAGAACAATAATAATAATAAAAAAAACAACATTCCAGCTGTTAGTATTTCTCTGTCTGCGGGTGATCTCTGTTGTACGATAAGTTTTGTATAAACGTCTCTCTGCTCTTCCCAGGACTTTGTGACTCAGTTCTCAGTGTTGTTGCCGAAAGCTGTTGCCCCTGTCCGGCAGAATATCCAGGAATTCTTTTGGCGCATTGGACACAGTCCAGATCAGTACCAAGTGGGAAAAACAATGGTGAGATTGAGAAAAAGGAGTTTGTGATGCCTAATCATTTTATTCAATTTGAAACATATTTTTTTGTTCACTTTGTAGTGAGGCTTTTACATTAACTGTATTACTCTTTTACGGCCATAACATTGTATTTGATGTATGATTTTATTATGGCCATAGCGTGTTAGATGTATGATTCTATTATGGCCATAGCGTGTTAGATGTATGATTCTATTATGGCCATAGCGTGTTAGATGTATGATTCTATTATGGCCATAGTGTGTTAGATGTATGATTCTATTATGGCCATAGCGTGTTAGATGTATGATTCTATTATGGCCATAGCGTGTTAGATGTATTATTCTATTATGGCCATAGCGTGTTAGATGTATGATTCTATTATGGCCACAGCGTGTTAGATGTATGATTCTATTATGGCCATAGCGTGTTAGATGTATGATTCTATTATGGCCATAGTGTGTTAGATGTATGATTCTATTATGGCCACAGCGTGTTAGATGTATTATTCTATTATGGCCATAGCGTGTTAGATGTATGATTCTATTATGGCCACAGCGTGTTAGATGTATTATTCTATTATGGCCACAGCGTGTTAGATGTATGATTCTATTATGGCCACAGCGTGTTAGATGTATGGTTCTATTATGGCCACAGCGTGTTAGATGTATGATTCTATTATGGCCACAGCGTGTTAGATGTTTTATTCTATTATGGCCATAGCGTGTTAGATGTATGATTCTATTATGGCCACAGCGTGTTAGATGTATTGTTCTATTATGGCCACAGCGTGTTAGATGTATTGTTCTATTATGGCCACAGCGTGTTAGATGTATTGTTCTATTATGGCCACAGCGTGTTAGATGTATTGTTCTATTATGGCCATAGCGTGTTAGATGTATGATTCTATTATGGCCACAGCGTGTTAGATGTATGATAATATTATGGCCATAGCGTTTTAGATGTATGATTCTATTATGGCCATAGCGTGTTAGATGTATAATTCTATTATGGTCATTCTGTACATCCATATGCATCTCCCTTTCACATATTACTTAGCATATTTGTTTTCTTAATTTTTATAAAAATTTCATTTTATTCTCTATTTTTAGTTCTTTATTCTCATAGTTGGATAATACTCTCCTAAAATTGTCTTATTCCATAATGCAGGTCTGCCTATATGCCTGACTTTCTATCTATATAGAAGTTGCCGTTTGCCCAACTTCCGTGTGTCAGGCTGAATTCACTTGCCTTTCTCTTTTGTTTTGGTCATTGCTTCTCTTTCTTTCCAGGTCTTTCTGAAGGAGCAGGAGCGTCAGTGTCTCCGGGACATGCTGCATCAGACTGTCCTGCAGCGCATAATCCTCTTGCAGCGGTGGATGAGAGCAATGCTTCAGCGCAAGAGGTTCTTGCAGCTTAAAGAGGCGGCCATTACAATCCAGGTAACAATTGCACGTGTCTTATTCACATGTCCTTTTTGGGTTTCCTGATTCACACCCTATATTGAAAAATAAGGAGTACTTTTAATAAATAATTATTAAGTATGAATTACTTTTTCGTTATTCAATTCACTTATCTACTTATAATATTTACAAACAGTATTTTATATGATTATTTCACATATCCAATCTCTGACGTAAAAGTAGGTCCTGTGTAAGCTCCAGGACCCCCTTTCCATAGCTTAATTGAGTATATTTTTTCTATAGTTCCCATATTGTTATTTCTTTCTCTCTATCATATATTAAACCGTTTATCTGGAGAATATATATGTATAACTTGGATTGTCTCCTTTATGTGGAGCTAATTTACATATTGTATTCCTTTTACTTCATATTTACATTTAGTTCTATCCATTATTAATATTATTCAAGAGACCTATATTATGTTCTCTGGATTTACTGTTCCTTATGGATAATGTAATAAGAGAAGACTAAACAATTTGTTTCCTATAGACCATGTAATAGGAAATGATACAATACCCACTCAATTATAAGTGACATTAAGGGTTAATTTATCTCAGACTTTTGGGGCTTTCTACCAATTACAGGGCACTACGTTCTAACGGGGTGTGGCCAATTCGAACGCTGTTTTGGCGCGAATGGTTGAGCCACACCTCTGTTTAGTGATTGGTTATGAGCAGCTTTAAATTGAAACTGGAGAGCTGCGTCCGGTTGCCTTGCCTCAGATGAAGGCGCGTTAGCAGTGCCGAAACACGTGTTAGGTAGCTTAGGCATCATAGACAGGCAGTTAGAATCTTCAGATCGCCCTCTTCACTCTAGCTAGTTGATCGTATTTATTTCATACAATTTGATTTAACTTTTTGGTGCGATTTTTGTCGGGGGTGGAACTGGGAATCAGGAGTTTATCAAAGAGGGGAGGGGTGGTCCTGCCCTTATATTATCACTGTAGGGGACCTCTCTCTCTCCCTCACAACGCCACTTTCAAGTCTCTTTTTACACTATTGTGGGCTCCCTTTGGATTTAGATAGCCCATGCTCATATTTTGAGCAAGAGATACATTTTGCAACAGTTTATGTATACAATAGTAGATTATTAAGGTACTTTGTATACAATAGTTGCCTTGTGAGTGACTCTACATTACAAGCTTGTTTCTCCTACATTTATTTTGTTTCCCAGAGTGGAGATTTTTTATATCCATTAATTGACATCATTTGTCTTATAAATTTACGGACAATCCATATAATCTTATGGTACCACTAGTTGTTATATTGGTATGCCTGCCTGCCTGCCTGCCTGCCTGCCTGCCTGCCTGTCTATTGATTTTTTTATTTTTTATTATATATTTTTTTGAACTCTCAATTTTTTAATTTTATGAATAAAAGTTATATTTTATCTTAAGTTATATAAATTCATCTGGTGGATAGAGGGACTTCCTACCTATTATTCCAGAGATATTCTCTCTGGAATCTTCTTTATCTGGGTTTCCTGATTGCATTTGCTTTTTATTGTTTTATATTTTTTTGTTTAATTTGTTTTTTTTAGCGATGTTGGCGCCATTATAAGAGACGGTGGGATGAGGAGCAGCCATTGGTCAAAGCAGAAACCGTTTTTCATGCTGCTGTAATCATTCAGACCTGGTGGAGGTGTCACATGGCACGTTATAGCTACCTACAAAGAAAAGCCTCAGCTGTCGCCATACAAAACTATTGGCGAGAACATTGGTTGCGGAGGCAGAAGGCTGCTCTTTGTATCCAGTCTACATGGAGAGGATACATTCAAAGAAGAAGGTACCAATGTCAGAGGAAACACATTGTTGGTTTACAGGCAGCATGCAGAGGCTACATAGCTAGGCGCAGGTAATCTAGAATTCATTCCAGTTTTATTAAATAACCATCAAAAATAAACTTTAGGTAATATTCATATCTGACAATTAACATATATATATTTATTTAACAGGTTCCTTTCATTGAAACAAATGAAGACAAATTGTTTTATTGAAGATCATGGGGCTGGAGACTCAACCCCACCTGCTTCAACTCCAGATGTTGAACATCGTAAGTGGGAGGACCTGGAGATAACTGACCCGAATCCTCCGGAGTCAGTTAATACAGAAGACATCCAGAGTGTCGACGAGATTCCTGCTGAGGTGCACATTAGAGAGAGACCAAAGTCACTGGAGAATCCAAATCAAAGAAAGGTTGTCCGGGCCAAGCGAGAAAGCCGTCGCATGCGGGAGCTGGAGCAGGCCCAGTTCAGCCTTGAATTGCTGAAGGTGCGTAGTGGAGGGATGTCTCCTTCTGAGGAGCGCCGCTGGTCTGCAGAGATCCTCCTGGACAAGCACCCAGGCACTCCCGAGAGTGAGGGATCACTTGGCAGCCTGGAACTTATCAGCTGTGATGAAAATCAACATTTCTCTGAGGACCGTCCAACAGATATGATTTCTCCTGACATACCACTTAACTCTCCAACAGACAGACTTTTAAGCACTACCAATGAGGCATTTAAAGACTCTTCCAGTTCTGATATTGCAGCTTCTTTTACCTATGGAACTGTCATAACTCCATCACATGGATCCTTATGCTCTCCCTCACAAGGGCCTTCCACCTCTCCCATTTATAGTCCTAAAAGCAATACCAGTAATGACCCTGCATTACACTCCTTTCCAGAGCCTTTAAGCACTCACACCTCCAGACCAATAAGCTCTCCCTCCCATGGACCCTTCACTGGTTTCACTTGTGAACCTTCCCAGTCCCCCAAAACTACATCCAATTCTGACCTCCCTGGGCAAAGCAACTCGCACTCCAATGGTATTGTTGGTTCCTTTCCCCAAGATACCTCTGGTTCTCCCAAAAACTTGAAAGTGCCATCCAATGGACCAATGTGTTCCCCTACCAAAGTTACTTCATCGGGTCTTACCCCAAATGAGTTGACTAGTAACCATGCATCCTCTCCGTCAGAGGAAGTCTCTTCTGAGCTGCTAAAAAAATCCTCCCATCATCCTCCATCGCCTGTTTCCGAGGCTGTGGATATCTCATGGGGCTCATCTACAAGCTGGAGACAAAAGCCTCCTGGACTTGATATGTCAGAGAGTGCCCCTGCCAAATTGTCCGTCCCCACATTCTACAGAACTCACCCTCGAGATCCCCTACTTTCCAGCAGCCTCCCTACTTTCTATGTCCCAAATCAAGAATCTTTAAGATTGCAGGAACAAAACGAGACAGGAGAAGCCCCCACCAATTCTGTCCTGCATCGCCTTCAGAAGTTAAATGAAGAGAAAGAGGAGCTACAAAAGCAGGTACAGCAGCAGAAAGAGCGGCAAATGATGGAACAGATCAGAAAAGAGAAGCAGGAACTAGAACGCCAGCGTAAAATGCAGGAACAACAAGAAAGCACTGGAGAATCTCAGTCCTCTCCAGACATTACCATGAGAACTTCTAAAAAGCCATCTGATCGACCACAATCGCTGCTCCTGCAAAGTCCACACTACAAGGGCCCTCCTTCCAAGCCCCCCTTGGAAATAAAAGGTCTGACTGTTGGAGGGAAGAGTGGCCCAGCCTCAAATAATAGCCGTCCTTTAAGTATGTTTCTAGAGCAGAGAGGAGGTAAAGACACCAAATGGGATGGTGTAGCGGAAACAAATGATGCATTGAGAAGACCTTGGCTGCACAACAGTGGAAAATCCAGCATCTTTTTTAATCCAAAAGGGAACGCTAGTAGTGACTCAGAGTAAGTGTTTGTGTCCTGTGTACTCTTTGGTTTTTGTTGTGTTTTGGATTTTCTCTTTTTTTTTTTTGCACGTATAGTAGACCTTTCAGTCTAATAGACGTTATGTTTGGAATTGTGATAAAGACCTCATAAATGTAACGATCTGGTTTGTAGTCCATCAGGAATGTTTACTAAAGTGATCATTCAAAGTAAATTTCAAATATAAGGCCAGAGTAGCCCAAATGCATGCATAGCTGACTTTGAGCTGATTTTTTCCATATTGGCTATTATGACCTTAAATTATAAATTAACTATGAATTCACCTTGAATTCTCACTGCAGCAATTCACCTTGTATGTCTATCGTATTATTAAGTAATGGTACATTGTATTAGAGAGGTTGTAGCCACGCAGTTTATATGTTCAGGGTATGTTGAAGCAGATGTGGTATTGGAAGTCTTCTTGCAGTTAGTTGGTATTGAATACGTTCTTGTAATGGCCGAACCACTTTCACTAGATAATACTGCTTCCTTGGCTGGGTTTCTATGCAGTTTGAGACAAACTTTCTAACCAAATGTGTGACTGTCTTGTGTTCCCATTTTTCTTGTCTGTCTGTATTTGTGTTTTATTTTCTAACCAATACACCCCAGTAAATTATTTCCTTAAAGTGGTCTATTGATAAATATGAAACTGTGTGGAAATGACAAAAGCAGTGCAGAATTCATGCTGAAATTGGTTTACTGTGACTATACAAGTTGGAAGCATCTCCTCAATCAGCAATTTTTGCCTACAATTATCCATTCATTTTTAAATTGTCTGTGAGTAAACACGTGGTTTAACCTCACATGCGCGTCTCATGGCCCTTTACAGGGATATTTAACAAGGCATTTCCTACACATGTGACGTTTTAGAAGTGAATAGAATTATTTGTTATTATCTGTAAAATTTCGATAAGGTAAAAATACACAGGGTAAGAATGCAGAGACAATTTATACATCTATCTTAATTCTTATTTTTTTTTGGGGGGTGGGGGGTGTTAATAAAAATGAGGTTATTGAGAACCCTACTTCTGCCAGACTTCTTTTAATTTCTAATCATTCCTGTCACAACCCTCCCCTTTGCCAATCATACATTGACTCCCAATACCCTTTAGTATTTAATTCAGGATACTAATATTTCACTTTTAATGCTCTTAACACACTAGCCCTCCCCCATCATATTTCTTCATTAATTCATAAGTACACCTCTTCATAACCACTCTGCTCTGCCAGTGACCTTCTCCTGTCCCATGTTTGCACCCCTACTGCTAATTCTTTTCTGCAATATTTGTTTAAACATATAATGTGACGGCAGAGAAGAACCATTTGGCCCATCTAGTCTGCCCAATTTTCTAAATACTTTCATTAGCCCCTGGCCTTATCTACTAGTCTCCTTGCCTTAAATGTTGGATGCCTATCCCACGCATGCTCAAACTCCCTCACTGTGGTAACCTCTACCACTTCAGTTGAAAGGCTATTCCAGGCATGTAAATATAGTCTACTCCTTCACTGTGTTGATTCCCTTTATGTATTTAAATGTTTCTATCGTATCCCCCCTGTCTCGTCTTTCCTCCAAGCTACCATTCACTTTAAATTCCCACTTTAGTGAGTAACCCTGTTAGTCTGCAATCCTTACAGAAAACTCATCTCTAACTTATTGCCTCCCTGTGTCATTTTCAGTAATTACACTGTCAGCCCCTCTCTAAGATAATTAGTAGCTCCACAATCCTCTCCATTCACCTACCTTCCAACTTGATGGCTTTCCTGCACACTCACTTGTTTATCTTATTCTCTATATTGATTTTCCTCTTGTTTTTCTACCCCACCTCCTCTAGGTAATCGGGGAGCGTTTTTGGGAAATAATGCATGTGCGTCCTTGTAACTTGTGTTCAAACGACTCTTTAAATGTAGTTTTTATTGTATTGTTTTCTTTAGTTACTTGCCAAATCTGTCTGTCTTTACTCTTCCTGTTTTCTAGCACTAACTGCATATCATCTTCTTCTAGGAATATCTCCTTCCCTCCAAACCGGGGTATGCGTGTTGATCCTGCAAAGAGATTGGATGCCACAGAGCCATCTGGAGTGAGTGAGGTGAGAAACCAGCTGTCTGACAGAGCAATGACAGAGCGGGCACGCATAATTCACACTAACCGATCTTTTAACAGTGTAGCAAGGCAGGAACCATGTGATATCGAGTGCCTAATCCTCTCATCCAGTCAATGGTTTCACGTTGTCTCTATTCACTTTCACCTAACTTTTTTTCTTTTTTTAACACTCCTAAACCCAGTCAGTGCAGACATGTGGCAAAATTATGACCACGACAACTATATGATCAATTGAGCACATCCCTAACACATATCCATAAATACAAGCTAATAATAATATTGAATACAGTTTTAATGCTAAAGAAATGCTCCGGCATTTTTAATAAATGTATTTAGAACGCTGGTGCATTGATGAATCTCCTGGGCCCTTATACCCCAACATCCCTTTTCTGAAAAGCGAAAAAAGGGGGGATAACTTACCTCTATTACAGAGACGAGAGGGTCCCTTGCCTTTTCCCGCACTTTTCCTGTCTAATCGAAATCTTTTCATAGAGCAATTGGAGACAGGGCACGCGCATGACTACCACAGCACTGCACGCATGTGATGAGAGCCAAGCTCATCAAACATACAATTTAATTCTTGGCTTTTCTGGTAAAAGTACGTGTCCAGAAAGTAAGCTAATTGAGCCGCAAACCGTATACAGTATTTACATAAATAAATTACTTATTGAAGTAATACATTGAGAAGATGAAAAAGATTGGAACAGACAGTGGGTTGACAAGGCTGCTTTAAAAATGGTTTTCTTACCATATCACAGCTTACCTAACAAAGTTTTTGGTGGGGTGTGAAGATGAGAGATATTGAGTTACGAGAAGCAGGATCTTATCTAATGGAACCGGCATAATAATTCCACCAAGTTAAGATTGGACTACACTGGACTGGTCTTATCAACCTCAATGCAAGTATAACCAGTCAATGCAGCATTATTAATGAAATCTATTGAAATAGACTGAAACACGAGTCTCCAAGGATTTGTGACGTTAATAGAGAGGTTGACCGTCCTCACAAATAAGGCGGAATAAGGTGAAGTCAACAGCTATATCTCAGCATAACTTTACACATTACTCTGCACTGATTTATAGGTTTATGAGAGAAACGTATTCATTAATTAGTAAAACTCCATTTGTTCTCTGTGTGGTTTATTTGTTTTTCCTTCACGCATGGTCCATTTGGTGGCTTTATTAGTCGTGTCTCCTACAGACCTATTTGTTGTTATTGTCTGGCATGACTTGTCCTTTATTTCTGCAATAAGTGTGTTTGAATGGGCATAACCCTTCACTGCTGCCCAGATTTCTAACCTTCATATTGTAGCGCGGATCCTTTTTTTTTCACCCACGTTTGTGATTCCGCATCTACCTGGTTTTATTTTGCATCTTACCCATATTGTCTCATGTCTCCTTATGTATGCTTTATCTGCTTCCATATATTGTGTCGCATCTCGTTATTTTCATGTTTTTTGTAATTTTATTTTGGGGTCCCCATGTCCGCTATCATTCTGTCCGTCAGGCCCCACACAGAAGGAAGGCTCGCATGGCACGAACTCGCTCAGATTTCTTGACTAGAGGAGCACTTGGGGGGGAAAACTCTGAGGACGATTCTGATGAGCAGGGGGGTCGTGTCCTCCACGCTGATCCAGCTGAGGAGACAGGCACACTGAGCCAGGCCTGTCACAGCGACTCGGAAATGGTAAACCCTAGCAGTAGACTCTGGTCTCTTCTCCAGAGAGAATTTAGGAGTAGTCTAAAAATCTATTGAAAATCAGGCGTCCTCCTCTTGAAACAAACTGTCTTACTCTCCCATTTCTCTTCACCAGGGACACCAAGGTAATACATCTTGAACATCGTTAGAATGTACAGAACTTGACATTATTTACTTTGTACCAACACGTAGGGATACCCAGGTTACTGGGGAAAAATGGCTTAGAATGAAAATGTTTACGTTGCAGCTATTTTGTCCTTTATCTTAATTAATTCACCAGTACTAGTACAGATTCAAAGGACACATATCCTGTTGTGAGATTGGATGTTCATAAAACCTAGTATAAATGGAAGTAAATTGTATATATCAATTACTTTAATTAATATGCATTGCCTCATGTAAGACATCAATCTGACATGGTGCAGTGTGCAAGGGACTCCATTTAGACCAGTTCTAGACCATCTGCAAAGACAGTCAATACCTAAAGGTAAAGTAAAGGGGTAATTCTTATATCAAAGAGAAAGACCAAGCTCTTTAGAAACTCTGAACGTTACTCATTTATATTTAAAGCAAGCTGTACAGACAGCTTGTAAAATATTTTCAGTGCACCAAAAAAAAAAAAAAAATATGCAATTAACTAAAAGTGACCTCTTTTTAATACAGTGTTGGTGTATGTTTCTGCATATCTCTGAAAAGAAAACCTTATATAGCTGTATGTGGCAACAGAAGCCACAGATAGAATTAGGAAACAATAGCAAATGATGATAATGTATTTACATACTTACCCAACATATAAAAATACCTACGATGGACACGTTTGGTTTAGAGCTGAGGTTGGAGGTGTTTTCAGAGCAGTTCTGGTTATTTAAATTGACATCATGGACTCATCATAACTATTTGTTAGTGAAAAAGTTAAATTGAAGCACAATCAAAGTATTTCATTTACAGAAGCAAGCTAAACACATTCACTGTATTTTTTTTTAAGACACTCTGATGAATTATATTGTGGTGTAGATCTGGTATACACTCCTGCACACCAAACTATTTGTACTCGCAGGTCAGGGATAGGCAACCTTCGGCACTTCAGATGTTGTAATGCTCTTACACACATAATGCTGGCAAAGCATGATGGGAGGTGTAGTTCAAATAATCTGCAGTGCCGACGGTTGCCTAGGCCTGTCCTAGACAATAACTTTTTGGATTACATCAAAACACTGATCTTTCACATTTACTGTAAATTTGAAAGACATAAGGAATCTTATCTTGCCTAATTTCCTGAAAACCACTCCTTAGACATCTTCTCCTTATATGGAAGGCTTGAAAAGCTTAACATAGCATTTCTACAGGGTTGTCAATTTCCTTATTAAGATGGCTCTCATTATTTGATGGTTTGAATGTGTATAGTGAGCTCCAAATCAAAGTAGAACTAATTCCAGGTAAATTGTCTGTTGTCCTGTATTGCACAAAAAAAGTGATATGCTTGGATCAAAAAACTGCCAAGTATTTCGAGAAATAAAGTCTGACTGACGCTTGGCATGTGCCTTTCTGTGCCTGCTTCTGGTTACCTTTGAATTAGTATTTGGGGTCAAGCAGACATTTAAACACATTGTATGGATTGAGCTTCTGACATCCCGGTGTTGTAGGCTTTTAGTTTATGGAATGATTCATGCACAAGTGTTCTCGCACAGAAAGGCACATAACTGTCAGCTGTTAGTGAAATATGGAATCACTGCAATATAATGAGGAACCCAAAACTGCACATTGGCAGAACTTGTTTTTCACTCCAAAATACATTCTGATTTAATTATTACAGCTTAGCCTTAGGGGATGTTTTAGTAGAGGATCTGTCTTTATATTTCTCCTATTTATAAGACGTCACATTGAAAATCAGTGCCCCTTATCCTCAAATAATTTATATTATTATTTTTAGAATGCCCAGGAGTCAGAGGCGTCTTTTACTTTTAACCTCATTTTCCAGGCTGTACTTATTCCTCTTAATAAGCCTTCTCATGACATGTCCGCTTTAGATATACCTTACACAAATATTACAAAGTATCTCCATTCCGTGCATATACAAGGTGCAAGTAACCGCTATTGCTAGGTTTGAGAGTTTTGTGCTTTAACAAGGGTTTATTCTGTATTTTACAGATGTTACAGAAAGTGCAAGGTGGAGGTCGACAAAGCAAACTCCAGAAAGCAATATCTCAGGGAGAGATGCCTCGGGATCTCGCAACAAACCGAACACCTGAGCCAGACACCAGGTAAATGTCCACTCAGAGGACCATTCTTCCAGTACGTTGGATGTGTTACTTTCAGAATATACATCACATCAAACTCTCTGTCGTTTCAGGCCTCAGAAAGGAAAGATACGCTTCTGGGGAAAGACGAAAGCAGCAGAGAAATTGACCCCACAGTCAGAGGTTGTGGAGATGGACACGGAGCCTTCAGGAAGAGAAGGCAGCTCAGCCATCCATTACACTGACGGTGAGTGTGTCATTTGAACTTTCCGTTACACGCTCTGTCATTGTCCTTCATAATAATGGAGTGCATTCTGTGTGCCCCAATATTTTTATCTCCTCTGCTGTTTCTTTACTTAACTCTGTGTTCACACACAGCTGTCTGTCTTTCCATCACCATGGTGTCTTAGAGCCACCTTTACTACTCTTGTCCTGATCCAACATAGCATATATTTTATATAATCAGTCTGTGCTCCTCTCTACTAGTGGACACAGGTTTGTGGCTCGTCCCTCACAGTCCAGACCTTAGCCGAGGGCGTGAGAAGGAGAACAAGGATCCCTCGCCCAAGGTTCAGCGGCGGCGAAGTTTGAAGATCAGCAGTGCTGCTTTAGAACCAGCTCAGTGGCAAGATGAGCGAGCGCAAATCATCTGCAGTGCCAACGACTTGAAGTGTATGGATGAGTTTCTTCAGAAGAAGGTAACAATACCATCCTGCTCATGCCTGCACATTCTAGTTATGGCAGGAAGTATTTTGAACATGCCAGGTCAATGTTTTTGCTTTGGATACCAATCTGGGAAGTTGCTCTTATTCATGCTGTGATTGCAACACATTTCTCACTGTGAATACAAATACAAAAAAACAGGTCCTGTGCTCAAACTCCCACTACCCTTGGACGGCAGCAACGACCATAGTAAACACCCCCCCAATACATACAGTAAAAAAACAAATGAAAAAGTTACGTGCGCTCTTCCCAAATCCTTATGTATATTTAAACAAATGGAGGTTATTTAGTTACTCCAATGCCCATTAGAGGGAAATGCCCACCTGCCATGTCAAGGCAAACCTCTCAGGTGGGTCCTACACTGACCATTAACCTTGCTTCCTTGAGTTTCTGGCAAATATATCTCTAATGAGACATTTCTCACTGTACCCATTAGAAGCGCTAAACTTCTGTTTTAGATTTTTTATTTTATTTTTTTTTCTTCTTATTATTACATTAGGTTTAGGATTTTTCAAATTCTGTATCTCAAAGATTCTCATTAGTTGTTAACATGCTATCATAAAGATGATGCCCACCCTGCCCCACTGAGTCTTTGGTTGTTTGGGTTTGTACCCATAAACTTTTGTGTTTTCCGTGTTTGGCTCTCTTTTCTCATACCACTACTTTACGACCGTTAACCCTATTTTTAATGGCAGTGGCAGTGTACCAGTCAGAGGTTTAGTGTATGGAGACAGACTACTTGCACAATAATGTAATCCAGTAGAACCTAGAATACTAGACTTCAAAATACACAAGAGCTATCAGGTGGATAACGGTGATTTTAATGCACATTTTTCTCATTCTAGATTGGTGATCTGGACTCAGAGGATGGGAAAAAGGATTCTATGGTGGATGTACTATTCAAGCGCGCCCTTAAAGAATTCCGTCAGAACATCTTCAACCTCTATTCAACATCACTTGTGGTAGGTAGTGCATGTGGTGTGGGTGATTTGGACTCTAGATTCATTGCTGATTTGGGCATAATATATTTTTGGTTACTTTTGAATTAAAACAGGGGGAAGATGGTAAGAGTATACGTTACAAGGACTTGGGATCCTTATTCGAGCAGATCCTGGATAAGACCATGAGACACCAGCAGTCACGAAGCTGGCCCGAATCTCCAGTCCAAGTTTGGATTAACACATTCAAGGTTTTCCTAGACGAGTTTGTCACAGAATATAAACCGCTGAATTACACATCAGGAAAGGTAGGAATCATATCAATAGAATGTGGAGATTCACAAAATGAGTAGGGATGTAGCAAAGTGAAATGAATTGGCTTCCAGAGCAATTCTTTACTCTCGTGTCATTTCTTTCTCACAAGATCCAAAAACCAGAAAGGAAAAAGAGAAGAAAGAAGGAGTCGGATATAGTGAGTTGGTTTGAATTGTAATTGTATGTTATTGCTTTAATCAGCTATCAGTATTATCGATTGTCGTTTCATTTTAAACCGTAAAATATATGCAGTATGCTCCTTAACTGATTTGAGCCAATGTTTCTAATCTTCCAATTGTTTACTGGACTCTCATCCATCTCTGTTTTTTTATTCTGTATATTGTTTTTCTGTTTCTTAATCACATATCTTTAAAGGCACTCTCTCTTTCTTTTCTGTTGCTTTTCAAAATAACTTTTTTCCCCATCTTGTTCTGTTTCTCTTTAACTTACGCTCACATTTGTCCTTTATATCTCCGTGTGCCCTCTCACTATTTTGCTCTTTTTGTTTTTTTTCTTCATTTTGCTTTTATACATGTTTCTTCTCTATCATTCTTTCTCAATGTCTCCAATAATCTGTCTATGATCGCTCACTTTTTATCTCATTTGGTAATAAAACAAACATAGTAGAATAATAATAGCACAAGTTATTACACATGCCAAGTGCAGTCGTGTTTTTTTTTCTTTCTGTCAGATAGTTGTAATATTGCAATTCCTCTATATCCCTTTTAAAGTACAAAAACTCAGAGGGAGTCAGAAATCATGTTAAAAAAAAAAAATGCATCTTAATTTCAATAAATCTGTGTATGTAGTGTCATAGAAACATGTGGCGGCAGATAAGAACCATTCGGCCCATCTAGTCTGCCCAATTTTCTAAAAACTTTCATTAGTCCCTAGTCTTATCTTATAGTTAGGATAGCCTTATGCCGATCCCACGCATGCTTAAACTCCTTTACTGTGTTAACCTCTACCACTTCAGCTGGAAGGCTATTCCATGCATCCACTACCCCCTCAGTAAAGTAATACTTCCTGATATTATTTTTAAACCTTTGTCCCTCTAATTTAAGACTATGTCCTCTTGTTGTGGTATTTTTTCTTTTTAATATGGTCTCCTCCTTTACTGTGTTGATTCCCTTTATGTATTTAACCCCTTAAGGACACATGACATGTGTGACATGTCATGATTCCCTTTTATTACAGAAGTTTGGTCCTTAAGGGGTTAAATGTTTCTATCATACCCCCCCTGTCTCGTCTGTCCTCCAAGCTATACATGTTAAGATCCTTTAACCTTTCCTGGTAAGTTTTATCCCGCAATCCATGAACCAGTTTAGTAGCCCTTCTCTGAACTCTCTCGAAAGTATCAATATCCTTCTGGAGATACGGTCTCCAGTACTGCGTACAATACTCCAAATGAGGTCTCACCAGTGTTCTGTACAATGGCATGAGCACTTCCCTCTTTCTACTGCTAATACCTCTCCCTATACAACCAAGCATTCTGCTAGCATTTCCTGCTGCTCTATTACATTGTCTGCCTACCTTTAAGTCATCAGAAATAATCACCCCTAAATCCATCTCCTCGGATGTTGAGGTTAGGACTCTATCAAATATTCTGTACTCTGCCCTTGGGTTTTCACGTCCTAGATGCATTATCTTGCACTTATCCACATTAAATGTCAGTTGCCACAATTCTGACCATTTTTCTAGTTTAACTAACTCATTTGCCATGTGGCTTATCCCTCCTGGAAAAGTCCTAAAGGACTAAAATTATGTGGTCTCCATTTTCAAGTATTTGAAACATATACATAACATGAGAGTGTGTCTGTTAGTTTCTACTGGTACTTCCAACTGGTACTTGTCACTGCGTGGTGCTGTATATTTTTCTTTAAAACTTTTTGTACTTTCGGTTACATTTTCTATACTATTCCTAGTTTAGCTCCCTCCTTCCTTCACTGTCTACTTCTCTGTGATTATCGCACCACTTGCCAGTCTTCCTTCCTTAAAATCAGACTTTACTCTTTGCATTATTTTTTACCCATTCCTGTCCATCTACAGTCTTTATGTGACTCAATATTTCCAATACGTTCTTCCACTCGTCACAAATCTCTCTGACAGCTCCTTACTGTGTTGGTTTTTTTGTTTATTTTCCAGGTAGAGGAGCATAATGGCCATGTATTTAAAGCTACACAATATAACATTCCCACGTACTGCGAGTTCTGTTCCTCACTCATTTGGATCATGGACCGAGCTGCTGTCTGCAAACGTGAGAGTTCCTCTTATATGTTTCATTGAATGCCTAGGCCTGATTGTGGTTCAGAGATTACTAAATACCTACGGTTCTGGATAGAACAAGTATGTGTATCTTAGAAAGATTGCCTTATAGGTGTTTAACCTGCGAACGGTTTGGTCCATCATCTTACACATAATCCTCTAATTTGATTGGATCTTGCCGTTAATACAATGGAAAAGTTCTCCAACTCGACTAGTTTAGCCTAACATTTGCAACAGAATTCCTAAGGGTTCTCGGATTTAAGGACACTCAAGATGCATAAATCACTTCAAGTGCTTTGTGTGTCTGGAGTCTGTCATATTTTTTAAAATTTATCAAAGTGCAGATATCAATAGAAATCATTACTTTATAGCTGCCACTCCGACAGCCAGGTTGGTTTTCTTCCGTTGGGCGTGCACACAGGCTACCTAATAAAATTAAATGGAGTGTTCGTTTTATGTACACCTGCTATGGACTGATAAGACTGTTCGTTATTCATTAAACTCACAGTTGTAGAAAATTGAAATCTGAATAGCTAAATTGAAGCTGAAATAGTCAATCTGTGATTATATTTAGGTTGCATTTTCTCCTCCCTCTAAATCTGGATTTCAGTTTAACACAATTTTGAGTTTAGTAAATGACTTTGTAACATTTGTATTGTATGCTGTATCTTTGTGATTAAACATACACTGTATTGTTTTTGTTCTCCGTGTGTTTTTGTACTTGTGGAATTTATGACATGGTGTTCCTTGGCGTTACTCCATGTTAAATGACAATATTAGATTGGCAGAGATTCATTAACAGGGAAAGTTTGTGCTATATGTGTGTTAAGTGAGTTTGCTTACAGTGTGCTTGTTGGGGTAAGGGCGACTCACCATTCACCTGCTGTATTGTACAAATAAATTGGAATCGAACAAACTGTTAAAATTACAATTAAAATGTATATTTGGCTGGAGCCAGTGTTCTGCACCTGCAGCAAGTGCAGGCCACTTGGACCTTTCTGTCCAATCTTGTGCTTCTCAGTGAGTCATAGTGTAATCTGTGGGAATGCTCTGAATCATTCAGAAGAACCTGAGCGTGAGAGAGAGGTACAAATGGCTGTAACATCCTTAATATTTAGAACACAATTAGTGTCTGGCAGCCTTGCATGCCATCCAAAGGCACCAACCCTGCATGCCATGCACGGCACACATGCTGTAGTTTGTTAACGCCGTCTAGATTAGTGCACATTATCTCGAACTTACCCCTTTAGTTGGTTAGTTATTCTCATTGAGTTATGTAATGAATGTTGTATCTAAATGTACTTGGATTGAGTCTGTATTATATTATGTAGTGTTTTATAGTCTGGTTAAAGCCTGTGTTTTGTCTTAGTGTGTAGATATGCCTGTCACAAGAAGTGCTGCTCCCAGATCATCACACCGTGTAGTAAGAAGGTGAGAAGGGTTTTCTTTTCCCTTTTTCTTCTGACGTTTGTTACTACATGTTCGTGACCTAATTTTCTTCCCTTTGTCCTCAGTATGACCTTGAGCTATCTCCCCGTCACTTTGGAGTGGAGCTGTCTCGTCTCACAAATGAAGAACGGACCGTCCCAGTCCTGTTGGAGAAACTGATCGGTTACATTGAGATGCATGGGCTCTACACTGAGGGCATATATAGAAAACCGGGGTCCACCAACAAGATCCGCGAGCTGAGACAGAGTCTGGACACAGGTAAATGTCCACGATTCCCTGCCTATCGTTCCAGCATTCATTTATAACTTTCATTGCACACCGGCATATCCCTTGTATTATCACATGTTCAGTCCTGGGATTATTGCAGAATGGATAGATACTCTTTTTATTCTGATGGTCTAAGGCAGCGAATGCTAACTTTTTGTAGATGTGTATAGGATACATTTCTTGTTATACTCTTAAAGTATCACTGGTCTGGTTATCATTAAACCAGATAGAGAAGATGTAATAATGCCTATAATGTAATAACCTGTTTTCTTGCTGTAAATGCACACTGTACATAACAGGTCTGTTGACGAAATGTCTGCGAAATATGCAATTATTAGCCGAGGATATGCCAATATGACAGCGCTATAGCGGTAATCGCAGTTTCTTTCATTAAATATGAAATCAATAGCTCTCAGTTTTGTATACCTGCATCATATACAATTTGCCCTTCAACTAATCTGAAATCAATAGGACTAAACTGCCTCATCAGTTAAAGATATAGCAATAGACATAAACTCCATATTAATCGCATTACTGTGCAGTCCTTCAATGAAAGAATTAAATAAAAGCAAACCGTAGCAAGCTATGGGAATACTAAGCAATCCATCCATTATTTCACTTGTATTTTATATGTATGTCTCTTTTTCATGTCGCGAGTTATGGACCATTACTTGAGCTGTGTATCGTTTTTTTGTTTTGGTCTGTTCAGAATGACGATAAAACATGACGCTGCGTTCGATGTTGCACACATACTGTAGTGGAGGCTAATGCATTTTGTTCAGAAACAGTTTAGTCTTGATATAGTGAGAGACGAACTCAGAGTATTGAGTATTCTTGTAAATTCTATTTTGCCATATTCATATATTTCTAATGTCTTCCTAACTCTGAAAGGTTAATATGTGCTTAGTTATATCAGCTGTACATCACTAACAAGGCCCAAATAATCACCTGACATTGCTGTATTACGTACTGGGGGGAAGCGTTCTGGCCTGCAATGTGCTGTCCTGTTTGTAGGACCTGTCTTGTATAGTAATAGGATCCTTCTGTGTTGGTGCAAGAGAACTAAAACTAATTTAGAATCCTCAGTGGACTAAACAGAAGACAAGGTATTATACTCTGTTATGTGGTGTGCATGTTTCCTAGCTTTGGTTTTTGGATTATTTGGATAACGGTTTGGTTCTTACCTGGGATCCATCAGGCGCCATTCCTTGAATGTCTGCTGCTAGACGCTCTCTACATTGTGTTACGTCTAGAAGTGTAGGGTCTATAGCTCATTGGTTGAGGGCAGTCAGCTGACGCTCTAGGTCAGGCTTCCCCATACTCCGGCCCTCCGGATGTTGCTGAACTACAACTCCCATGATTCTGTGAATTAAATAGGCTGAGAATCATGAGAATTGTAGTTCAGCAACATCTGGAGGGCTGGAGTTTGAAGAAGCCTGCGTCTATGCCAATGAGCTGGCTCAGCATTACAGTGCAGTGCTTAGCTCCAGTGAGCTCCTAGCAGGAGCTTCCAGCTCTTACTTACAGCTGCTGGGAAATCCCATCTAGGAAGTCAAACCGATGGCAAATGGTGTGACTGCTTACATTGTTAGGGCAACGGGGCACGTCTGTAGTGGTTATGGTGCTTGGAGTGTCCCTTTAACACTTCCAGTGTGTTGTGCTGTATGTATATTCACATTCTTCCCATAAGAGAACAGCTTTCAAAATGGTGATGTACACTTTTTGAGTCAAAGATGTTTGGGTTTGCTACTGCTGAACTGTGTTAAACTTCTATCTGAACTGCAACTCTGGGAAGAATTCATTGATTTTCACAGAATCTTTCAAATCCATAGTGTGTTCAGAGCCCAGTGATTTACCTTACTTATATAAAAGTTATTTACTAAATGTGGTATTGTTGGGAGGAAAAAATCTCCCAAGCCGCTTGGTTTCCAGAGAGCAATTTTCAATTATCTGTTGTACTCCTGATACAGTGTAATGAATAACTCTGAACGTAATTAGGAAATAAATAATATTTGGCTTCACAATTCCCCTCCCGCTTTACTTTGTTACCTGATCTGTGTGGCTCCAGGGACTTTATTTTGTATAAAAGAGAATAATGTGTTCCTATACAGTACAATACTGGATTAACCAGTAGGATGTGCCTTGATGTGTTTGGAAGAATGCTCTGGGGCATGCTGATTACTGTCAGTGAATCCTTTGTTCCCTGTGTATAATCTGTGTTACGTTATTATCCAGCTGACCTCCTGACAGATTTATAATAGTATGATGTTTTAAAAGCTTTGTGACTCATTAGAAGATGAAGTGCTGGAAACTCCTTAATAGTATATTGTCTTCTGAACACTAAATGGTGGTATAATGAAAGTGGCCGCAGTCGGTGACTAAATATATTTATCAAGGTCACATACTTACATTTTTATATTCCTATATACATTACTCATCAAGGCCGTGACTACAGAGTCCGAGAGACACGGCACTGCTGCAAACCAAGGCTGTCCTCGTACATCGAATGTTCTATGTGATCGCACACAAAAACCCACACTGTCAGCATTTTTCGAAAAAAAACTAAAATGTGAATTAATATTCAAGATATAAAATGAAGCACGTGTTCAGCCCGCTTCAAGGAGGGAATATAGCTTTAAAAAACAAACAAACAAACAAACAAAGAATGTTTTCGTATAAATCTGCTTCGGAGTATAGCACTTAAATACATTTGTTCCAGGCTACTTTGTGTTATCCTACTGTGGTTTCAGATGTATTCCCTAGTACACATTGTATCTGTTCCCACAATAACACATTGTATCTAGGACAGACAGCAATGTTATCACCACATTCTAGCTTTATTTTCATTTTGTTTATATTGTAAGCCTCTCGTTGTCAATCACTATGTTTGCATTCTTTCCCTTCCACATGTCCCTCTACACCACCCCCCCCCCCATAACCTAGTTCTGCTTCCAGTATTTGCTTAGTCTTTCCTATTACAACAGTGATATTTACATCCCTCCCCTTCTCTTACAGATATTGACAGTGTGAATCTAGATGACTACAACATTCATGTGATTGCGAGCGTGTTCAAGCAATGGCTGCGTGAGCTTCCCAACCCACTTATGACATTCGAACTTTATGAAGAATTCCTCAAATCTATGGGTACGAAATGCCACGAGACAAACCCTGCCTAGGATTGCGTCTTCCCCTAATAGTTTTTTTTGTTTTCAGAGCTGTGAGCTCGCTCTCCTTTTGACTCTCCCTTACAATGACTTAATAAATGTGTGTTTTTATATATATATATATACTTTGAATTCAGCTGTCTACACTGTATGATTCTTTTATTGATTGGCCTGTGCATTCTTAATAAGACATGGGACAATTGGGAGAACAGATCCCCGTTAGCTATAAAACACGCGTTACTTCTAATTTTAATTAACCATGGTCTTTTAGTCTTCCTATTTAACTCGGATTTAAAGAAGTAGAAGATTTATTGAAGCTGACTGCTTGTACAATCCCTTTTCTCCATTTGTTTTGCACTCTCTATCTTCAGACACATGTCTATGGTCTCGATATATTCGCCTTCTCTTCCTTTTTCTATATTCTTATGACACTCTCTTCTTTTGAACAACCACCTTGTTTCTAAGCCCCTGATTGAACGTATTAATACATAGAAATATTGTCTGAATGGACTTTCTGCCCACAAATGATCTTTTTCTGTGCTATTTCATTTCCATCTTCGTGAAACCAATAAACCATTTAACTTTCCCATGTAAGGCCTGACTTGGTGAATAAAGACAATTAGGGCAGATGGGGAAATGGCAAATGAAAGGCTAGAATAGCACAAAAAGAAAAAAAACATTTGGGGGAGTTTTGCATCTATTTGGCTTAAACTATACAATACTCAGTGAATAAGCCATATTTGGGAACCATCCATTCTTCCTCTCTCAACCTGCAGGTCTCGGGGAAAGGAAGGAGACTGTGCTTGGAGTGTACTCCATCATTGATCAGCTCTCTCGGACTCACCTTAGCACTTTAGAGAGACTCATCTTCCACCTTGTCAGGTAACCACTGTGGCCACACGTGTCTTATTACACCACGGGTGGAGGAATGCTCACGTTAATAGCCATAGTGACCATGCGTTTGTATTATATTGTATTTAGGATAGCTCAACAGGAGGACACCAATCGAATGTCAGCCAATGCACTGGCCATTGTATTTGCTCCATGTATTCTTCGTTGTCCGGATACCACAGACCCCTTGCAGAGTGTGCAGGACATTGGCAAGACCACTGCGTAAGGATTATATCATTGCTGATTTGCAATTATTATAAATCCATGAAACCTCTGATGGTTTTTGTAGAAATCTGCTCCATAGATATACCCGTAGGTGTATAACTAATCTATACACTTTGGTTTCCCCGTGTGCAGCTGTGTGGAATTAATTGTAATGGAACAAATGAATAAATACAAGGCTCGGCTGAAGGACATAAACAGCCTGGAGTTTGCAGAGAGCAGAGCGAAGAGTCGGCTGTCCCTGATCCGAAGATCCATGGTGAGTGTGAATGATAAGTGCCACTCTGGACAATGCATCCAAAAACTAACGCACTTAGACCTGCTTCCTCTGCTCACCGTTTCAACCTACTCTCTTCCCTCTAACTTTCTGCTTTCCTTTCATCTCCTTCTCTAATCCAGAAACCCGTACTAATTGCAGTTAGATTTATGAGCATAAGTCGCAGCTCCCTGCCGGTATGTATATTAACCTCAGGCTGTCTGTGACGCTCATTCACGCTGTTGCCATTTATTTTTCTCACTGTTACTTCCTGTTACACTAACTCATGCTGCCCTCATTCCAAAACTAGTAACACTTGACACTCACTCATTTGTTCCTAGTTTTGACATGCAAGCCATTTAGCAGAACCAAGACATGTTTCCCCAAAGTTCCAGCATCGAACCATGTTTTCTCATGCTCACGGTTTTGCATGATCAGTCTGTTTCTGTACTTTTGTTCACGCCTTTTCTTCCCTTTCACACTCCTCGAATATACTTAACGTCTTCATCACACACTTATCCTGGAAATGCATGTTTCTGTAATGTTCAAACCACATGTGTCTTGGCATAAATCCAGTTCGTCAGCATTCGGATCTCGTGTATCACTGTACGTGCGCGTGGATTTTTAATGCAGTATACACGTGAGTATACATGATGCGTGACGCAATACGTTCAGCCAATCTACCTGCGTTATTTCATGCAATATCTTAGCGTGTTCTATTTAAGCACAATGGCCATAATGTAATTAATATATATGAATTTACACTATATTTGTCATGTATGTGAGAAATGTGTGTATCTAGGCATTGTGATCATGTATATGTAAATTTATTTCTAGATTTGTTTTCATGTGAAAGGCTCGTCAAGTGTATCACCGTAGCATAAAAGGTTTAATAATTATAGGTTAGAAGTACTGCATGTACGATGGAAGACTTGGCTTCAATTAATAAATCCATATTATAGATCTATAAATGTGTGTTCACTCAAATAAGAAAGCTTGGTGTGTGTCAGATTGTTGCTGGTATGACTCTTGTTTGTTGTTGCTACATGTATATATTCATACGTTGTGCTCTGCAGGGGAAGGGACGTCTACGGTCGAGTTTGAGCCCAGTTATCTCTGGACTCTCTACAATAGCCCCTGATGCAGCAACGGATCATATGTTATCGAACATTCCTTCAGAAGAGGAGTCTGCCGAGCAGAAGGAAGCTGCAATGCAGCAAGAGGAAAGAGTTTTAGCCCAACAGATTGAGACTCTGCAGAAGGAGAAGTAAGCAGTATGAACGGACAGAAGATAGGGTGCTTGATGGGCAACTCCAATTGTGCCTTAGATTATGATAAAACTGTAGAAGAGGGATATCGATCCTTGTTCAGTTCATTTATTGTTTAAATTCCACTATAATTGTTAGTATTATTGGGCCTCACAGTGATTAATGGGAGGTAAAGTCCACTACCACTAGAGATTCAAAGTTATTTAAAGAAAATTAAAGGGGCAAAAAAAACAATAGCGTGTAACTATAAAAGGAATAATACAGCTATACCGGAGTATGAAATTAAAAATTTATTTATTTTTTTGCTCACTAATAATCTTACACTGGAATCTCCAAACTCCGTTTGGGATATTCTCAGGTGAAATTGATTACATTTAGGAGGGGTATATACTCATATTGTGCATGCTCTACGTTAACATGTATACACTCAAGTTTGTGAGTTGAACCAATCCTTTAAGACTCAATCGCCTGTTTGCTTTTACAAGGTAGCACTCCATCTACTAAAGTGCGTGATTTTTCCCAGCTTCAGATATAACCTTTTAATGTGCTATTTAAGTAAGATCTTCCACACTGTCTTTCGTCATCCATAATTGGGATAAAAACAAACATACAGAAGATGCAAAACAACAAATACAACATAGACACACCGTTAAATATGAAAAATAGTAAGGAATACCCGTGCAGCGCTTATGTGTAAAACTGGATATGGAAAACCTTTACCCAACTTTTATCCAAACGTAGAAAGAAAATATTGGGTAAAGGTTTTCCATATCCAGTTTTACACACAAGCGCTGCACCGGTATTCCTGACTATTTTTCACCACTTTTGTTTAAAAGATTTCCACGGTGATAAGCAGCTTTCCAAATTATATATAAATTAAAAAACATATCACTCAAATAGCGCTAATACTTTCCCTTTTTTACATCGTGAAATATGGCTCAGAAATCAAGATTCTCCTCTTTTAATTTTATAATCTGAGAAACTAGTTAAAACCACTCCAGAACCAGAACAGCATTAAAAGGGAACCATTCAGTGAGAACGTATAGGTTTAAAAAGTAAACCACTTTATTAAAGTACAAAAAAACAACTGTAGTCAGTAACATCCATGTTATACCACTGCAGGACATCTCAACAGAAAACGCACTTATGAAAGCAGGAGAGATACAGAAGAATTCACGACTGGCAGTGCTAAAGGCAGTACTTGGCTAAGTGCTTGTCATTAGTGATGTCCCGAATGGTCCGCCGCGGACTCATCATTGAGTAAACTTTGACCCTGTACCTCAGTCAGCAGACACATTCCAGCCAATCAGCAGCAGACCCTCCCTCTCAGACCCTCCCACCTCCTGGACAGCTCACTAAGAATGCAGCTTCACAATGGATGCTGTCCATGAGGTGGGAGGGTCTGCTGCTGATTGGCTGGAATGTGTGAGGTACAGGGTCAAAGTTTACTCAATGATGAGTCCGTGGCGAACCATTCGGGACATCACTACTTGTCATTAATACATGATTAGAACCTGGCTTGCATGTGTGCAAATGGTATTTCACATACACTCCCCATAAATATACATTGAATCAATTGACTTTTTAGCCATTTGCCAGTTCCTGCAGAAGTTTGAGTAGGTTTCTGTTTCTAGCTCCTCTAGTGGGTGTTTGTGGGGTTTTTGTATTTTTTTTTTTTTCCCATTCATTACAGGCTGGAGTCAAAGATTTGTAAAATGATGCCCCCAAGGCTGTCTTATCTTACTATGGAGAGGGAAGGCATTGCAGGTGCTCTACGCCTGTGAATCCCCTTGTAATTAGATCTAACCTCCTGCAGTCTCTGAGAATATTAGTTGTTTGGAGCCAGCCTTTCTCATCTTGTGGTTTTCTCGCTTCCCATTTTGCAGAGAGGAGCTGGCTTATGAAATGCTGGCACTGGAGCCTCGGGCGTCAGATGATGAGACCCTGGAGTCTGAAGCATCTCTTGGAACTGCCGATAGCTCTGAAAACCTGAACTATGAATCCGAAGGGGCTGTGCCCACCAGGGCAGGTAAGGACCACACCCTAGCTAGTTAATATCTTTTTACTGTAATTATTTCAACCAGCAAACAACTATGTAATGAACAGACAGGGATAGAGGAGGGAGACATTCTCAGACTGAAGAGAAGTTGGGGGTTCTATTTTACGAGGACTCTATTTACTATCAATAATAAAGATCTGCAAAGCCAGCTTTCTAAGGACCAGTATGCAATCCAAGGGTCCTGGTTCATCTGCAAGGAATACTTAATTCCTGGCTATGAAACACACGCTGATTAAAATGTAAGACACATATTGAACCTGTCAAACATTTTAGAACGTCTCCATATTTTTTTATTAACATGTTTAGGTTACCAAACAAAAATGATACATAATGTACATTTCAGAGTTACAACAAATGTAAAGCGGTTTGCAATTACAGCTGATTAGTTACAAAACCTTTGTCTGAAGAAAAGCAGTGTTGGAAGAGACTGTTACTATACTCTCAAGCATTTTTGGGCAGTATTTTTCTGAATGAAACCGCATATTGCTATTAAAGTGGAAGGAAACAAAGGAAGGCAGACAGACCATTAGAACCCTTAATAGTGTTGGTCAGGGGTGGGCAACCTTTGGCATTCCAGATGTTATGGACTACATCTGTAACGTTTTTACAGCTATTAAGCTGGCAAAGCATCAAGGGAGATGTAGTCCACAACATCTGGGGGTTCCGAAGGCTGCTTACCCCTGGTGCAGGTCTTTCTTTTAGATAGATTGCCAAGGTGTCAATGAGTACAGTTTCCGGCGCCATCAAAAGGCACTTTGAACCTGGAGGAAATTCTTACAGGAAGAGCCGGCTTTACCATAGAATTAGAAGAAAAGGTAACAGAGTGTGTAATAGGCTGCTCACAGGACAACTTGAACACTAGTTGAAATGAGCCTGTCTAGTTTTCACCTTTGAAGAGAAGACTTCAAGCTGCAGATTTTCAGGCTAAGTGGCAGCAGGAAATGCATTGCCAAGTGGCAAAATAAGAAAAAGAATGTTTGCATCGGCCCTGAACCTGAAGACACGGAGAATATCTTATGGACCATTTAAATCTTCCGTTCGCCCGAGGGCTTTTGTACAGTGTCAAGTACAAAAAAGGTAGTTCCTCATTATGTGACTACTTTCAAACATGCAGGCTCTTTTTGCTGTATGTAGAGTTGATGACTTGCATGAGTGACACTGCATTTGGCACCACCATGCTGCTTCCTCTGGTATCTGCCTAGTTGTTCAGGGGTTCATCCTACTGTACACTATGCTGGAACACGATGGTAGATTACAAAGCATGGAATGGTCAGCACAATCCCCAGGCCCCATCAGGCTGGTCAGGGATGAAAGTAAAGACCGAGACCGATCCTGGGGAGACCTAATGTGCATACGCAGCAATGACGCGTACGCGCATTAGACCTCTCTATAGGAAAGCATTGAGTTAACCCTGCAAGGTATTTATTGCAGTTTATGAAAACTGCAATAATTACACTTGCAGGGTTAAGGGTAGTGGGAGTTGGCACCCAGACCACTCCAATGGGCAGAAGTGGTCTGGGTGCCTGGAGTGTCCCTTTAACCCCTTAAGGACACATGACATGTGTGACATGTCGTGACATGTCTTGACATGTCTTGACATGTCATGATTCCCTTTTATTCCAGAAGTTTGGTCCTTAAGGGATTAAATATGATTTTATTAAATTTTTCTTAGATTTTAACGTTAATTGTTCTATGCTTTAACCCCTTAAGACCGGAGGGCGTACTATTACGCCCTATTCTAAGCGGCTCTAAACGCCACCAGCCACCTTGCGACGACCTCACAATCACATGGCCGGGATAGCTGGCTGGAAATAAAAATAAAATAAATTAATAAGTGTAAAAAAATATATATATACACACATATACATACACACATACACTGTCTAGGTGTATTTTAATATATATATATATATATATATATATATATATATATATATATATATGTTACATGTAGACTGATACTGATTAAATATAATTATTGTTCTATATAATATAAAAAATTAAATATGTAAATACGTTAAAAAATAAAATAAAAATAATTAAAATATATAGATGTGTTATTTCGTTCTAACTGTATTGTGATATATATATATATATATATATATATATCTCAAAATACACATAGAACGAAATAATATATATCTATATACATAAATATATACGTATATATCACACATATATATATATCCCTATATAAATAAAAATATTTTAAAAAATTATATATACATATACATACATACACACATATATATACATATATTAATTCTACATATATATTTATGTAATATTTTTACATAATTGGGTATCTTAATTAATTACTATTAGCGGGACCTGCCTGACAACCCATGCCGAAAGTAAAGGGAATTTAATTTGCTAGCACTATATTTAACCCTATAACTTTCCAAGACACCATAAAACCTGTACATGGGGGGTACTGTTCTACTCGGGGGACTTCGCTGAACACATATTAGTGTTTCAAAACAGTAAAATGTATTACAACAACAGTACCCCTCATGTACAGGTTTTATGGTGTTTTCAAAAGTTACAGCGTCAAATATAAGGCTTGTGTTTCATTTTTTTCACATTAAAATTCACCAGATTGGGTACGTTGCCTTTGAGACCCTATGGTAGCACAAGAATGAAAATTACCCCTATGATGGCATACCATTTGCAATAGTAGACAACCCAAGGTATTGCAAACGGGGTATGTCCAGTCTTTTTTAGTAGCCACTTAGTCACAAACACTGGACAAAATACTAACGCTAACAAATACTAACGCTAACTTTGGCCAGTGTTTTTGACCAAATGGTTACTAAAAAAGACTGGACATACCCCATTTGCAATACCTTGAGTTGTCTACTATTGCAAATGGTATGCCATTATGGGTGTAAATTTCATTCCTGGGCTACTATAACGTCCCAAAGGCAACGTAACCAATCTGGCGAATTTCAATTTAAAATGTAACGTGCTATATTTGACCCTGTAACTTCCCAAAACGCCATAAAACCTGTACATAGGGGGCACTGTTTTACACGTGAGACTTTGCTGAATACAAATATGTGTATTTTATTGCAGTAAAAGCAAACAGTATTATGACATTGACAGTTAAAATGTCATGTAGAACTAAAAAAAATTTAAAAATCGTATTTTCTCCCATTTTTTTCATATTAAATTATGTTTCACATCTAAATATTTGATATTAAATGAAAGCCCTATTTCCCCTGAATAAAATGATATATAATAAGGGTGGGTGCATTTACTATGAAATAGGTGAATTACGGTTGGACAGACATGTAGCGCAAATGCCAGGTTTTGTTTACATTTTGTTTCGTTCACAACGTGTACATTTGGCTCCGTCCTTAAGGGGTTAAAATACACTGTGACACTAAATTGCGTACATTTCAATATAAACTGCAAAATGGAGGTGTTCTAAAAGTTTTCACCAGATCTGTAAAAAAACAAAAACATTGGAATAGAGGAATAAAAGCACATTTTTTTTCAAAGTTACCATAATTTGTTTGTGGACTATTAACCGTGGTGGCATTGATTTATGGCAGGCTCCTCACCCAAATGCTGCAAGAAAAAGATCAGGAAACAAAACACTGACATTACATTAACTAGAACTGTCTACACTCAATCAGTTACTACATCCACAGTGCTTCTTCTGCCATAGAACAAGGGCTATTAATAAAGAGAATAACATTACAGTAAGTATGGAACAGTCTCCTGTGTTTCCAAATGAACACACAGCAAAAGATGTCATGGGAGGGACATAGAACACAGAATCTACTAAAATGCCACACGAATCACAACTGATTTGCAGAAATGGATTTGCTAAAAGCCATGAGAAAATGACAGTAGAATGAAGTTGTAAGCAGAGAACCATTCGGAGAGTCAACGGGACACATTCACGTTGTCTGCCCAGACAGGGAGAATATTGTGGTAACTGTTGGATGGGAATGTTTTGGTATTTAGTCTGAGACATCCTAAAAGCTAGACTTACCGTAGCATGACAAAGCAAGAGTCTGCATACTCTAACCCAGGATTCTCAAACTCTGCCCTCCAGAAGGTTAATGGCGTAAAAGTCCTTGAAGTCTTTGACTGCATTAGATTGCCACAGAATTTTGGCATTTGTAGTTCAGCAACATTAAGAGGGGCAGCTTTTAAGATGTATTCATGACACCATCCTTAAAGGGACACTATAGTGTTAGGAATATAAAGCTGTATTCCTAACACTATAGCTTCCCCCTGCCTCCCTTGCTCCACTCCCCCCGGTAGAAAGGGTAAAAAAAAACCAACACCTTTATTTACTTCCACAATCCCAGCCCCGATGCTCCGCCTCCTCCAACAGGGGCTAATGCACATGCTGCAAACGCATAAGGCCGTCACCATAGCAAAGCATTAAATTAGTGCTTTCCTATGGGGATTTCTCTGATGCTAGATGTCATCATGCAAAAGTCGCATAGCAAGCAGGAAGTGCCTCTAGTGGCTGTCTGGTAGACTTAGTGCTGCAATGTAAATGTTCTCTAAAACTGAAATGCTTACACTGCAGGACTAAGGGCAATAGGGACACTGTATCCAGACCACTTCAATTATATTTACCAAACAGAAGTCAAATGTAAGTTATCTGGTTAGTCCTTCTAAATCTAAGTGAGGGTGATTATCCAAGGGACCAATTCATGTAAACCTACCTTTTTCATTCATGGGAGGGGTTTATATTCAGTCAGAGTAAAGCGAACAGTGGGATTTCTTGATGAGACAGGTATGTTGTGTGAGGGTTTACAGATTGTATTTACCTTTACTACACAATACCTTTTCACATTGCTATTTTACTCGTTTACACACTCTTGACTCTCATCGATATCTATGATGTTTATTTTAATACACTCAAGTAACAAAAAAAGTCCCTTCAAAAAGAGAGGGGTGGGGGGAATGAAAGGGACACGTCATTAGTGAAGGACTTAGAATATCAGTTACCCGAAGAAAACATGTGAAGTCTCTTACCTGGGTAAAATAGAAGGAAAAGGAAACAATGTGAAGATAAGGCAACTCTTCTCCTCATGCAGAGACCGCACAGAAGAACAGAGATCTGAAGTGAGAAAATCCTAGGACAAATTATCAAACTGAAACTTCCAGATGCGATATATGGACTTAACTGAAAAGCAGTCGATCTTATCTAAATCCTACGACACTTTAGAAGACGGCACATTTTATTAGGGACAGCCCTATTTGGCACACACATATCCTGAGCACATGCAGGAAATATATACTAGCTACCCCAGGGAGGAGGGAGAGAGTCTTCCCTATTGTGCAATATGGACAGAATTGACCGTAGTATTTCAGTGTGCATTATTGACAGCTCTGGTGGGTTGTCTTATAACCATTGCATAGAAATGAAAGTGGGCTTAGAGTGCTCTAGACACCATTACTGCAAAGTGCATATACAGAACCTTTAATAATAAAGAGGGGGTGTTTAGGGACTGCAGGAGAGCAAAGAAGCTGATTGAACAAGTGTTATACAATGCATCTTTGCAATTCTAAAGGCATGCAAAGCACCATGGGAGGTGTAGTTTTAAAACATCTGGGTATCTACCTTTTAGGTACCCCTGGTGTACACCATGAACCGGTTAGTAGATGGTACCTGATTCACATGTGCTTTACATCTGTAAAAGATTTAATTTCCTTTCTCAGAACCTCCTAGCAGATAGTTGTGCTCTAGTGGAGCAATCTCACTGTTCTCCTTTCTAATGTTAATATACTAATGAAAAAGTGGACATTTCAAATAGTCCCCAGCCCAAGTAGGGAACTTAATTGGAGGCAGGCGGCCGATATTTAAAAAATAAAATAAATAAACAAGGCAGTAGGCATGCCTTTGCCCACAGCATGGTTTGTGGGTATTAATAACCTAGTGGGATGGACATTTCTCTCCACCACCCAATGGCTAAAGATCCCTAGTTATCACTCTCATGTAATATTGAGGGGAGGGGACAATAAATCTAATTCTTGAAAAGAAAAGAAACTTCTTTCTTCTCAAGTCTTTTTTTTTTTTATCATTCTCAAAAAAGGGTAAATAGAAAAAAAATAATAAACACAATAATTTGATGATACTTAAAGACCTAACCTGCAAAATAAAAGTACAGGGGTCACAGACTGAACTTCAAGTTGGGAAATGCCTTCCCACTTAGCAATACTAAGTTTGGGGTGGTAGATAATGGCATGTCCAACCAAATAGCCACAACCCACTGGCTGCTCACTATATCCCTCGTAGACACCTTGTCATGCAAGCAAATAGCCACAACCCACTGGCTGCTCACTATATCCCTCGTAGACACCTTGTCAGGCAACCAAATAGCCACAACCCAATTGCTGCTCACTATACCCCTCCTAGACACCTTGTCATGCAACCAAATAGCCACAACCCACTGGCTGCTCACTATTCCCCTCATAGAGACACCTTGTCATGCAACCAAATAGCCACAACCCAATGGCTGCTCACTATTCCCCTCCTAGACACCTTGTCATGCAACCAAATAGCCACAACCCACTGGCTGCTCACTATTCCCCTCATAGACACCTTGTCATGCAACCAAATAGCCACAACCCAATGGCTGCTCACTATACCCCTCATAGACACCTTGTCATGCAACCAAATAGCCACAACCCACTGGCTGCTCACTATTCCCCTCATAGACACCTTGTCATGCAACCAAATAGCCACAACCCACAGGCTGCTCACTATTCCCTTAATAGACACCTTGTCATGCAACCAAATAGCCACAACCCAATGGCTGCTCACTATTCCCCTCATAGACACCTTGTCATGCAACCAAATAGCCACAACCCAATGGCTGCTCACTATTCCTCTCATAGACACCTTGTCATGCAACCAAATAGCCACAACCCACTGGCTGCTCACTATTCCCCTCATAGACACCTTGTCATGCAACCAAATAGCCACAACCCAATGGCTGCTCACTATACCCCTCGTAGACACCTTGTCATGCAACCAAATAGCCACAACCCACTGGCTGCTCACTATTCCCCTCATAGACACCTTGTCATGCAACCAAATAGCCACAACCCAATGGCTGCTCACTATACCCCTCGTAGACACCTTGTCATGCAACCAAATAGCCACAACCCACTGGCTGCTCACTATTCCCCTTAATAGACACCTTGTCATGCAACCAAATAGCCACAACCCACATGGCTGTCATCACTATATCCTGCTCACTCCCCTCGTAGACACCTTGTCATGCAACCAAATAGCCACAACCCAATGGCTGCTCACTATTCCCTTAATAGACACCTTGTCATGCAACCAAATAGCCACAACCCAATGGCTGCTCACTATTCCCCTCGTAGACACCTTGTCATGCAACCAAATAGCCACAACCCAATGGCTGCTCACTATACCCCTCGTAGACACCTTGTCATGCAACCAAATAGCCACAACCCACTGGCTGCTCACTATTCCCCTCATAGACACCTTGTCATGCAACCAAATAGCCACAACCCAATGGCTGCTCACTATACCCCTCGTAGACACCTTGTCATGCAACCAAATAGCCACAACCCACTGGCTGCTCACTATTCCCCTCATAGACACCTTGTCATGCAACCAAATAGCCACAACCCACTGGCTGCTCACTATTCCCCTCATAGACACCTTGTCATGCAACCAAATAGCCACAACCCACAGGCTGCTCACTATTCCCCTCGTAGACACCTTGTCATGCTATTTGTGTTTGTCAATCTTTTTTTCAAAACCATCGCATGGACGAAATTCATCCAAACTGACCACCACATTGATGAAATTTGGTTCACACAAACCAGAAAAACAGACTAACCAAATTTTTTCTTTGCACAGATCCAATTATCACTTGCATTCTTAGGTGTCAATTCAGGTTTGCCAACAAAACCAGATGGAACACTATGAAATTCAAAAAAAAAACACAAACATTACAAAATTATAGCAAGACCATAAATATTCGGAACAATTCAGATACAATTCTCATACTAGCCATATGAATGGGTTTACACTTATGGGGAGACTTGCCTTACATTAGATATATTTGTATGCAAACATACATACATTTAATTTCTACTTGCCTCTGTACTAAATTAAATGAGTTTCAGGGGATTGTTACTCCATAGTTAGATTAGATATAACTGCCAATCCTTCCCTTACAAAACCTTTCCAAATACTGTAAAGATTCAACTCTTTGGCTATTTAAAAATCGATTCCATCCTGCTTCTGTAGAGGACAGGTAAATAGGAGGAGGCCAGTCCTATTCATATCCCATTAGCCAATGCAGCCATGGTTTGATCGTGAAGCCCTTTCTACTGGCTAGTAATACTTGGTGATGTCTTTTTAGACCTAATTTTATCCCGGTTTGTATTTTTTGCTCATGATCTCTTATTTATAACTCTTGCTTATCACTTTTTTTTTTTTTATTGCCAGAGAGAAGTTTAGTTTTCAGCTCTGCTCGAACAACACGATCTGAGCCTACGCGAACAAGGAAACAGGTCAAGAGGGATGCAGACAGCACAGACGGTGGAGATCGCAATCTTTCTTCCCCTATTGCTTCATCTTGCCTTCCCCACCTGGGCAGGAAAAGGTTCCACCTGCACCCCAAATCTCCTTTCTACAGAGCGTTGGGGGAGAGCCGGGAGCCATCAAACTCTGACTATCAGGATCCCGGGGCCCCAGTTCATTTCACAAGCCGAGGGACCTTCAACCCTGAGAAGGGGCGTCAAAAACTCAAGAACGTTAAACAGTCTCCTCAGAGACCTAGAGAGCCACTAGATAGTGGAGAACAAAGGATTCTGGGTCAAGATGGCAGCTCACAGTCTCTTGTGTTGTTTGGGAGCAATGAGTTCATGGTGTGAAGGATGCATTCGCTGTTCTTTCGTTACCTTCCTGAAAATGTCTCTCTGCCAAATTCCATAACTCCCTTTTCCCATAGCTTTATCCTGATGCCTTCTTGGCATCCAGGTGATACAGACTGCTAGGCTTGCTTTGTCAGCTCATACCAAGCACCAGAGGGGCCATATTTAACAAAAGCCTTATTAAGCTGACTCCACTGCTTGTGGGATATCCGTCGCAGGACTCCGTAACCAATCCTCTCCCAATTAAATATTGATCTCACAAGAATGGGTTTTTATTATAAATATTATTATATTAATATTATTAATTTTATTTGTGGTTTCTAAGCCCAATATAAATAAACTGTTCCCTTTAATTTAAAGCAACATCTGCACTGTGGTCACAAAGCTTTGGAAGGATGGAAACACCCGAAATGCATGGCTCGTCTTATCAGCATCCTACTCTTTGTCTACTGCATATGGATTCCAAACACATTTTGTCCAAAAAACAAACACATGGATCCCAAGCAAACTTCTGACTTTTCGAGTGAGCACATTCCAGAGATCTTCTGTAGGATACATGATGTAAAGAATTGAGAGCTCAGACGTGTCCAAGAACAGCCCTTTGAGGTTCTGATATTTTAGCACTCCGAGTCTGCTTATATATAGAACAAGATGTATGTACATGGAGCTCTTTGGGGCAGAGCTAGGGATAGTGGGCTGCTGCCTCGTCTCAATCAGCCCTTTTGGCTACAGATTTACCCCCACATAAGCCTTCTGAGACTTCTAAAGGGCCGATCCTTCCAGGCTGAATGTAAATGTTGTGTATCTGGGAAAAGCCACTGGGTGCGGGTGCGAACCCAGGCTGGTGGGAATGTGCCGTTGTATGTATTCAGTACAATATGTGTAATATTTTTGGCTGTAAAACCCATCAGACTACAAACAACCCCCCAGAGCTTATTAAAGAACAAAAGCTGCAGAATGTCACAAACTGGGAAAGTGTATTTATTCATATATATTCACAAAAATGCAATAAAATATTGTTCTTTTGTCAAAAAAAAAAACAAAACAAAAAAGCTTTGGGTTGCAGAGAAAACACGGATGTGTGTGTGTATACACACACACATTACAAATGCTCAGCACTCTACTTGCATGTACCAAAAAAGCTCAATGTGCTACCCGCGTTGATAATATAAAAAATTGTAATAAAGGGTGCACTCACAGGACTTGTGAATTAACTTGTGGTTTAATGTGGTAGAAAAAAAAATTACATCTGTGTCCTAATCAACGTTTCGACCCTCAGCGGGTCTTTCTCAAGATACAATTTAGTGATAATAAATGGCCGGTCACTGTACTTAATTGGTAAGTGGACATTTACATTTCGTATTTATTATTACTTGATTGTACACTCTGTGATCTTGTTATTATGATACCGATGTAATTTATATTTTATTTATTTTATTACATTAAACCACAAGTTAATTCACAAGTCCTGTGAGTGCACCATTTATTCCAAATTTTTTCATACACACGTACACACACAGTCAAGCAACAACCAAACTCACAAATGCTTCTACTAGTTGAAAATCACATGATTTGTGAAAGAAAAATGCATTCATGTTCCTTACTAATGTTAAAAAGTCACTTTAATTGGATCATAATTGAAAATAAGATTTTATTGACCACAAGCAGAAAAAAATATAATTCATACAATAAAAGGCTTTATCTAACATTTGTATAAATAATAATTCTCACACAGCAAATATAAGACACATATGGATCTTTTTAGGTGTTCAACTGCCTTTTGTAAAAAACAAAACAAAAGAAAACACCACCGTGATATTTTTTTCTACCACTTAATCTGATTATGTGGTATGAAAAACTTGCAACACAAGGAGAGGAGATTTATTGCTCCCGATATTCTACTGATGTATAGAGGGAACTGGACGATTAGCTGTTGGAGCACGCCTCTGCTATAGTTACTAAATAATATCGGTCTTTAGAAAATTTTCCCAAGGATTGTAATAATCGGTTTGCCATTTACTGTACTGACAGACAGCAAGGTAAAAGATAGAATTGTTTATACATGCAAGTGACATGTGGGCATTCAAACCTTGACAACGTCTATTCAACATCAGGTTCAGGGATTTTCTGGTCTTCCCTGTCCTAGCACGTGCATACCAAGGACAATCTGATATAAATCATCATGTAATTATATCCTTGCTGTTTGTCATCCTATTGGTGATTACGGGAATTTGCCTGTGGTCGTGTTTGGCCACCACAGAGTTGTTTTCACCGATGATTGTAATTTCAGTTTTTAAACATGTCGCAGAGCAGTTTTTCCATAGGGGTGTTACCAATGGTTCGATGAAAGAACAGAAGTTCGATGCGTTCTGATGAGATGAATCGAAGGGATGGAGACAGAAGAAGAAGTTTTCCAAACCTGATAAGAACCAGGAAAAATGTAGAGTGATCATCCTTCCCCCATTTCTTACTCTACAGGTGCTTGTTATCCAAACACCACATCCGTATCAGAGAGTACCTACACATACATTTATTGTACTGTAATACCAATGGCTAATTCTAAAGATTGTTGGGCTATATGTACATGACCTTGTGTGACATATTACTTATGTCAAGCTGTGAGGTCTAGGCTTATTCACCATATTCTCCTGTTATTAGTAAATTACCTGACAGGTTGGGTGGGGTAATGGCTTCTGGTGTGTTGGGCCAACATCATCTGAGACTGGTCCTGTAGATTTTCTACTTGTTCAGGATCTTTTAAACCCCTGGTTTCTGCAACAGAAGGGAGTAGGATTTTTAATGTTTCTGCAACATATTTCAAAAAGAAATAGTAATTCAATTGAAGACCATATATACATAAAATACATGGTTTGTACATAATGGACTTCAGCAGCATCTCTTCAAAACAGGCAACATTTTTAAATGTGGTCCCTCATCTCCCATTCTTAGTTTAGCATATTTAATTGGCTGTGAGCATCAGATATATCCTAATATAGGGCGGAATTCATGTCACTAATGCAGACGTAGGGATTTTCTGATCATATCTGAAGAGGAGTCTGGGTTAGAGGCACCCGGGGAAGGTAAGTGTCAAATTGTTTGAAAACTGTTTTATTTCTAACTGTGGGACTCCTGGCACCATGATCTCTACAGCATGTCATTAGAGGACAATAATTAAAAAAAAAAATGTAATTGGTGTTTAGTAGAAGAACAAGACTAGAAAGAAAAGGTCCTTGCGTAATATATTTTATCAGCCTCTCAGTACTCACCAGGCTTAAAGAGCATAACAGCCTTCATACAGGCAAATTCAGTTGGGTCAACACTGAGTGACTTAAATCGGCTGATGGTTTCTTGGAGAACTCGAACCTCTACGCTGGAGGAGATGGATTTACCATGGATGTTAGGAGCCAGATCTGGCACAGACAGCAATGGACAGCTGTCTAATGGCATAGACCACTGGATGGCACATAAGAGAAAAAGCTCACTCCATGCTTCCTCCAGAAGGATCACCTGACAAACAGGAAGTCAAGATGAGTTAATGAATAGAAGTATAGTCACATCCAATAAGTATTATGAAAACGCAAGATTTCAAACAAGTAAAATCTTAAAGGGGTACTATTAGAACCACAGTCACCACATCTCTTTATTGTGATTACGGTGAAAAGAGTCTTTGGGCACATTTTTCCCAGTTAGTGTCAAACACTTTTTGAGTCTCTCTTGGTTTATAAAGTCCAGCCACTCTGTTGACATAGAGAATGTATTCCCACCACATGTTAGGAATGTTATTCTCACCTGGTCCCTGAATGGAAGATTCGAAAATACAGGAAGGTTCTTTGCCCATTTCACTGCCATGAAGAGGAGGCGTGCTGAGGTCTCGTACACCCCCTCTGGACTGGATGTTGGAAACCCAGACATCTGAAAGTCACTAGGAGTGCGTTCTGGCTCATTACTTGTAACATCAATATTTTCTTCAGCTGAAAAGGTAAGAAGAGATCAGGGGAACTGCCTAGAGTGTTATGTTGTTTGTAAAGTGAGATCATATTCTGCCTAAACCAATAAAATAATGCAATTTTTGATTATTTGTGAACCTGTTATCCTCGGCAGCCAATAGTTTTCTTTGACAGATACACAGATCCACCATTAATAATTATGTCATAGGATCCAGTTGGCAGATAGTAACATTGCTCTCAGTTTAAGGCCATTGCCTGTTAGAAATATTTTGATCTTTCTTACATTAGTAACTTCCCAAACTCCCTTTAAAATTAATTCCCTCCACACCTTCTTCTGGTTCCAGCTTGGCACATGTCTCTGCAGTCATCAAGCTTGCCATGAAACGGTGGTTGTGTGGTGGGCTTAGTGCCCCAGTTATCACACTAGGGACAGGAGTTCGGAGGCTGTTGACAGGAGGACAGGAAGGTAGAGGCTCCCGAGTGGTAGCCAGGTGCTCTGAGCGACTGTCCATGTCCAGATCAATGCTATCCAAACGGATCTGAGATGTGCTGCGAGGCTGACGTTCATTTTGGACAGCTGTAAGGAGAACAATAAGGTGACTACAAATGTGGAAAATAGATATATTTGGGTGGTGGTGTGAATATGGTTTAACAATAATACATGGCTGAGTAAACAACATAGCTAAATAACTTTTAGAAAAGTAGCCTGTTGGTTGATATAGATATATATATATATAGATAGATATATATAGATAGATAGATAGATAGATATAGATAGATAGATATATATATAGAGATATATATATAGAGATATAGAGATATATATATATAGATATATATATAGAGATATAGAGATATATATATAGAGATATAGAGATAGAGAGAGAGAGAGAGAGAGAGAGAGAGAGAGAGAGAGAGAGAGAAGGAAGCATAGAATGTGATGGCAGATAAGAACCATTTGGCCCATCTAGTCTTCCCAATTTTCTACTTTCATTAGTCCCTGGCCTTATCTTATAGTTAGGATAGCCTTATGCCTATCCCACGCTTGCTTGAACTCCTTTACTGTGTTAACCGCTACCACTTCAGCTGGAAGGCTATTCCATTCATCCACTACCCTCTCAGTAAAGTAATACTTCCTGATATTATTTTTAAACCTTTGTCCCTCTAATTTAAGACTATGTCCTCTTGTTGTGGTAGTTTTTCTTCTTTTAAATATAGTCTCCTCCTTTACTGTGTTGATTCCCTTTATATATTTAAATGTTTCTATCATATCCCCCCTGTCTCGTCTTTCCTCCAAGCTATACATGTTAAGATCCTTTAACCTTTCCTGGTAAGTTTTATCCCGCAATCCATGAACCAGTTTAGTAGCCCTTCTCTGAACCCTCTCTAAGGTATCAATAACCTTCTGAAGATACGGTCTCCAGTACTGCGTACAATACTCCAAGTGAGGTCTCATCAGTGTTCTGTACAATGGCATGAGCACATCCCTCTTTCTACTGCTAATACCTCTCCCTATACAACCAAGCATTCTGCTAGCATTTCCTGCTGCTCTATTACATTGTCTGCCTACCTTTAAGTCATCAGAAATAATCACCTCTAAATCCCTTTCCTCATATGTTGAGGTTAGGATTCTATCAAATATTCTGTACTCTGCCCTTGGGTTTTTACGTCCAAGATGCATTATCTTGCATTTATCCACATTAAATGTCAGTTGCCACAATTCTGACCATTTTACTAGTTTACCTAAATCATTCCCCATTTGGCTTATCCCTCCTGGAACATCAACCCTGTTACATATCTTAGTATCATCAGCAAAAAGACATACCTTACCATCAAGACCTTCTGCAATATCACTAATAAAAATATTAAAGAGAATGGGTCCAAATACAGATCCCTGAGGTACCCCACTGGTGACAAGCCCATATATATATATATATTTCTTTTTTTTTTTTTAGGAATTTTCCCATCTTCTTCAATAGCTGTAACCAGTGAAGATAACAGGTTAACCCTCTAGAAAAAAAAATTCCTTCCCAACTGGCAATTGTTTGGAGGACAGTAACTCTCTAACAATTAAATTAAGTAAAACAGTTAAGTTTAACAGTTAAAGTTTTTTTTATTCACTCCTCTGTAAACTTGGTAGTAAAACCTAGGGGCCCAAAGCTAATAAGGAGAGCTAAAGCGCACGGCACTTGATTTAGTAAGGACATTGGGTATGATGATGGCACAAAAGTGGTTGGCACTGATACACAGGTCAGGACATAATTTGGACAGCAATTCTGCGAAGACCGTGGCATACACTTATAGATTGACTTCACAGTAGCCTTTACTTTTAGTTGTACAGTGTCTTTAGAGGGCACAGTGTTATATCATCAATGAGAGATTCTATATGGGCAAGAGGCAATTCATATGAGTTTTTATAGTGGTGGGAAGGAGTATGCCCCCTGCATTTCAGAATAATACTGTCAGACACAGATATGGAATTAATTCATGACTTCTTGAGCATTCCTTTTTAAGAGGATAGAGTAACCACATCCCTGATATACTCAAAGAGTTGTTTTTCAATGTTTGTTACACAATGTAACATGGAATTATTGTTTAATTTGTGCCCCTTTTTATATTACATTTATGATTAGGAAAACCTGGCCATAATGAGCATGGCTGTTGTCTCCGGCCAAGTGTCCTTGTCGACCTTCAGCACCTCACTCATAATGACTGGCAGGAATTATTTATTTGGAAGTTGGCAAATGGGATCTCAACATAAACATTTAGAACTCACCATCCTTGTTCATTCCAGTTTGGAGACATTTCTTTAGTCTGCAGGCCTGACACTGGTTTCTGTGTGCTTTATCCACTGGACACATCCCTGTACCAGCTTGGCATCTGTAACAAAGCAAAGGGACCTGGGTAGGCATTGCAGTCATAATGGTCCCAAATCCTGCACTGTGCAATATAATATCTGCACCTGTCCATGTCACACTTTGATCTCTTATGATACTTTGCTACGGTTCCTGAAACTCACACTGGGGCAATTACTAAAATTCAACAAAACACTCCAGTCGCCATATTTTATGGTTGCTATAGAAGGTCATTGTGATGCATTTTAGTTGCACCTGTATAGATTTCAGATAAACTACAGACATCACAGAACATCTCTACCCACTTTGGACAAAATCCATCCTTTGTGTAGATGTCCAGCATGCATTCCTCCCATCCCTTGTAATTTGCTTGTATTTTACATATATTAAGAGGGTAGCCTGTCTCTGCCTAGGGGTTACTGGAGTTTAAATCTATTCAATTCTTAGTTTTCCTGTATTTTTCTTCAAAAACAAAATGCTACCAGAGACCTAAATCAGGGGTTCCCAACCCAGTGCTCAAGTACCCCCTACCAGCCCAGGATTTAGGGATTACCCCTGTTGTGTCTAAAGTGTCTTTTTTTTTTCTTTCTAAGAACACCTTAGACACAGCTGGGTAATCCCTAAATCTTGGACTTTTAGGGGGTACTTGAGGACTGGGTTGGGAACAACAGACCTAAATAGTGGACGGGAAGAACAGCGGGGTCTTCCATTAAATTGCCTCTGGGCACACCCCCTGCGCACGCCTATGCTCAGAGCTGATTGGCTTCCATTCCAAGAGAGCCAATCAGCCTTGATATTTATAGCTAAATGGTGGATGGTGGTGGTTTACCTGTATATAAGTTTTCTCCGGACACTCCTCTTAAAGAAACCGCTGCAGCCATTGCAGGCGAATATCCCATAATGCTTTCCACTGCTGCTGTCACCACAAACACGGCACAAAAGGGCTGGACTGGGAGCAGGGCCGGGGGCTGGACTTGGAACTATAATAAAATGGCAGAACATGGTGGTCACTTCAGATACGAACAGATTATAGAAATCATTCACCACTTACATACTGGATTTTAAGCTCAGAGTCACTCTCACCTTTTTCGTTTTCAATCCCTACCCATTATACAGCACTGTGAAATATGTTTAATTTTTAATTGCCCAGTTCTATAATACAAAGGTATTGCTGTTTGTACAATAAATTATCGTTACGTTTCCAGTTAGATTGAGTTTTAACAGTTTTATCATTAAAGGACCACTCTAGGCACCCAGACCACTTCAGCTTAATGAAGTGGTCTGGGTGCCAGGTCCAGCTAGGGTTAACCCATTTTTTCATAAACATAGCAGTTTCAGAGAAACTGCTTTGTTTGTGAATGGGTTAAGCCTTCCCCTATTTCCTCTAGTGGCTGTCTCATTGACAGCCGCTAGAGGCGCTTGCGTGCTTCTCACTGTGATTTTCACAGTGAGAGCACGCCAGCGTCCATAAGAAAGCATTATAAATGCTTTCCTATGTGACCGGCTGAATGCGCGCGCAGCTCTTGCCGCGCGTGCGCATTCAGCCGATGGGGAGGAGAAGAGGAGGATCGGAGGAGGAGAGCTCTCCGCCCAGCGCTGGAAAAGGGTAAGTTTTAACCCCTTACCCCTTTCCAGAGCCGGGCGGGAGGGGGACCCTGAGGGTGGGGGCACTCCTATCCAGGGAGAGATCCAAGATACAATTAAAATCCCCCAGGTAAATTATTGGCTGATTGTGATATAGTAGAACTGAAAAGTACAATTAACACAACAAGCACCTAAACACTGCGCAGAGTACCATACACACTGCAGGAGGAGTAATGTCCTACACAACAAAAAGGGTTATTTACTAAAGTGACAACTGGTGGGAATTAAAAATGAATTTAAGGTCCAAATAGCCGAACGGACCTAAGTCACCAATGCTTCCAATTCAGCTATTTTATTTTCTATTCAAAAATGTGAAGTAGAAATTGAATTCATGAGAATTCTCACTTTACTGAATAACCATTTTTTTTTGTGTCCGTTTGGCATCTGTACTACTGTTTTATCTGTCTGTCCGTTACAACTATAATAAGGTTTATTAACAAAACTGTGAAATGTAAAGCATTGGCAAAGAAATTGTAACATATAACACACAAAAACATTTTTGAAAAGGGCAATTTGTTACATAAATATTTTGTCCTAAAACGTACAATCTCCTTGTCAATTCTTCACAATTTACCATACAGTAAATGAACTACAACATACATCTACAGAGGAGACCGGGATAGTAAAATGAACTTATTTGAATTACATTTATATGTGTACGATCCATAAAATATTTCTCAGTTTCTCAAATTTATTTAAAAAAAAACAAAAACACTGATTCTAAATCTGTTATTTAGTATATTACATTCCATATTGTTATTAACTATTTATGTCATTTTAAATCACTTCCTTAGCTCCCCAATCTTAACACAAGGGTTTATAGGAGACTGCCCCTTGCAGTTTTTTGATTAAGCAATTCATTCATTCACCAACTTTTTAAACATTGTAAAAAACAAAAAGCATTCCATTTGTCTTAAATTTTAGAATGTATATACATCAAAGTGTATATCAAAAGGCACCATCACCCCTATTTTATCCTTTAGTTTATGCCCCTTCATCTTAATTAGGTGCAGCTCATTGAACAGAATAATTAGAATATTCCACCGGAAGTAAATTAGATTAACAAAGAATGTTCTATTCGCTCTTTATTATAATAGTTTTTTTAAAAAACAAATGTTATTGTGAATGCAAGATATAATTGACAATGCATGCATGAAAGTAGGAATAATAAAGTATTCGCTCTTTATTTAAAATTAATAGTTGTATCTCCAAGTTCTCCATAGGGTTAAAAGATTTTAAGAGTCATGTTTAAAAAGTAACAAACATTTGATTGGCAAATCATTTTTGGAGCTGTAGGTTTCAATTAGTGAGTACTATGAAATCTGTATTTAGGAGTGTCTTGCTGGGCCATTTTGTACATAACTCCGGGAAGAAACTTTTCATCCGGTCTCTGTATGTTTCAAAATAATAGTGTTAGATGGCTCATATGAGACACCACGTTTTATACAGGAAACCGGTCTAGAACTGGGAAGGGAATTATAAACGTTAAGAGATGGTGGCCAAGCTGGGAGACAAATTCTCCAAAACTTCTATTTTGGCCCCAGATATAAAATGAATTTGTCACTTCATCTCAAACCCTGTTAGTGAATAACCCTCTGTGTATTATAAAATTAGTATGAGTTATACATTGGAGACAGTGAGTGATGATTTTGGGTGAAGTGAAATAAATCTTTGGGTTGACCAGTTGTGACAAAGATTCTTAGAGTCTTCCTACCTGACTGGCTGTCTTCTGCGCTGGTACTGAGTATGGATCCTGTGGGTGAACTCATGTCACCTGAAATCTCTGAATGATGCTCTTTAGTTGAGATCTTCACTCAGCTCAAAAGGTGTAGATGAAGTTCTGGCTTTCTAATGACCCTAAGAACGAAATCTCGTGGCCCAAAGGTTAATGGCTCCAAGAAACTCTAGTGTGCAGGGATGATGCTTCAGTGATATAAAACAAATGGAGAGGTTTATCTTTCTCCATCCCTCTCTTCAAGAGTTTTCTTAGGGCCTGGAGATTAGCTCCTAACGCTGTGTAAGCAGATGCCTCTTGTCATCCTCTTAATCTTTACCATCTATGAAAAGGTGGAGCAGTCATCCAGCCCCATGAAGAATTAACAAAGTGTCTATACTAGGAGCTTAGGGCTGAGTACTCGACATGATCCCTAAACCTGAATCGTCAACGTCCAACTTCCAAGTACAATGTTCTAGAGCAGATTCATATAAAGGAAAAGGTTCAACAAAACACAAACCAACCAAAAAGAAGGTTACATTAAATCTGAACATTCTATCAAATGTCACAGGCTACCTTACAACACGTCAGCTCTCACCTTCAGAAAGGGATACAGTCTTTATCCAGGTACAAGAGTCAAAGTATTCCTAATTTTAGGTATAATGTGGGATCCAGCACAGAATTAATTCCACATGTAAAAATATACCAAAAAATGGTATACCGTCCACATCCTAAATGTTGTTTATTGAAATTGTTGGAAAAAAACAAGTCACCACCATTTTAGCAATTCAACAGGGTTATTTAATAAAGTATTAATCTTCCAGAACTAAATTTGATTGCACATTGAATTCCTGACTGGAATCCATAGGTTTGTCCTCAGCGATAACAGGGGTGGGCAAGCTCTTAGCAGCACCATACCAAAAGAAGGCTCTGAAATCTCTTGGCGTGCCGGTCCTAATTTGTTTTTTAAATTAAATTAGTTTGTGTGTATGTTGCTGTTACTGCTTTATAGATTTGTATTTGTGCATATGTGAGCTGTGTTCTAATAGTATATGTATAAGCAATTTGTGGTGTTGTCCGTTATGTATGTATGTAGGCTGTGCATCATGTTTTTGAATTTGGGCTCTGTATAGGGATGCTGCTTGTGAATTGTGTGTGTGGGTTATATGTTGTATGGTGCTGTGTATGTATATATGTGTATTGTATGTAGGTTGGGGTATTGTATATGAGTGGCTACCTGCAAGGTTGTATGTTATCAGTTATGGTGTGTTCGTCGATGCTGCTTGTGCAGCGGTTTGTTTGCATGGGGGCTGTTGTATTATATGTATGTATGTATGTATGGATGGATGGATGTAGGTCTCCACAATATGGCTGAAGACAAAGACTATCACAGGCACACAGAAAGACATTCCAGTCACACACAAGAGATACACACAACCCAATGCACACAACACTCCATATTTTATAGAAAACTTTCAGAGTGTCGTGTATTTGGCCCGTCAGTTTGTCCATATTGAGTGTGTCTTTAATTTTACATTTCACTGTGGGGTGGCTCTTTCATTGTAAACCTCCAATACATTTTTTTTATGCTTGTGAAATCAAGCTGTATGAATCTATAATAAGATGTTGCCCGTGGTTACAGTTGGAGAATTACTCACTATTTGTTTATAATTTAGTATTGTACAAATTTCTACACTTAAAATCTCTGGGTATTTTTACATACATGGCTTTTTTTTTATTGCACCAATTCAGTGTGTTTGTGTATGTGATTGCAGCAGTAGGAAAATGCAGTAGGTTCAATAAGTAGTAGGTTTTATCAGGCCTTTAGTGGTGCATTCTCTTTGGATTTCATCGTATCTCTGAACTTTAACCCTTAGCATGTACTTGGACTGGTTATGCACACAAACCAAAAGCACAGATACACTCAATATGTGACTAATTATCAGCTGTAGTAATTCATTCACTGCTCTTAGCAGCCAACAATAATGGCCTTTTAGACTGCAATAATGGGTCACAGTGCCAGCAGTGATAATTTAAATGTATTGAGTTATGGACAATAAATGTAGGGGTTCACGTATTGTTATTGTATTCGCTATGTATTTACTCAGTCCTCAGTCTCTGTAATGCAAACACCCTTATTTCATCACATGATCGCTACTTTAATGTCAAACGCTAAATTCTGCTAATTAGAAAAATCCCAAAGTAATCCATTTATGTAGAAATTATAGACCAAGCAAAAGAAAAACAAACCCCAAAGCAATTAGCCTGCAAGGGAGCGCGAAGCTCAGAAATCACTCAGCAGATGGTGGGCTTCCATCAGTAAGTGCGGGGTCAAGGAGGGACGGGGGGCTTTCTCAAATTAGCTAAAACCTTGTACGACCTCTGTACTGAGCTTTCTGTGTCTCTCTTTCTAATTTTTTTGAAACGTTCTTTTAAATCCTCACAATCAAAGCTGAAATCAGGGGAATTTAATATTTACAGATAAAACTGAATTTCTTGCTTTCATTTTGTTACAGTTTAGAGTATTATAGATGACTTGTAATTATGACAAATCATTATATAAGCACACATTACCCACCCCCCTCCCTCCTCCTTCCCAAATTGTAGGCAGCTCTAGTTGACGGAATTTTGGTCCCTCTGTGAAGGGATCAGGAAGGAGTGTGTTATGAGCCAACACTGTTACAAATCTGATAATCCCGCGTTAATACGTTTACACATTGTATTAAAGTGAGACGCAAGCAGCTGTGTTAAGTACACTGACAGCATGACCTGCAAACCCTCCCTGCCTTAAAACAGCAATGGCAGGCCTTGAGTGTGGGGTAATAATAAGCCTGCAGGTATACAAGCTTTACCATGTATAACGTTATCACGCATCACTCCTTCCAAGGAAAACACATGGATAAGTCAAATCACAATTAATCAATGTAATCTATGATGTTCTACGAGCCCTGATTGGAGCTGGAAATGGACTCTAAGTGTTCATCATGTATTCTGCATTAGAAGGGGTCTATACATAAAAGATAATATTAATGTTCAAAGTTCTAAAATACTCCGGGATGATACTATGTCACATAGCAGTGTGATGAATAGGTTTGTAAGGAAAAACAGATGTTGGAGGAGTTATGGGGTGATTGCCAAAAACGTACGTCCTGGTAGGAATTGAGGTTTTTAGGCAAAAGCCAGTTTGATGGATTCTAACCCAAAGTTATAAAAGGAGATCACTACTGAGATGTGAAGGAACTATGAGAGTGTAAATAAATGATTTAAGGGGAAGTGTGAAATATTGTCTATACAGGTAAGACATCCAGATGATGATACTGGGGAAAAGGGTTGAGTAACAGGAAGAAATTGGAAGCCAGTCGAAAGACCGGTGTCTCTCCAAAGTTTTGGTCAACAAAAGAGAATAAAAATGTTGCATTAGAAAAGATTGAAAAGTTACAAGAATGTTTAAGGTCCTTTTATGTTAGAAAGAAAATAGATGTACAACATTCAAGATTCCTTGAAAGCCAAACGATTGGATTCCCATCTAACTTTGTTGGGTATCTTGCAAGAAAAATTTAACAAAACCCAAGGAAGGTGCTTGCTGGACAAAAGTTGGACCCTATGAATATTGAATCAGGGTAACAATAACAGGGATATATGTGTGCACAAGAAGGGTTAAACTACATGGACACAGGGAACTGGAGCTCTAAGACTGATCCATATTGGCACTTAAAGGGTGATGTCTTCCATCCACCTCAGTTTTCTGACTGGGAAAGCTTGGATAAAATGGCCGACAGTAAGTGAACCTTTCTGATGCCACCTGTATGCTTCCCGTAGCTTTACTGGGAGATGCGAGTAGACATCCTGGAGGCACATATTTTGCCAATTGGTGGTAAGAATGCCTGATATCGAGGGAGCTCCCCTCCATCATTTAAGTAACAGACAAGGGACAGCTGGATTGAAGAAAAAAAAACCAAAAACATTTCCAATTTGATTTTTTTTGGTCAGAAAATATGGAGGATTTGTCAATCCTCCATATTTCCCAGTTTAGTAAATCACTCCATACTGTGAAACATGCGGGCATCGCGCTATGCTCCCTCACTATAACACAAGGGAAAGAAGGCAAGAACGTAAAATTGAGCAGACTTGACTCAATGCAAACTTTCTTTGGAAAATGTGGAAAGTAAATGCCATAATAACGGTCATGCATATTGGTTATAATTTTTTTTAATCACGTCAAACAAATATTTATCAAAACAAAAACCACAACCACCAAAGGGAGGTTCTAGAACAGGGGTGCCCAAAAGGTAGATCCCCAGATGTTGTAGAACAACAACTCCACGATGCTTTGCACATGTTTAGAAGGTCTTTAGAATGACAAAATCACAGAAGCTGTAGTTTTAAGACATCTGGGGATCTACTCATTGGGCACCCCTGGTCTAGGACATTCTTGTGGGTAAAATAGTTTTTCTACGCACTCAGCGTGTGCACACCTGTTGTGGGGTGTACGCAATCTGCACGTAAAGTGTGTTCGTGCCAGGATGTGTTCCCTGATTCTCTGAGCTCTCAGTCACCCTCACCTGACAGGTGATATTAATCCGGATCAGTTGGAGGATGTAGAGTTACGTAAAGAAGAATTACAGACGCCACACTGCAGTGCAAATGACAAACTAAACTCCACCTGCAGCATGCAAGCTGTTACAGTGAGATTATGGCTCTGTCCCTGACCTCTCACCTGGACCGCACATTGTGTATAATAACCAGTGTCATACCAATCTCTCATTAGATGTGATCATTACTCCAAAAGCTTAAGGTTAAACAATGAGTGTTTTAAAACCTAGGAATAAACACAGACATTGCATTAGAGGAGGAAAGAAGAGAATTGAAATCGATCCCTTTTCAAGTGAGAAAAATGGCAGAAAGATTGATAAATCCATTGTGAAGCTGGCAAAATATTGTACATTCATAATTGACATATGCAAAGCAAGCAAAAGATTAAAAAAATCAACAGATTTAAAGGGACACTCCTGGCACCATAACAACATATCGGAAATAAGTTGTTATGGTGCCACAAGGTCCCTGGCACTGGCATATCTTCAGAGGTTAAAACAGTTAATGAACGGTTTAATCCCAAAGTATTCAATCCAGTGCGGGCAGCTTTTCCCCAGAACTTGTGTTTAACCCCTTCAGGACCAAACTTCTGGAATAAAAGGGAATCATGACATGTCACACGTCATGTGTCCTTAAGGGGTTAAAGGGGTGCCCTAAACACGTTACTTTCATAGGGCTCTGTGGGATCGTAATCCTTTCTGTTTCCAAATCAGGACTTTTTGACTGAATTGTGCAACTTGGTTTACAAATCAATATGATTCCGCATTTGTAAAAATACTCTCCCAGGGAACGAGCAGATCTTATTGTTGGCATCCCAGGAAATCACTCATCCAAATATAAACCAGGTCAAGGGATTGTGGAAAATGATAAGTAGGGCAGTTTTAATATGAAAATAAAATGCTCACATTTAAAAATAAAAATAGGATCTAGGTTAAATTAGTGGATTTTTAAACATTCTCCAATTCCACTACTGGATTGGTCATATAAGCCAAAATTTAGCAATTTGTTTTTCAATTCTCTAGAATGTGCTCTTTGGTGAATAAACCACACAGTCTACTTTCTATTTTTTTCATTCTTTATTTTTGGAGTGCACTGGATAACAAAAAAGAGAATATATAGACATTTCTCAAAAAGAATAGATGACAATAAGAATTAACAAAGTGTCAAGGATACAGCACTTTTTATATGTAAAAATATCAGAAATGTTCTATATTGGCAAGGCAGAAAGAGAAACATGTTGAGATTTAGTACAGTACATAACTTTCAAGGTAGTTATATGCCACTGGGTCTAAAGATTTAAACAGAATCTCATAGATCAGAAAAGAACATCAATAACTTTGTAGGTGAGTTGCCGTGTGTGACTGCATGAGTGAAGCAGCCCAACTGCAGGTGTGGATAGGGGATCATTCTATTCCCATTAAGGGAGAGTCCCAGCCAACGCTGTTTTCAGCCAATCTAATGGAGCCCCTCCACCGTGCCCAGGCATACAGATCGCTTTGGAATATTTTCCCCGGACAGACATCACTACTTCCAGCCAGACTGCCAGAGCACATGTCCACAGACTGCAGAGCCTGCGTAGTTGGTAATATGGTTCACAGGCCTCCAATACCTTGAGGTTGTGGCAGGAGCATGCATGCTCGCTTGCCTGCTGTCAGCCCATGTTGTGGCAAAAGTGGGGTTCAAAGTGATGAAGTATAGATCTCTGCTGCAAAGCCATCCTGTGCCTCTTCTTCTGCAGCAACCACTCAAGCTGCCTTGGTCAACAGGACGGGTCCTGGCCATCAGGAATGGATGTAGGCCTCCTTGTATTAGACAATGGCCGAGCCCGCTCATTCATTGCTGTCCAGAAAGTAAACAAAGATCCGTTCAAGCTTTAGCGGTGCACCGACAGTGGTGCCATTTTGATGGAGTGACATGTGGTGTGCTTGAGGAACAGTGGTGGCTCCATCTTGGCCAGAACTACTGCATGTCGAAGGTAAGCTGGAGAATTGTAACAGCTACATTAGGGAGATGTATAGCGACCCAATGGAGACCGGGTTATGCCCTGCAGCCCAGAGGGAGGTAAACGGGGCAGCTACGGGACTCTGAGTTCGGGCTGTGTTGTACAGGACAAGAGAGTGGCCGCCCCTCCTCGAAGCGTGCACTAGGCCTTGTTTGGAGCTTCAGTGAAAACAGGTAGACAGCGCTTCATGGATTCCTTCAAGATACATCACTGGGTTCAGAAGGCAGACAAGTAGCATAGGGTGCTAGAGAAGAGACTCTGCAATCGATAATTATTCAGGTTAATTTCAGTAGGTGAGGAGCACCCTCGAGTTGCGTCTAGCCACCATTAAGCTCAGGCAACACCCCCCTCAGTTTACATTTACATTTCAGTATAAAAGTTTGATCATAAAAGAGTCTTCGGTTTTACAGAAGTAATTGTAAATGGCTTTTCTAAATGTTTGCGCTATTCCAGTGTGTTTGCACACAAAATGTTTGCGCTATTCCAGTGACAACAGAATTGGTGGAAAAAAATGCAAATGCAAATAATCCAGAATCAAGTAAAAAGCATTACTTTCAAAGGATAGGTAAAGTCAATGGAGAGGTGCACACAAATAAGTTTATATGGGAGCTCTGTGGAAGGGGGTCCTGCAGCCCAACAGGGACAACTAAAAAGAGATTTACGGGTGTCACATCGGATGAAGGCAAAAAATATATTCATTGCAGATCAAAAAGGACAAAAAAAAAAAAGGATGCAACATTTCTGCCTAGATGCCTTAGCCATGTATACCTGATTAAGGCCTCTATGCCAAAACGCAACTTTTTTTTTTGTTCATTTGATCTCCAATAAATATATATTTTTTGCCTTTACCCGTGGACCTCTATTTTGAAAGGATACGGGTTACATAAAAAGTCCATTAAGTAAAGAAATATAGACACATGATTGGACTAACATAGCAACATATAACATAGTAAAGTCTCACCAAGTATTCCATGTATTTAAGGATGAGGATGGTTGCGTAAGACAGGTGATGGTTCTTCTAGATTGAACATTGCTGGAGTGGTCACCATGTGATCATTGATGTAGGAACTTCTGCATACTCGTTGCTTGGTTACAGTAAAGTTCTGCATGTTCTTCACAGCAAGAGGCTTTAATGGAAAGACCTTTAGAGCTTGATTCTGGACATAGATAAAGAAACAGGTAAGAACAGGGGTAGGCACTACAGACGTTGTGGCCTACAATTCTCATAAAGCTCTTACAGCCATAATGCTAGCAAAGCCTGATGGGAGATGTAATCCACAATATCTGGAATGTTGAAGGTTACTGAAGTCCTGAGTTAGAAACATAGAATGTGACGGCAGATAAGAACCATTCGGCCCATCTAGTCTGCCCAATTTTCTAAATACTTTCATTAGTCCCTAGTCTTATCTTATAGTTAGGATAGCCTTATGCCTATCCCACGCATGCTTAAACTCCTTTACTGTGTTAACCTCTACCACTTCAGCTGGAAGGCTATTCCATGCATCCACTACCCTCTCAGTAAAGAACATGTAATTAGTTTTAGTGAGAAAATCTTCCATTGAGAAACTGAAAAAAAAACCTGTGTATAACATATATAAGGATTCCAATATATGAACAATCCTGTTTCGGAACCATTTCTTCAATGGTTTGCTCAATAATTTCTCTTGATAATTGATCACATGCACGGATTCTGGCCTTTTCCTCCTCTCAATTACTCAAAGCAGGACGTTCCATTTAAACATTATTTTTTATATAGCAAACAACATTAAATAATGTTTCTTAATGTTAATAACACAGGATACTTTATAAAGAGGCATCAATACTTCTCAACTACTGCAAAAGGTATGGGGTTGTGGCAGTGGTTCCCAACCCAGTCCTCAAGTACCCACGAAGAGTCCAGGACTTAGGGATTAATCAGTTGAGTCTAAGGTGTTTTTATAAAGAAAGAAAAAGAAAAGAAAAACACTTTAGACACAACAGGGTAATCCCTAAATCCTGGAATGGTATTGGATACTTAAGGACTGGGATGGGAACCCCTGGGTGTCACAAACTTACCTTTACCCGGCACCCGCGCTGATCCTCCAGCCACGCAGGCAGAAAGCACCGCGTGGCCTCATTGCCTCAGTCCTCGGGCCACACGGCCTAAATATAATACTTACCTTCTGTCCCGCGAACGACTCTCTCTGTTGGTTTGCAAGATGAACTGCTACCCCTAAAAATAAAAGAATAAGCCATGACGTCATTATCTTAAAGGGACCACGTCATCTAGGTGACCCAATTCTGTTTGGGCTCGCAGAGATGACGTGGACCAATGGGACCTTTTTTGAGCCTATTTAAAGGACCACTCTAGGCACCCAGACCACTTCAGCTTAATGAAGTGGTCTGGTTGCCAGGTCCAGCTAGGGTTAACCCATTTTTTCATAAACATCGCAGTTTCAGAGAAACTGCTATGTTTATGAATGGGTTAAGCCTTCCCCTATTTCCTCTAGTGGCTGTCTCATTGACAGCCACTAGAGGCACTTGCGTGCTTCTCACTGTGATTTTCACAGTCAGAGCACGCCAGCGTCCATAGGAAAGCATTATGAATGCTTTCCTATGTGACCGGCTGAATGCGCGCGCAGCTTTTGCCGCGCGTGCGCAGCTTTTGCCGCGCGTGCGCATTCAGCCGACGGGGAGGAGAAGAGGATCGGAGGAGGAGAGCTCTCTGCCCAGCGCTGGAAAAAGGTAAGTTTTTACCCCTTTCCCCCTTCCAGAGCCGGGCGGGAGGGGGTCCCTGAGGGTGGGGGTCCCTGAGGGAGGGGGCACCCTCAGGGCATTATAGTGCCAGGAAAACGAGTATGTTTTCCTGGCACTATACTGGTCCTTTAAGGTTTGTTTTAGGCTCCATTCTTTGCCCTATCGTGGTTTCTGTTTGGATCCTCGTTTAGTGCTCCTGGTGATTCCCTTGTGATTTCTTGTGTTTGACCTCAGCTTCGTATTTGACTTCTGGTATTCTGACCCCTTTTTGTATTTGACTCATGATTACTAGTATCCTGACCCCGGCTTCGTATTTGACTAGTGATTTCTGGTATCCTGACCCCTGCTTTGTCTTGAGTATTTCTGTTATTCCTTTCCTTGATTTATCTTGATCCTGTGTCTTGTTGTATTAATACATTAAGTCCAGCAATTCTAAGGCTCGGTCATATGCCTTTCACATTCACTTTTTGTGGGTTTCCTCTTTCCTATGTGTTGGGGTACGACTCCCGTGACATTACGATAGGTCCTCAGTACCTGATGCTTCTTTGTCTACGGATACTGAGCCCATGCAACTAGGGGTGACCAAATTATCTGAGGCAGAGAAACAATATAGGAGAAAGGAGGGTCTCTGCTTACATTGTGACCAGAAGGGGAATCTCAGATTGACTTATCCGGTGCGTCCGGAAAACGGTTGCACCTAAGCTCGCTCAGGGGACCGGCCTTGGATGTGACATCAGAATCTGCTATACTGCCTCAAACGTTTACTCCTCCCTATCCCCTTAACTTGGGGAGAAAAGTTTATAGATGTGCTAGCGCTCTTAGATTCTGGAGCAGCTGATAACTTTATAGACCGGGGTTTTGTCAGGACAACTTACCATCCCTAAGAAAGAAAGAGACAACGTTGGCCGTTGAGGTCATAGACAGCAGACCTTTATATTCTGGTCTGTTGCACATGGAGAATGTATGTTTTCAGGTGATAACCTCTCCTTCCTCAATAGTACTGGGTTATCCATGGTTATGTCTGCAGAGATCATATCATGGAGTGATTTATGTCAGGAGCGATGCATAAAAAAGGTTACACCTGTTCATAATATTAATGTACCTACTGCTCCACCACTGTCTACAGACATACCCTCCTCTTACAAAAACATTAAGGTGGTTGTCATGGCTGCTAGTGTGGTCCAACACGCAGAAACTATGTAAACATATACATAAAAAAAGGAAAGGAAATAAAAGGACAGAGCGTAAACCAGACCTTAGAATGGCCGGACTAATACGCTAGGGATAGAGAATGGTCAAAGGGAAAGCAGAGGTCAAGGAAGCCAGAAATACTCAGATACCGTTAAAACAAGCCAAGTCAGGGGAACCAGAATTCGGAATAACCAGGGAAAAGCCAAGATCAGGATACCAGGAAGTCAGATTCACAAAGATAAATGCAGGGCAAGGAACTGGAGTGAATTAGGGATTTAAATATCCCTCTCTGGGCTCTGATTGGTCAGAGGGTTGTGACGTCATGCGCACTTCCGTATAAATTTGAGGGGCAGAACTTGTGGTGTGCGCAACCATGTGGTCAGTGCCATCTTTGATTTGGGCGCAACGCCCAGAAGACGCAGAGGAGCGGTTCCCGGCCCAGGCCGGGAGCCGCAACAGTACCCCCCACTCGAATACCGCTCACCGGGCGGGAAGGAGCCGGCTTATGAGAGAAGCGGTTGTGAAACCTGGTCAGCAGGAACCCAACAACGTTCCTCAGGAACATATCCTTTCCAGTCAACTAGATAAGACAAAATACCCCTGGAGATTTTGGAGTCCAATATAGAATGAACTTCGTAGTCCTCCTGATCACCCACTACCAAGGGTGGAGGAGGGGCAGCCACTTTAGTGTATCGATTGCAAGTAAGAGGCTTAAGCAAGGACACATGAAATTAATTGGCAATTCTCATGTGAGCAGTAAGTGCCAATGAATAAGTCACAGGGTTGATCCGACGGAGGGTCCGAAAAGGACCTATGTACCGAGGGACAAATTTCATGGAAGGAACCTTAAGTTTGACATGACGTGTGGATAACCACACCTTGTCTCCTGGTTGATAGACAGGATTGGCACCCCGTCTCTTGTCAGCTTGGATTTTAGCACGTTTTGATGCCTTCTGTAGTGCTGTATGAACGGAATCCAAGTGTCATGAATAGAATCCAAACGGGTGTTCAAGGCAGGAATATCAGTGTCTGCAAATTCAGAAGGTAAAACAGTGGGGTGATAACCCTGATTTACAAAAAATGGACGATGATTAGAGGATTCGTGAGTCGCATTATTTCTGGCAAACTCAGCCACGTGTAAGAGTTTGTACCAGTTAGACTGATTGGCATCGATAAAACAACGTAACTAAGATTCTAAAGACTGATTGGCCCTCTCTGCTGCGGCATTAGTCTGAGGGTGATACGCTGAGGAAAATGAAAGTTCTATACCCAATTGCTTACAAAAGGCACACCAGAACCTAGAAATAAATTGGGTACCTTTGTCAGATACTATGTTTTTTGGCACCCCATGTAACCGAAAGATCTCTTTCAAAAATATTTGGTGGTGAAACGTACAGTTTATCCGGAGGTCTCTCCACGCGTGCCTGAGTTTGATCTGCTATTATGGCACAGGAGAGTGGAGAAGACACTTCGGAAATTGTAGTGGCAATAAGGCATTCTGGAGGTATGATAGGGAATACCTCTTGTTCAGGAACCTCATCTGTCTCAAACTGCCTAGACAGCGCATCTGCCTTGGTGTTCTTGGTCCCGGGCCTATACGTAATTACAAAATTGAATCGGGAGAGGAACAATGACCATCTAGCCTGACGAGAGGACAATCTCTTAGCGTCCCCAATATAAGCCAAATTCTTATGATTGGTAAAAATCAGAAGTGGCTCTTTGGAACCTTCTAAGAGAGATGGCTCCATTCTTTAAGGGCAAGTACAATGGCCAATAACTGCCTATTCCCAATGTCATAATTTTTCTCTGATGGGGTTAGTTTTCGAGAGAAAAACCCACAGGGATGTAAAGGCGCATCGGGACTTTCTCTTTGAGACAGAATGGCTCCTACTCCTATTTCTGACGCATCTACTTCTATAATAAATGGTTTGGTCGGATCGGGATGTGTCAGGACAGGTGCTGAGGCAAATAAAGATTTTAATTGCTGAAATGCCTCCTTCGCTTCCTTGGGCCATGAATTGCAATTTGCTCCTTTTTTGGTTAGGTTGGTAATAGGAGAGATTACAGAGGAAAAACCTTTAATGAACTTGCGGTAATAATTCGCAAAACCTATAAAGCGTTGTGCAGCTTTAAGGCCTTTGGGTACTGGCCATTGTTAGACTGCTTCCAGTTTGCGTGGGTCCATTTTGAAACCAGACGGAGATATAACATACCCCAGAAACTGTATCTCAGTCTGGTCAAACTGGCATTTCTCCAGCTTACAGTAGAGGCCGTTCTTTAACAGGGTTTTTATTACTGCTCTCACATGTTCTTGATGTGTCTCTAAATCTGGGGAATAGATGAGAATGTCGTCTAGATACACTAAAATTAACATGTGGAGATATTCTCTAAGGACATTGTTAATGAAATCCTGAAACACCGCTGGGGCGTTGCACAGTCCAAACAGCACAACTAGGTATTCGTAATGTCCCATTCTCGTATTAAACGCAGTCATCCACTCGTGTGTTTCTGGAGCCAAGGGAAACCCAGTATTATCGGACATGTAGGTGAAGATATAATTTGGAACACCATTTCTTCAGAATGTAAGATACCCACAGAGACAGTGGCAGGGTTTCGTGCGTGATGAGAGGCTGGGTAAGAGATCTCCCACCAATAACCTCTACTGCTATGGGTCTATCTTTCTGCCTTAAGGGCAGGAGATGTTTGGCAGAGAATTCCTTGTCTAGAAAATTCTCCGCTGCCCCAGAGTCAATCATAGCCTTACACTGTACAGTGGTTTTCTTACAAGACAAAGTAATTTTTATAAGGAAACGGTTCCTAGTCAACTTGGGGGACATATACATCACACCTAAGTTCGGTCCCCGAACGTGCATTAGGTATGCAAGTTTTCCAGCCGAACCGGACACAAAAACCTTTGATGTCCCCTTTTGCCACAATACAAACAACTCCTCGTTGCGTCTGTGTTGTCTCTCTGCCTCAGTGAGTTTAGCAATGCCCAGTTGCATGGGTTCAGGTTCTGGAGGTGGAGCATGGCTAATTACCACTGGGTTAGAGAAATGAGGGGCTATGGATAAGTTAGAACGTCTAGTACGCGTTTTTATTTTCTCTTTTTCTCTGTGCCTGTTATCAATATCCATCATGTATGCATTAAAGTCAAGGTTAACTGGAAGATCTCTGGCTGCGGTCTCATCTTGTATATTTTCGGCTAAACCTTCTGAAAAAGCAGCCACCAAACCGCTATTGGTCCAGTCAACCTCAGGCGCCAATGTCCTGAATTCTATGGCGTAATCAGTTACAGAGAGGTTGCCTTGTTTTTTTCTCATTAGGGCTCTGGCAGCATTCTTCTCTCTCCCTTTTGGCTCAAAAGTAGTTTTAAAAGCTGTTCGGAATACATTGTAATCATGGGCAACTGGATTTCCACTCTCCCATAAGGGATTAGCCCAGGTTAAAGCCTTACCCGTTAATTGGTTCATTAGATAGCCAATTTTCGATCTATCTATAGGGAATGAACCAGGGGAAGCTTCAAAGTGATATTCAATTTGGTTTAGAAAACCTCTAAATTCCTTAGAATCACCTCCAAAACGAGGGGGAGGTGAAAGGGTTATGGACGGTGGTTTGTGTGCCACAGGTGCTACTACAGGTGACGGAGCCACAGGCGGTACCGGAGGTGCCTCCAGATAGGCAGTTCTCTGGAGCAAGGTCTGGAATGCTTGGGCAAATTGATCTAACCTGTGGTCCATATCCTCCACCCTACTCTCACAGGCAATCATATGTTTGCATAGTTCTGCAGGATCCATGGCCCTGTCGTAATGTCACGGCTGCTAGTGTGGTCCAACACGCAGAAACTATGTAAACATATACATAAAAAAGTAAAGGAAATAAAAGGACAGAGCGTAAACCGGACCTTAGAATGGCCGGACTAATACGCTGGCGATAGAGAATGGTTAAAGGGAAAGGGGAGGGCAAGGAAGCCAGAAATACTCAGATACCGTTAAAACAAGCCAAGTCAGGGGAACCAGAATTCGGAATAACCAGGGAAAAGCCAAGATCAGGATACCAGCAAGTCAGATTCACAAAGCTAAACGCAGGAACAGGAAACCATGACAGGGCAAGGAACTGGAGTGGATTAGGGATTTAAATATCCCTCTCTGGGCTCTGATTGGTCAGAGTCATGACGTCACGCGCACTTCCGCATAAATTTGAGAGGCGAAGCTTGTGGTGTGCGCGACCACGTGGTCAGTGCCATCTTTGATTTGGGCGCAATGCCCAGAAGTCGCGGAGAAGCAGTTCCCGGCTCGCCAGCGAGCAAGTAAGCTTGCAATATCGGCAAGGTCGTGCCGGTCGGGCATGGCTGCGCCATGCGGCGGGCCAGGAGCCGCAACAGTGGTGTTTGATAAGAGGGAAGCAGACAGATTACCACCTCATAGGCCTTACGATTGTGCCATAGATCTCCTACCTGGTACTATGCAACCCAAAAGAAGAGTTTATCCTTTCTGCTTTAATGGAGGAGTATATAAGTGAATCTTTGGAAAAAGGCTTTATACAGAGATCTACATAAATGTGCGATGTGGGATGGACCACCAGATAAAATCCTGTTGACCTGGACCACCGTACCAATGTAGATCTTACCCAACAGATTATAGAACAGCTAAAAAAAATGACAAATACTAAAAAATAATAAATAATAATAAATATATTAAATAAACATAACCTTTATTGCGTCATACGACTTAGAAAATAAAAAATACTAAGAAAAAAATTAG